GTCTGACCCTTGGAGTGCTGTTTTGCATGACGCCTGGATTTAACAACAATCATCTTGGCTGAACAAAGTACAGTTGGAAAATGGGATTGGATGGCAAACTATGAGGTCCACAATGATTGGAAGTTGAAGTAGAAACGTACCCTTGAAATCATTACCAGACTCCCATATGCCTGGTTATATACCTGCTTAAACAGATGAGACTCACGATGGAAGCGCCGACTGATGCCTGTACATACTTCTCAGGCGCTATGAACAAGGGTATATATTGCGATAGCCAATATTGGAAAAGTGGAAAACCATCATGGGTGTCACCGTAAAGCGGCAACATCAGGCCGGAAAGGCCACGAAAATCGACATAAAAGCCACGGCCCTCCGTGTCCTTTCCTGCTAAGTATGTGGATGATCCGTGCAGCCATGTGCCTGCTCGACTCCTTGCGTGGCATGGAGATCAGATGTAATGGAATGCACGTGGAAAGAGCATTGTCAACCATGCAGGGACTGACAAAGCGTGCTGGAAGCTTGGTATGACATCTAGATGACTTAATAGTCCAGGTGAGAAAGAAGAGGCGTCCAGGTCAACGAGTCCATTACTATTACTATTAATTACTGCCACTATTGTGGACTCGGCTCCCTACCGTGATCGATTCGATGGTTTAATTCAATTCAACATTTCTTCTTTTTTTTTTATTTTTTTCATTTCGTCTTGTTTTTCTCTTTCTCTTTTCTTTTTTTTTATTCAATTTTTTTTCTTTTTCACCTTTCTTAATTTTTTCTCGAATCGAGGCTTCCACGGTTCAGCAGAAACCTCCCCACAGACCAACGTCAAACGACGGTCTATTCCGCTTTCAAACGGGCTAACTCCTGAAACTGATCCATTCTGCTGCTCCATTCTTTGGCTCAGGCACACAACCTGGCAAGAAGAAAAAGGACTCCGGAATTGCCGTCGAGTCGGTGGATGCTGTGCGGTGGCCGTCGGCAGTCGAAATTCTGGTGGCTGTGGGATGGCACCGTCCGCACCACGAATTGCCTGACTGTTGTACAGGATTCTGTACCGTATTCTTGGATTTAGATTGCACTGCAGATCTGATTGTACTCCGTATGCACTCTAATAGTCGCTGTGCTGGTGCTGGCACCAACTAGTCGTCGTCTAGCACCGCCCAGGCGCGTGCTGGATGCGGTCTCGCACACCGTCTCTTCTGATTAGAGCCAGCAAACGAAACGAACGGATTCCTCCTGCCACCAGCTCGGCATGATTTATCATTTATGATCCTCTGTCCTGTCCTTGCCACCCTGCTGATAGTCACTGACCTCCATCACTGCCTGCTGCCCTCGCGGACGAGCCTGCGCCGCAGCGCTGCATAGCGAGAGCTCAGCACCCCCGATGCGTGTCGAGACCACGTCCCCGGCGCGTCCCAAGACGATGATGCTGGCGACGGCGACGAGCAGCGAGCCCGACTGGGGACGGCCCAGGCGACAGACGGAGCCCAATATCCACGTCGAGCGGCGGCCCTCAGAGCTGCTGCGACAGGCCGCTCGACGCTCCGCCGACTGCTCAGTGCAGCGCCCCCAGACCAGCGCCCGCGATCACTCTCACTCCCACTCCCACTCTCACTCACCGTCGCCCTCGCCGTCGCCCTCGCGCTCGTCGCTCAGCGTCCATGCCCTGTCGAATCCCGCGCTGGCCGAGATTCCTCTGCGCAGGTTCCGCCTGTCGACCAGCTCGCCCGACACGTCGCCCGCCAAACAAAAAGAACACCACCACGGTGCCCCGTGCACCCCTGACCTGCCCGCCCTCACGCCCATCTCGCCCAAGACCGCCTCCCCGCGCCTCGATGCCGGCCTGAAGAGCGACCAGCGACAGCGTGCGTCGACGTATCTGGCCCCCCAGCCCGCCGCATCCGCTCTGGCCCGCAGGATGTCGTCCTACTCCGACGGCGGTGCCGCCAACGGCGTCCACGACCCCGACCGCACCCTCACGCTCGACGACCAGCCCGGCGACGAGAACCGCGATTCCAGCGCTGATGAGAGCCGCTCCAAGAACGAAGACGTCTTCCTCAACATTGCCAAGTCGACCGCCAGCCGGCGAGATTCCACGGGCAAGTTGGACCGCAGACGGGTGAGTTTGGACGCCGTCGTGGATGCGTTCCTCCGCTGAGCTGACATGTTGTCCCCCCCTTGCAGAGACTGGGGCTCTCAGGCCTGTCGACTCGCATTTCCCTCGCCAAGGAGCAGACCCAGAGCAGCCCGTTGCAGGACACGTCGCCCTTCTCCTACAGTACGTCTCTGGATGAGAACAGCCGGCTCCGCTACTTCTCGAGTTCCCGATCCACCGTCGGCCTGCCGCGCAGCCGCTTCAGTCGCGAGACCTCGCCCGACTCGCCTCACACCTACGCTGACCTGCGATCCTCCATCACCGATGTCCGCCCCTACCGACACTCCAACCTGTCCAGCTCGACCCGCACGATTCGCCCGTCCGATGCCACGGAGCGCGCGAGAAGCGAGGCGGACAGCAAGTCCCGCATGGACGGCACCGAATCGACCTTGTCGACCACCGCGCCGTCCACCGTCTGGGACGAACTCGACGACCTCAAGTCGAGAATCCGGAAACTCGAGCTGACCGGGAAATTCCCGCCGTCGTCGGCCGCGGCCATGTCCAATGCGTCCGCCGAGCGGCCTCGCACTGCCGCGACGACGGTGACGACCATCTCGTCCTCCCCGAAACACAACCGCAAGACCAGCACGTCTCCCGACCCGGAGCCGACGGTGACGGTGAACCCGATCCAGACGCTCCTGCATTCCGCCTTGGCCAAGGCCAAGACGGCGGTGAGCTCCGAAGTCTACAACGCGCTCGAGGTCACCGCGACCGACGCTCTCACGTTAGCCAACATGCTGGGCTCGGGCTCGTCGTCCGGAACGGCATCGATGGTCAACGGATCGACCCTGTCGGAGCGCCAGGCGCGGCGGAAAGCCGACAGCGTGTGTCGCAGCCTGACGGAGCTCTGTCTGGCGTTGTCAGATGACCAGTTGGCCAGGCAGCAGCAGCAGCAACAACAACAACAACAGCAGCAGCAACAGCAACAGCAACAGCAACAGCAACAGCAACAAGCGCGGCCAGTCAGTCGCGATGCGTCGTCACGGACGAACCAGACTCAGACGGACGGCGGCGATACGCTGTCCACGGCGATGCCGTATCGCCGGAGCATGAGCCACGAGCCGGAATCCAGCCAGCAGCAAGAGTCTGCGCCGCGCGTTCCGAGTCGACTGGAAGCTCGTCTGAATACGATGAATCTGGGGTCGTCGCGGAACGCAGCCCGACTGTCGCAGGATGAAAAGTCCTCGCCGCAGACCTCGACGCCGATCTCTCGACTAAGCCGCCTGTCGACATCTCTTCGGACAAAGCGAGAGGAGGAAGCGGACGACAAGGGTTCTGTCTTCAGCCGGAGCGTTGGCCCTTCGCGGGCCATGTCCGAAGTTGGCGGTTTGACGGCTGGACTGCGGTCTGCACGGGAGCGTCTGTCTCGCGAGTACGCATCACCGACCGAGTCGTCGTCGCCGTCGACTCGAACGCCAGCCTCTCAAGCGCCGTCACAACAGACGACGCGAACGCCATCGTCCATTCCTCTTCGACGAAGCTATGCATCACCGGGGGGAACCGGGATCCCAGCGGCATCAGGCGTCAACATCCAGCCAGGATTCCGGCGATACGGGCTGGCGCATTCGGGGTCTGAGCGGGGGACGTCAGAGAGTCCCAACGGGGAATCACCACAGCCATCGCAGACACGGATCGTGGCGCCGTCGAGCAAGACGGCAACCAGCTACACGCCGATCCAGCAGCGGGCGCGAACGAACAGTTTAGGGAGTCGACGATTCGGGCTGCGACCGCGACAGACGGCGGTGGGGGACGTATAGCATTTGCATTCAGTTGCATACACGCATCCATACAGTATTCTTGGTTCTTTTTGTTTTATGAGCGGCGACGGGCGACACGGAGTTTGTTTGTATACATTGCAGGATCTTCTATCTACTTACTTACTGTACATGGGGGTTTTTCACAGCACATTGCCAGGACATTGTTTGTTTGTATGTACATCCAGCGGATAGGATAGGATTTTGACTCTTGTATCTATTTCATTGTTGATTGATTGATTACTTGATTAGGAAGGGATGGATTGGAGTTTTTGCGTGTGTTTGTGTGTGTCTGTGACTGTGTGTTGTTGGATCTGTATGGACTGTACTGTACTGTACTGTACATATACATGGTCTACAGTGTTATGTATGTATGTACTGTACAGGCGAGAGAGATATCCAAGCATTATTTTATTACCTACATTATATGCATACGAGGGAATAAAATAAGGTAACTAGGTAACTAGATGTTAGCAAGGAAGCTGTTACAATATTATCATTACCATTAACTTTCTCCCTTACCCCTGACTAACCATCATCGAATATCGCAGCTGCAAATTATATATATATACTATTAAGTAGGTAAGGTAGGTATGTAGGTAAGTACTGCGGGTAATAAATATATAACTAGATAGATAGATAGATAAACCAGACAGATACGATTAATAATCGATGGGGTAGATATCCATATCTGTCTGTCTGTCTGTCTGTCTGTAAAAAGCAGAAAAAAAAAAGAGAGGATAATATATTACATTTCATGATGAATGAAATAATAACATGCCAGGAAAGACAAAGAAAGACAAAGATCCGTTAACGACATGAACAGACAGGATAGAATATATCCTTCCTGGGAAAAAAAAAATTAACTACGTAGTATATACGCCAGTTACTCCGTACGGAGTACTATGATAGAGTTACTAGTAAGGGGTGTGTTTCTGCCGTGCTATGGTGCCCACTCAAGTTTACCAGATTACGTCAACTGCACTCATCTGAATCAATTTGTATTCCTGCCCGAGAGCCTTACGTAGTACTATAATCCGTCTGCCAGACATATCACATCAGAAAAGGATGACAGCGAGTCAGGTAGGACAGTAGGATAGGATAGGTAGAATAGGATAGGATAGGTAGAACCGTAGAATAGGACAGGCGGATAAGATAGAAGGATAAGATAGGAGGATAGCATAGGATAGGGCGCAAGCAAGGATATAGAGATGAGGTGAGAGTCAGAGCAGATGTAGGATAGAAGATAGAATGACAGCCGACGAGATGATCGGTGCGACGTATAGAAGAACGAGAAAGGCCGACGTTGCTACAGAAATAACCGAGGATAGTAATGTTCCTGCAACGTCCACCTGACATGGATTGCATGCTTGCATGGCTCGGTATCGTAACTCGTGCACCTCGCGTCGAGCGAAACTTCTAGTATCGAGCGCCGCGGAGGAATAAAAGCAATATAAAATGAAATCAATGAAATAACCCGTTTTCAGGAACGAAGAAAATCGGCCTTCAACCCAGCCAGACCACCGCTGGCGCACGCAGTCGTAGTCGAAAGAATTGATGCAATCGCTGCAACCACTGCAATCACTGCAAAGCTGAACGCTGCAATCGCACCTCTGCAATCCATCACTGCATTCGCTCACTCCGGTGCTTGCTGGCTCCGGCGCATCTTTTCCGCCTCAAGATTCTCGTACAGCAGATACAACGCCTTTTCGTTCGCCTGAGCGCTCCCCATGATCGTAAACATGCGTTCGCCCGTTTCATCATGCGGCGCCTTCGCAATCGAGATCCGAGCTCCAGAGCTCCTACGGATCTCGCTGATCTTGCTCCCTCCTCGGCCGATAATACACCCCACCATGTCTGAAGGAATGCTGATGTTCTGCGTCTGTATTTCTTCCCCGTCCTCCGTCACCAGGGGAACGCCCCGGTTCGCGTCCGACCCCGTGCGCCGGTTGTAGCCTCCGGCCGGGTCGCTGAAATCGGCCCCGTTGCCCGTGCGGTTGTAGCGACTGCCATAGGGTCCAGCGCTGTGGTTGAGACCGCCCAGAGACGCACGCACTGCCGGATTGTACAGCACAGTCCCCGTGCCCCGCTGCCAGTCATCGATGAGGCACTTGCCAATCTCCCAGACCGCTTTTTCGATGCCCTCGGGCGTGCCTTGCACCTCGACAATCCGCTCAGTCGACTGCGGAAGCATCTCCTTCTGGGCGACCATCCGCACGCCCGACACGTCTTGGATATGCTTGATCTTGAGGCCCTGTCGCCCGATGATGGTGCCCATTTGGTTGTGAGAAATTAGCAGTCGAATGGCTTCACGACATGATTAGTGATTGATATAACCAACCGGCCAGACAGTACTCACGGTGAGTCCCGTTGTTTTGAACCACCCCTCCCATCCCCAACTGCGGGGCCCCCTCGAGCAGACCCTTGGCGACAATCGAGTAGGCGCGGGAGCAGCCTTGCAGCGGCCCCGTCACCGTCAAGACGCGGTCATGCACGCCTTGGACGACCTTGCTGACACCGGCTTTGACGCCCGTCTCCTCGCGCAGATCCGCAACATTCTTGCCAGCCTTGCCGATGATGACTCCGGCCTCCTTGGATGACACAATAGCGCGGAGCGTCAGCACCGCCTGCGCGTATTCCTCGTCTGTCTTGGGCGGCGCCTCAGCTTCGCCTTGTTCGCCCAGGTTGACGCGGCTGAAGGAATCGGCGAGCTTCTCGTCCGCGGGCGGGATGTTCTCGCGGGTTTCCGTGGCTGCAGCCATTGTCGAGGAAATCAAGCGTGACAGAGAGAGCACTCAAGAATATCAACACAAGCTCCAGGGTAGCTGTTGAGCTGGCGGCGATCGATTCGAGTCAGCTGACAACGCGATTCGGTGCACGCAGTGCTGGATTTGGGTGCACGGCAAAACAAAACGCCAGCAGCTTACCGGAATAACGCGATGAGGAATCGGAAGGTGGAGAGAGAAGAGTGGAGGGAGAAGGTCGAGGAGCGGAGACGAGGAGGTACGGTGAGCGGAGGGTAGGACGAAGGTGAGGGTGATGGCGGAGGCGGAGAGAGGTAGGTGCTCGAAAGAGGACGAGGACGAGGACGAGGAAGAGGAAGAGGAAGAGGAAGGAGAGGAGAAGAGAAGAGAAGAGGATGGGATGGACAGGATGGAGAGGAGGAGGGGGAGGAGATGGACGGGGTGGATGGAGAGAGAGGTGAAGGGAGGAGAGAGGAAGAGGAAGAGTCGCGAGAGCAGAGGATGGAGCAGCACACACTAGGTCGACTCCCCACGGCTACGGCGGTTGAGCTGCTGCTGCGGGCTGCCTGCACCACCTGCCGGGGCGCTGGTTATTATTGATCGATTTACTGACGAACTAATTGGCATCTGCCATTGGCATTGCCATGCACTACTATATTTATTCTCTTGTGAAGGTCGTCGTGATGGCCGCCTAGGGCTGCGACCACGCTTCCCGCCACCCACATTTCGCTGCAGACGCAGACAGACACGACACGCCGTCCAGTTCCCCCGATCGAGGGGGCTTTGATGATTAGCTGATAATCGTAGCGTGTCGACGACAAGCTCCTCCAACCATCGGATTCCAGGCGAGTTAACTTGTTCTGGGGAAAGCTCCTTCATTGGCCCCAGCCCCGCTTCTCGCTGTTCCATGCTCAGTGTTGCAGAGCCAAGGCATTCCGATTCGTCACGCATCGAGTGCGAAGGAAATAAGGCGAAGAAGGCGGAGATCAGGATTGCTGGTGTTGAATACTGCCATCTGCAGGACATGCGAAGGATTTAGACTACCTCATGCTGCCTATCTAGGCAGTAGTGTGTGAGCGAACCTAGCAACGACCCGAAACAAAGGATGGAAATACAAGGACGGCTTTCAAGACTGCTTCCAAACGTAAATTCTCAACTGAAGTACACCTCTCACATGCGAGTATATACGTTCGAATATACAAAGCCCAACATAGTACACATTCTCGTCATCAATTTCATGTCCGTCTGCCAGATTCCCCGTGCTGGCTGGCTTCTACACACTACTTGCCAGCTTCAAAAATCACCTTCTGCGCCTTCATCTTGTCAAAAATCTCGTAGCCCTCGACCGCCTCGCTCAGGGGCATGATCTTATCGGCCATGAATCTGATGACAGGTGTTAGTTCTGCATGATTCAAAACCTGCAGATATATGCTTACCCCAGCAAGTGCTGCTTCTTTTTCAGCACCTCCAACGCTTGCGGGAAGATGGAGCGTACAGGGCATCGGCCCATCTGGATTTTGAGGTTCTTCCCGTAGGCCTCGTTTCCGGTCCAGGGTATCTAAAGTGAACTGTCAGTCTTGTCTTTTTATTTTTTTTTGTTCAGGACTCCGGCCCACTCACCTCTGCGTTGTGAACGCCAACACTGCTGATGGTCCCCCACGGCCGGAGCAGCTCGAAACCCATTCGCAGAGCAGGACTCAAGCCAACAACCTCAATCACCACATCGGCGCCGCGGCCATCCGTCAGCTCTTTGACTCGCTTGTCGAGTCCCTCCCGGTCTGTCTGGTAGTTCCACGGCTCCGCGCCCAGGGATCGGGCGTGTTCCAGTCGGGATGGCACCGAGTCCACCGCCAGGATGTGCTTGGGCTTGTATTCTAACGCATTGATCAGGGCCAACAGACCGACCGGTCCACAACCGATGAGCACCACGGTCAGTTCGGAGATCTGCTCCTTGGTGAATTCCCTGAATGCGTTGCTCGCGGCAAAGTAGCCCGTGGGGAAAATGTCGGCCATCAGGACCAGCAATTTCTCATCAATTCCCTCAGGGGCTTTGGTCACGGTTCCATCGGCGAGAGGGATTCGGACCTATTTCTAATTAGATGGTATTCTAAACGTGCCGCAGGTACAGGTACGGCCACGTACATAGTCTGCCTGGCCGCCATCTAACAGTGGGCAACCGAACAGCAGACACTTTTCACAACGAGAGGAGAAGCCTCGCTTGCAGTAAAAGCATTCGCCACTATGTACTGAGGATCAGCATTGGTGACAACGGCTTCTGCTCAAACACGGTTCTTCATACCAGGACACCGTGAACGGACTGACGATGACGTCGCCCTTCTGCACCGTCTTGACTGCACTTCCGGTTTCGACCACCGTGCCGGTGAATTCATGGCCCATGATGAACCCAGTTTTCGAAGGCTGATGGCCACGGAAGACGTGGAGTTCACTAGATAATAGTTAATAAACAATAAAAAAAATAAATGAGTATAAACTACTGATGGGATTGCATACCTGCCGCAAAGAGCTGCATATTTCACCTTGACGATGATATCCGTTGGCTCCTGGATCTTGGGCACGGGTCGTTCCTCGACGGCAACTTTATACGGTCCGTGGAAGACGACGGCGCGCATAGTTTCTGCTGTTGCCATTTTGATATCTCTTCTGATAGTATTTCCAATGGATTGATCCTTTCCTTCAGAATCAAGTGTCAGCCAGTCCTCGGTTAAGGGAGCTATATATATGACGTCTGTATAGTATACACAGACGGCCCTGATTCGATTGCGGATGGTAGAGCTCTGCACGGGTCTCTCTGCGATGCAACACCGTCACAGCGATTTGACCAAGTTCTCAATCGTATTTATTATCGAGAGCCACGATGAGGGGGCGGGAATTGGAGAAAAGCGGGGTTTCGGTATGATATACGACAACATCCTGACAGACGGGGAAATCGGGACAGCCACTGCCATTGCTTCCTCCTAGTATCACGGGTGTACGGAGTAAGGTTAGATCGACGAGCCGACAAGACCAAAGGGAAACAAACGGTTTGGGGAGGGCGGAGCAGAACCCGAGGGGCAAAAAGTCGACCTCAGTCGCCGAGGTTGAATAAAGAGGGAAGTTCCTGCCGCTTCCTGAGGCACACCCCACATTCTCCGATCTTATCTATGTGTGATCGGAGAGGAGAAGTACTTCGATCTGACTATATGTACATTATTTTACTTACGGCAATGGCATGAGGTAAACCTGTACAATGCCAATGCTTCTATGACTGTTTTATATACACTTGCAATCGTTAATGCTATGTTCTGAAGAAGATCATCGTCGTTGCAGACGTTTCGAATTTTCATCCCAGAAGCGCTTGCAATCCGTATGGCCCCAGTGCTCAGTCCACCACTCCCCAAAGCTGTCCTCGACATTCTCGTCGATCTTGGGAAGCCGTTCATCGCGCTTCAATCCGCAGAGAGCACATGCGTGAGGCGCCGTCAGAGCTCCCTGGCTCGGACCCGCAGTCTCGATTCGGATCCTGTCGGTAACGACAGGTACGGGACGCCCGCCCGATGACAAGATTGCTGAGTTGAAAAAGGCGGCGTGGCGACGCCAGGCTTCGATAACCCCGACAGCCTCCTGCTCCTCCTTAACGCTTTCGCTTTTACTGACTGAACTCAGCTTCATTCCGCCTGCTTTCCCGGACCGGGAAGGGCCAATCTTGGTGCTCTGGCTCAATATCGTATCTCTCTTCCACCGCAATGCACGACCAGCAATAATGCGGGCCGCGACTTTCAGGGTGGACGCCAGACGGGGTGCGAAATCCGAGGCGGTAGATCCAGGATCATGCTTAGCTTTGTATCCTCCTTCGCGGAATTCCTCAAAGATTGACGGGAACAGCTGGAGTAGAATAGATGGCGGAGGGATATTTGTCGGTCGTACTTCAGGCTTTGAGCTCTGATTGTTAGGTTTGCTCGCCGACTCCACGGTGTGCCTTACTTGACTTGGCCGAGTAAGACTTGGAGGATTCGCCTTGACGGTTCCTGCCGGTCCAGGCGCGGCTGGACGACTCTCTTCAAAGCCGTCAACAAAGTCTCCCCAATCGTCATCAAATTGGTCATCTGATGATTTGGTCGATGTGTTCCGTTGTTGAAGGATAGGATCTCTGAAAGATGCCGTAGAACTAGTTTGCGCAGGCGCTTGGCTTTGGGGAGCCGACGTAGCTGGAGCCTTGTTGGTGGATGAAGGAGTATCATCCAGCGAAAGTAGGTCTAGTAAAGCAGAAGTTTGGGAAGTATTAATCGGCTTTGAACTGGTGCTGTGCGTCGACGCGGGTGGAATTTTTGGATTTGGCTCATCATCCACCTCTACATCGACCAACTTCTTATCAGCAACGGGATCCGCAGACTCGAACTCTCCCCAGTCGTCATCGTCGTCTCCAGTAGGGACGTCCTCCGTGGATGCATCAAATAACACCTCTGCTCCTTGATCGTCGCGACGCCATAAACCTCCTCCTCCTGCACCGCCACTGGTTCTCACCGGGCCATGATTATACGAGGGGTTCGTTGTGGACGCGACAGGCCCAAAGGACTCAAGACCAAGATCAGGAAATGCCGACTTGGCGTGTTGTTGTTGCTGTTGCTGTGATGATCTATTATTGTTATTGTTATTATGATTATTATTGCTTGCCCGGGACGATGATGAAGTCACACCGGTTCCAAACTCAGCCAGCAGATCCGCAGACATGATGGATGAAGAAAGCTCACAGAGTCTCTAGAGATCATGAGGAGGACAAATCTAGATGTAAATGGCGACATAATATGATATTGGCGACATTATATTGGGACTGCGGCCGTCTGCCATGCTTTCCCCGCCGTACAGCGCATGTACAGAAGACAGACATTGGAACCTTGCTGCAAATCCCGTGGATGTTAAACGTTCCGAGCGCTCGGGGGGCTTGAAGGAAGAGAGCCAATCATACTGCGTGCGTCATGTGACTGTACAGTACATACAGTACACTTTAATGCTATTTCTTCACTGTATTTTGGCAATTATATTTACTCTGACTGTAATTTACCATAGAAATACTAGTATATATTTATGGAAGTAGGATTTATAAAATTCTACTTTCAATGACTCTTACTACTCCATACTCTGTACCTAAAATTATCAACCGGAGTACCCCGCCACCAACTTAGCATGGGTCACGCGTCATTTGTTATCACCCCGACTTCCAGATCTGGCGCCCCTACATCCTCTGATAGATATCAACTTGACTGGGACTTGTCGCTTGGCTGTCGCTTTTCGCGCATTTATGATGCCATGAAAACTATTGAAGAAGCCAGGTCGGTCCTTTTCACAGCGGAATTTTGCTGCGCGTTTCAAAGACTAATATTTCGTTTCGTTTTGTTTCTCCAGACGGAAATGGGACACGCTCTTTAGTTACGGCGAATCAGCAAGCGACCTCAAACGAGCCCTGAAGTCCGAAGAACAGGGCAATCCGTGCGATGAAGGCTTGAGATCGGTCTGCTGGAAGGTCTGTATATATTTTTCTTTTGACCAATTTCTACAAGTTCGGGTCTCACGGATTGATTGATGGTCAGGCTTTCTTACTCTGTGATGGCCTCGACCGGTCGGCATGGCTGCCACGGATATCCGATTCGCGAAGTGCCTACTCAGCGCTTCGAGAGCACTTCCTGAAGTACATCCAACATCCGGATGACCTGCAGTCCGCGATCGACCCGTTGGCCGAGGACGAGGAGGTATACCGCATCTGTCATATTATTAGCCCGGAGGGTCACTGCAATTCTGACTGCGAGTCTGTGGACAGTCACCCTGGCAAGCCCTCCGACGCGATGAAGCGATAAGAGCGGAAATCTTTCAGGATGTGGAACGATGTTTACAGGAGAACTATTTCTTCCGCGAGCCGTCGACCAAGTCGATGATGCTGGACATCTTGTTCATCTACTCGAAACTCAACCCGGATCTGGGATACAGGCAGGGAATGCACGAGCTGTTGGCCCCTGTTCTATGGGTGGTGGAACGAGACGCGATTGATAGAACCTCTATCGAGAAAGCCGGTGCAGATGACAAATACGACGATCTAATGTTGCAGCTGCTCGATGCCAGGTATATCGAGCACGACTCTTTCAGCTTATTCTGCTGCATCATGCAGATCGCTCGAACCTACTATGAACACAGTGATCAAAAGACTTTTACGGGTCAAACCGACGTCGCTCCCATTGTGAACCGCTGCCAGCACATCCACGACGAGCTGTTGATGGCTGCGGATCGTGAGCTGGCGACTCACTTGCATGCAATCGAGATCCTACCACAGATCTTCCTCACGTGGGTTACTGTCCAACTGCTGTGCTTGAACCCACGCTGACTTTCTTCAGCCGCTGGATACGCCTGCTATTTGGTCGGGAATTTCCCTTCGAGGATGTCCTTCTTATCTGGGACCTTCTTTTCGCAGATGGCCTGCGGCTGGACCTGATTGACTATATATGTGTTGCAATGCTCCTTCGCATTCGGTGGCAGCGTGAGTGCAGCGTCAAGTGTGTCAGGCAGAAGCCAATCGCTAATTGTACCTTGCAGTCTTGGAGGCAGATTACTCCTCAGCATTGGCGTTACTACTACGCTATCCTTCTCCCCATCCTCACGGGCCACAGACTCTAGTTCAAGATGGGTTATATCTTGAACAGAACTTGAGTCCCGCACGAGGTGCCTTCCTTATCTCAAAATACTCAGGGCGGCCGCCTGAGCTTGCAAAGGTGCCGTTCCAACATGCGAAGTCTCTGCCGGGAAGGTCAAGGAATGCAAGTGAGGACAGCTCTCCTGGTCGATCACCTGCACGGAGTAATCACAAAAGCCTGGAAGCCCTATTCCAGGATGTCTCAGAAGGCCTGCAACGTCGAACGGAGGCATGGGGCGTTGCAAAGGCTGTCCGCGGAGCGGTAACTGAGGCGAGGCGGAATATGATTTACTCAGATTCAGGGAGTCCAGCAACATCGCGGACTCGATATAGCAGCCCTCGCTTTGGCTCTCCAAAACCCGCGCCGGTAAAAGTCTCCGATCCTGTTGATCTGGCCAAAAAAGCAGTATTGCTTGAAAAACGTGACAAGAGACTAGCTGAAATGCTAAAAGATGCATTGTCGGGATTACGCCTGGTAAAGGAAAGTGCCGGGAATCTTGACTCCAAGGCTAGTGAAGCGCTCAATCGGGCATACGAGAGGGTCCAATCTGTCCAGACAAGCCTTGACAGCCCGCCAACATCGTCGCCTGCCGAGTCAACCAAGGATACTGAATCGATTGATGGCCAAACAGAAGTCTTGCAGCAAGGGGAGAGGCGAGAGGAGAAGCAAGAGGTGGAAGCGCCATTGGCAGACAGCAAAGCCACAAAGATGGCTGCAGCTCCATCCCCAACGCCAGAAGACCGTACAATCCGTGAACACGGAATCGCTGCGACTTCCAAACCCCAAACTGTTGTTCCAGTTCCCCACCGACCGGCAGTACGCCCATCCCTGGCGGAATCCGAATTCTCTTGGATGCTTGGCGACAACGCGAATCGGTCCAGTTTTATCAGTTCTGCCTCCCTGCCTCCAGATCAAAGTAGGCATGGCGATGCCCGATCGAAACAAAGTCCCCTTTTTGGCGATGGTCGAAATGAAAGCCGTAAACGTTCTACTGGGGAGGATGATGGCCTGGCTTTGAGCAGTTTGCGTGGTGGTAGCAGCTAACTACCGCCGTTTGTCGTATGGGCCGTCTCTAGGCCGTTTTCGTTTGTTGCATATAGCTGGGTAGAGAACAAAGACTTGCTTGAATCAATCGGCCCTTCGTAGTGCTGTGTCCTAGATAGTTACTACTTGAAGTTGGGTCCCCGAGAACGCACAGATCGCTGTTTCCAGATCCGGAGACACGTCCAACGGTCTATAACCTCATCACTTCGTCCAGTTGCTGTCGCAGGCCGTGGGGTGCGCGTTCGTTTTTGACTTGGCCTGTGGATCCGCCCCATCTGGCCTCGGGATCGTTGTTTCCTAGCATTGCTCTTCCTTGAAGCGATGGCGTGGAATCTCCGCGAGGAGCTGACGTTACCCGGGCGCTGGTTGAGCTCAAGGTGTTCAGCAAGAGGGAAGCATCGTTGTACACTTTTGTAAATTCTGCTGAAGACCGACTACCTAGATGGAAATTCAAATCGAGACGATGCACGCGATGCTTAGTGACATATGTAACTATATACCTACTGTCTCCGCAGCCCTCCAGCCATCTGTGCTGCAACCTGCAGAACATCTCCAAGCCGAACCCAGTGATTACTGCTGCTGTCAATCAGCATCAACTGATCGTCGTCACTCGTAAGCGTGTCTCAAGCTTAGGCGTTGCGGCGTCAGCAGCCAAGGGCGACCGGCGGGCAATGGTGTGGCCGATCTAACCGCGTTCCACTCACCAACAGAGCGAAGTCGCAGCATGTGCCACACTGCGTCCCCTAGTAATAAAGCCACTGCGCGCTGAAAAAAGTGTTCGTCAACTCCCACCCCTCCGGCCACAGAGCAGGCTGCAGCAGGAGCCAGGAAGCCCCGAACAACGCCCCTTAGAAGCAGCAAAGCCCAACAACAGTGGACGTACTGTGGCCCGCAAAGGGTCAAGCGTGAACTCTCCGCCTAACCAAACGCTCCAACGGTAATCTGCCATAGAGTCGACTCCGTGTTTCTGCCCGGCGACCGTCAAATTACATCACTGCCGGAAGAACACTATTGCAATTCTACCCTACAACTCATCGTCCAATCCTAAGAATCCCATATTTCTGCCCTGTGGCCCCAAAGCGTCTCTCGTCCGTGATTGCTCCTGTCGTTACCTCCATCCGACCATCCCGGCCGTGAAGAAAACCATCACCGCCCACGGATTTGTGACGCTTGGCGCTCTTCGCCCCTCCACGACCTGGAATATCGCCACATTGATCGAATCGAACCCTCGTTGCGAGTCACAGGACCGTCCGCGATGCCCTGTTTTCTCTGACGAGACAGCCAGAGGCAGCTGCCCGCTTCGCTCAGCAACCCGTGACTACTCCCATTCGGGACGAGTGACCAGACCGGTGACTTGTCGTCCCTTGTCTGGTGGCCCTCGCCAGTTCCTCGAACGACAATAGAGCCAGACGCCGTTTCACGACGTATCTTCGCCGTGGTTAAATCGATCGATCGATCCTCGTTGTCTCATGTCCGTCTTAGAGCCTCTTCTGCAAGCCTAGAACCAGCTCTGCCTCGAGCTCTCCTCCGGTTCGTCTTCCGCCGGCCGCTTATTTTACCTTCGTCCGACAAGAATGACAGGACGTGCGAAGGACAACGATGGTCAGTGGACATACTTTTCTTTTGCTTTCAGCCCTAGCACAACGAATTTTGTTTGGGACGCCCGTTATCCCCCTAGCAAAAGGGTTTTTGTCGTTGAGTCAGAAGCGCTTGGCAGACATGAAGATCAGGGGAACTTGAAAGAGCTCTTCCCGTCAAATGCCATCTATGCACAGATTTCGGGGCGGGCTTCGTTCCCCAATCTCTGTCTGTCTTCGCGCGATAAGATAGGAGAGGATCGGGACCAATGATTGGAATGAGACCTTTCTTAGCATTCCATAACGCAGCGCTTATCGCGACAGAGGACTGCGGGAAGAAATTCTAGCTAACGTTCAGGGAACAGGAGATCTCAGCCCTCTCTCGTCGCCCCCATTGGGGCCTTTCTCGGCCTCACCGGACCAAACATCATGGGCTTCAAAGAACAAGAGCGCGGGAAATCTCTCCGTCCCTTCCACGGAAGAGCAGAACCAGATGAGGCTGTCCACGGATGGGTCATCTTTCTCTGACTATGAACACTTCCCAAGGTATGACAGCTTGGCTCTAAAAAAAATGAGTAACTTGCTGACTCCTACATCGCCGTCAGATCTCCTCTTCTCGAGCACGATCCTGGCCTTGGGCCATCCGGACTAGATCGCATACGCCAACAGCCCTTGTCCCGAGTCTTCACACTTCCAAACCCTTCCACGTCATCTCTTGCTCCCTCTAATATGCCGAATTCCCCTTCACGCTCCAGCGCCTCATCACGAGCCGCTTCAGTCTACTTCCCTTCGGGATCACCTTTCCCTGCCTTCGAAGACCTTCACCGGTTTCCGTCCGAGTCGCTACACTCGTTCTCTTTCGCACAGCAATCAGAAGAGTTACTTCAAACTCGACAAAACATTCTGAAGAGATCGATCGATTTCATGAAGGATCGGTTGGGATGGGCTGCGAGCAGCCCTGGCATCGTGAATGCGCAGGCTCGCATAAGTGGTGATACCGAAATCCAAAGTATGGTTGACTTGTTGTCTAAGGCAAACGTCTTGGATAAGGATAGCCCAGGCCGCCAAGTTGGAGCCTCCCGCGGGCCTCTTACTGGGCCTGCAGAGGTCGAAGCCGACAACATCTTTGAAAAGTCGTTCCGTGGGTCGACCATCGCCACCCGCGGGGATCAACGTTTAATGCCTGATAACTCAGGGGAACGTGAGTCAGCTATAGATGATTCTCATTTCCTCAGCCCAACACCAGACGATCAGATAGTTTCTCGAAAAAGAGACAAGTCAGATCTATCATCGAGACGTCCTAGCCTGAAGCGCACATACACGGATTTGAGCACTCTATCCCTGCAGAGCAGGCTGATAGAGACCTTGGCGCAACCATACGCAACCGGAGATCCTTTCTCTCCTCCAGCCATTTCGGCTCTGGGGTTGGGTGTTGCGGGTCCTATGGTGCACGCTCATAGTAGCAAATGGACCCCAGTCTCTCAGGCGGTCTTCAGGACGGAATCCGAAGCGCCCTGGACTATTCTGGCGGCCAACGACCTCGCCTGTCTTGTGTTTGGGGTCACGCAGGCTGAAGTGCGGAAACTGAGCATACTGGAGGTTGTACAGGAAGAGCGCCGACAGTGGCTTGAAGCCAAGCTGCAGGATCCCAGTACGGATGCTACCGCGAAATTCCCAAATTCTGGAAAGCCGCGATTCAGTCCTGTTAATCCGAAGTCGATGGGAACGGGTAACGGGGTGACGGCACAGCTATTGAGCAAACCATCTTCACGCCGAAAGGCAGTCCGACGAGCCCAGACTGACGATGGGTTCGGCTCTAGTACACGAAACCCGAGAAAACCAAATCATTCTGCGACTAAATCTCGTGGAGTTCTCCTCTGTGGCGATGTTGTGCCCATTCAAAAACGCAACGGTTCCAAGGGCTCTGCCAGTCTGTGGGTCATGGAGAAACGCGGAGGATTGATCTGGGTCCTTGAGGAGATCACAGAAAACGTGGCATATATAGACTATGATGAAACGGGACGCGTCCTCGACGCCAAAGGTGATACGGATAGAATCTGGGGTCACGACCTGGTCAAGCCGGGTATGTCGATTACAGAACTTCTCCCTCAGTTGCCGAAGGACTGTGTGGAAGATCGGACAGAAAACGGCATAACGAAGATCACCGAACTCAAATACTTTGCCGCCCGCACTGCTGGGGGACATTGCATCCCCACGACCGTCACCAAGGGTGCTGATGGAACTCGCTCATTACGGGTTTCTAGCTTTCCACATGTTGCTGGAATGATGGTGCTTTCATCGTCCACGCTGAATATTATCAGCTCGAATTCGGTTTTCTCTGCCGCTCTCTTTGGCCAAGAACGTCCCGAGGGCCACCACATTTCAGAGCTTATCCCTGGTTTCGAGGTCTTCTTACGCACCCTAACAGAGGAAGACAAAGTAGCTCTGGTCGATGGGATGGTCATACCTGAGCATAGCTTCCGTCGGGCTCGGGCTCTTTCGATTCTTCGCGAAAACAAGGCTAATGCGGCCTCGATATTCTTGGAGCCGACCGGCATTCCCGCGAAACATCGTGACGGATCCCAGATCTCCGTGGATGTTCAGATGCGGATCATCAAAAGCGAGAGCGTTTTCCCAGACAGTCAAGCCCGCGACGCTGAGCGACAGAAAGCATCCGACAATGGCGAGGACGATGGCGGCGACGACGACGATGATGACGACGAAGATGATGGTGACACTGTAGCTGTCACCGAGGTCGTTTACGCCCTATGGATCACCTATTCGAAGCAGATCCACGCGCCTCATCAGGGAGCTTTCTCTGTAGACGGCTCGGCAGCAAGGCCCTCTACGCCTAATGCTCAACCCCGGACTGGACAGAGAACACCACCACCTCTTCCGTCTCTACCATCCCATTCGAATACTCCGTCTTTGGATAACAGCGCCTCAATGTCCCTCCTGAGCGAAAAACTCAATGAAGCCGCGTCAACGCCACTGTCGGATCAGGTAGACCAAGCAGTTACGGAAGCGAAGCGATCACCACCCGTTGAGGAAACACCTAAGAAGAGAAGCATCTCCGACTATGTCATTCTGGAAGAGATGGGCCAAGGCGCCTACGGCCAAGTGAAGCTGGCCCGATTGAAGAATGATCCGTCCAAGAAGGTGGTGCTGAAGTATGTAACCAAGAAGAAGATTCTCGTGGATACGTGGACACGCGATCGTCGGTTGGGCACTGTCCCCTTGGAGATCCACGTCCTTGATTACCTCCGTCGGGACGGGCTCAAGCACCCGAACATCGTTGAAATGGAAGGGTTTTTCGAAGATGAGGTCAACTATTACATCGAGATGGTGCCTCATGGCCTCCCCGGGATGGATTTGTTTGACTACATCGAGCTGAGGGCGAATATGGATGAAGCCGAGTGCCGAAACATATTCAGACAGGTGGTCGATGCGATCCACCATCTTCATACCAAGGCATTGGTCGTGCACCGCGATATCAAGGATGAGAATGTGATCTTGGACGGACAAGGCCGGATCAAACTGATCGACTTTGGCAGCGCGGCCTACATCAAGAATGGCCCCTTTGACGTCTTTGTCGGCACGATTGGTAAGCTAGCCGTTCTGTTCATTTTCCAGGAATGAAGAAAGCTGACCTCTCCTTCCAGACTACGCTGCACCCGAAGTTCTTCAGGGCAAATCCTACCGCGGCAAGGAACAAGATGTGTGGGCGCTTGGAATTCTGCTTTACACCATCGTCTACAAAGAGAACCCGTTCTACAACGTCGATGAGATTCTCGACCATCCGCTGCGTGTGCCCTTCCTTCCCTTTTCCGAAGATTGCATCGACCTGATCCGGAAAATGCTTGACCGCGATGTCGACAATCGACTGACGATCACAGAAGTTATGGAACACCCTTGGATGACGGCATCCTGAGCTTTCTATTCTCTCGACACCCGGAACGTGCTGGTTTACTAAACCCACCACTGGAATAGTGCGTACGATCGATATTCTTTTTATCTCACTGGAATCACGCCTCACGACATGTTCTACGATCCATGGACCGTGGCACGATACCCCTATCATGTGCAATGAAATGTCAACCGAGAAGACCATTCGCAGTTGTGTTTTTTTCTTTTTGCCCCGCTCTTTTTTTTTTATCGCATATGCTTTGATTCTATATATTACTTCGGTGAGAGTTTGAGATTACCTGTTCCCTGAAATGATGGCAGCCATGGATTCATGAATAGAGAGACATTGCGGTTTGTTCGATTCCTGGCGATGACCGACGTTGGACCATGCGATATTCTGTCCATTCTTCCGCCTCGTTGATCCTGTCTGCAACCACGCTCCTTTTCTTCTCGATTTCGATTGTCGACTCGGAAGATGTGATCAGCAGCCGAGAGCGCGCGAGCATGAGACCCCAACAAAGAAAAAGAGAGAGAAGACGGGATGTTGATTTGTTGGATAGAAGCATGGATGCAAGATACCCATTAGCTTTTCCCTTGTTCTGTTTCTGCGTTCTTGTCTTTGGAGCGGTTAGCCTTAGTTAATTCGTGTATGTACGAAACAAAAAAAAAAATCTGCATTTTCAGGGATAGCATCGTTGACCATGGTTACTTTGCAGCAAACCAATTGGTTTGCGTAAACGAGAGGGGGGGAAGGGAGTAAAGAAAAGAAAAGTCGACGAAGGCCCCTTGCAGGAGGGCGTTGAGCAGCTGACTGAGAGGAGTCTGGCGAGGACCCCTCCGGTTGGCGGGGGGTGGTGCCATCGAGCCACAGCGCCAGAGTGCAGTGGCTACCCGTGACACTGCAGGGCAGACAGCCTGACGTGCCTGCTGAGGCCCATGGCAGCAATAATTGTCACATCCTGTACAGTACGGATGACCAGCTCAGGCGCTGTGCTCGCGTGTCAATCCTTGGCCATCGCGCTGCGTGTCGGCTCCACCGCTGCTCTGGCCGCCGCCTGACAGCTCTCATTCACGCTCTAGTGGATTCCACCGCTGCGGCTAGCGCATTGGTTATCGCTAATCGATAAGTCTATCCCAAGATAACCTGGCAGCTCGCCGGCGGGGAAGCAGCCGCCACGCTGAGACCCCCCCAGTCAAATGCTGCCTCTACTGCTGCTCTCCACCGGCTGATCCAGCTGTATCCGGCTCGATTTGCATCAGCATCACAGATTTGCCATCGTCGTCTGTCTCTCCAGCGCCAGCAGCCTGTTTGCCTCCGGCCTCCGCGTCCCCACCGCCGTCCATCCGCATTGGCTGGCGTCTGCGCTCCCCTCTCCCAGTCGCCCTCCCAAACTCGACAGCTCGACTCTGTCCTCTTGAGTCTCTGTCTGACCCTGCGATGGGTGGTGAGTGGGCTGCTTAACTCAGTTCCTGGTACGTAGCCGGTACCTCGTTGTCTGTCCCTCCCCTCCCTTCCCCCCTGCCATTTTTCCATCAGCTCTGCCCTTGGACGCCGATCGCCCTCGTTATCTCTCTCCCGCCTGTCCACCTGGTCTGGAGATTTCCTCTCCCGCCATCTTCGTCGTGAATTGCGTCTCTGTCTTATCGCAATTCTCCCTTGCCCTCGTCTGGATGACTGTGATGCCTGACTGACGTTACCTCCTATCAGCTCCCTGGTACCGCTTTGTTCCTATTCCCGGTCCATGGTCCAGGCAAGGCCTGAGCCAACCACCCCTTCTCCGGCCTGCAAATCAGTCACCGTCACTCAGCCCACTGCGTCTTACCTCTCAGGACCGTCTTGTTCTGCCCCTCTCCCATACACTCTGGCCGCAGTCTCTCTCTCTGGTATATTTCTCGGCCTCACGCCGGATTAATTTCTCCCTCCACACCTCTCCCGGACGGAGAGGGAACCCCGCCGTGTCTCGTCTTGTCGACGTCGTCTGTGGATAGCCTCACATATCCCGGTCATGACCTTCTACTAGACGGAGGCCCCGGAATTGCGGTCTCGCTTCCGGTACGACATCTCAAGGCATTGTCCATTTGGCCCAAGCTTCTGTTTGCCTGTTATTTTCTACTCTGTAGATCCTGAGCCTTTCCATCTATTGTGTCTCGGGCCTGGGCGGTTGATTGTTGCCAGACGGTGGTAGTTCCACTTGGTTCAATCCCCCAGAATTCACATCGACAATCCTGTGACAACCCTCACAGGACCATCATGACTTCCACAACGGATGAGGTAGTGGAGAGTCCCGGGACGGCCTCCCCGCCCAGTCCGACGACGTCGACGGGACAGATTCCTTTGGAGCAGCCTCCGAAAGTGAAGGGGCGCCAGAGGTTGTTGCAGAGCCTGCAACGCATGTCTTCAAGCCCAACTTTGGTCCGACGGACGAGATCATACTCGGTAGGCTATCAGAGAGATGGCAAGGCTTCCCTTTCTTGCGTCTCCTTGACACCGGCTGCCCACGGCGCATGCTGGAGTGACCCCAGTGCTTCCTCCTCTCAGTTCTATGGAGGACTCAATCCCAATGACCCTGTCTCGCCTGCTCCATCTCCAGGCAGTGCTCGAATCCGTCTCATCGGAGCTCTCCCCAATGCTTCTCAAGCGACCGTTCCCTTACCGGCGGATCTGCGCCCTACCTCTCGAGGCATGCAGCGGGAATCTGGCGAGCCAGCGTCAGAATTGGTCAATGAGATGGGCAGTGAGGAAGCAGCCGCCGCCCTTCAGCCGGTCAAACGGAAGATTGACTTCTGGCGAGACATGCCCGATGAGATCAAGATGGAGATCTTCCGCTACCTGACTCCCAAGGAGATCGTTCGGTGCTCCGTGGTATCCAAGGAGTGGTACAAGATGTGTTTTGACGGGCAGCTGTGGTCTCGCATCGATACGTCGGAGTTCTATAGCCAGATCTCAAGCGATGCCCTCGTCAAGATTATCACTTCGGGTGGCCCTTTCATTCGGGACCTCAACCTCCGAGGCTGCGTCCAGCTGAAGGACAAATGGCTGTCAGATGGCGAGCGGATCACGGATGCCTGCCGCAACGTCGTCAACTTTTCTCTGGAAGGGTGTCGCATCGATAAAACCGCGATTCACTACTTCCTGCTCCGAAACCCACGCCTGGAGTATATCAACATTTCCGCTCTGTCCAGTGTGAGCAACTCTGCCATGAAGATTATTGCCCAGTCGTGCCCGCACCTCAAGACCCTCAATGTGTCGTGGTGCTCCAATGTTAATACCAAGGGCCTGAAGCGCATTGTCGAGTCGTGTTCGGAGTTGACGGACCTCCGTGCTGGTGAAATCCGCGGGTTTGATGACGAAGCCTTCATGGAAGCGCTCTTCAAGAGGAATACCCTCGAGAGGCTGATCATGCATCGGACGGACGTCACCGACCGGAGCTTGAAAGTTCTCATTCATGGGACCAACCCCGAGATCGACGTCCTGACGGATCGACCCATCGTCCCTCCGCGGAAATTCAAGCACTTGGACCTCCATCAATGCTCCCTCTTAACCGACGGCGGCGTGAGAAGTCTCGCCCACAACGTCCCATACCTCCAAGGCCTTCAGCTCTCCCAATGCACGGAGCTCACGGATAATTCTATCATCGAGGTGGTCCGCACCACTCCAAGATTGACTCATCTTGAGCTCGAGGATCTCGACAAGATTACCAACAACACTCTGGTGGAGCTGGCCAAATCCCCCTGTGCGGAGAGATTGGAACACCTCAACGTCAGCTACTGCGAGAACCTGGGTGATCCAGGAATGCTGGCTGTGCTGAAGAGTTGTCCGCGTTTGAAGTCGGTCGATATGGACAACACGCGCATCTCCGATCTTTCCCTCATGGAGGCCAGCTTTCGGGTCCGCAAGCGTGGATATGGGACCTCATTGCCACGAGTCGGGCTGCGGCTGGTGGTATTCGACTGTATCAACGTCACATGGGCCGGTGTCCGGGAAGTTCTTTCGAGCAACGCCTATCTGCCTCGGTCCCTGAAGACTGGTTCCGCACGGGTCACCGTGACGGAGACTGGTGAACGCAGCGATGCTTCACTGCCCTCGTCTGCGAGCAGTGATGCTTCGCCGTCGTCGCCGCCCGCGCCAGTTCAAATGTATCCCAACGAGATCATCCAGCTCAAGTGCTTCTATGGCTGGCAAATGACGGTGGATGAGCACACTAAGCGGGTGCTGCGTGGCGATCTTGCGGCAGCTGCCAGACTGGATCGTAAATGGGCGGATTACATGATGGCCACCGAGGAAGCTGGCGCGGCAGGCGCGGGAGCCAGAAGACGGAGACGTCGCGTACGCGAGGCAGAGAGACTGTTCAACGATGATGAGGAGGATGGTGGCATAGGCATCATATCACCACTCGCGGGGAGAAGACGACGAGCGCGGAGTGGCGGTTGCATAGTAATGTAATGCCGCAACCTGCGCAAGATCCATCGACATCTCTGGGAACGCTACCTGATAAACTGCTGAGTGAGGTTGCATGATGTTATTCTATCAGGGTGAGCCAGGTGGCAGGAGATTGCAGGTCCACGTGTTCGAGATGACATTCACCCATGAACGAATGACTACATGAAGACAGTACTCCATTACTCTCTTTTCTTTGACATTTCATTTCTCTCTCTTCTTTCCTTTGTTCTGGTCGGAGTAACTACGGTTTGCACTTACACTACACGGCGTTGCCGTCTGCAAGGCGCAACGGGGTGATACAGTTTACTGGCTTGTTAAACGCGCAACTCCACTTTGTTATTATGGAAAGTGTTATTTGTCGGTTGATCATCCTAGCAGGGAGGCAGGCGGGGGGAGTTTCGGGTAGGGAATGATTGTTGATTGACTGTTGATTGATTTGATTTGACTCAATTTGTCGATATCGGTCTTATCCTTTTTCCTTTCCTTTACACTTATGGATCTCGATAGAATAGTTCGGAGTTTGTAAGGTTCATCTTGTTATTACTCAGCAGATCAGACAGACAGATTAGCACGGTTATGAAATGGAATGAAATGAATACATGAATGAATGATGTCAATCAGTCAGTAGAAGAAACTAGCTACCTGACTATTTAGTGAAAACTTCTTGAAGTCGACGTTTGAATCAATTTAACTAAATCATGACCTTCATTCAATTCAATTCAATTCAATTCAGATCAGATTGGGTATCATTGATATGCTCTAGTAATTACATGTATTCATATGTAGTAAGTCTTTTTTTCCCCGCCATCTGTGTCTATGTGTATGCGTATGCGTATGCGTATGTATGGATCTCAGTAATAGAGTAGAAAAGAAAAATAATGTACATGCATGACATGATCGAGTTTTTATTCCTATTCTTCGAAGAACCCTCCATCACTTTCATCGTCATCGTCATCGTCGTCATTATTCCGGGAACCACGCTTTTTCCGCGTAGAATCGGACGACTGCTTGTCTTTCTTGTTCTTTGTCGTCGTTGACGATGTCGATTTCTGCTTCGACGATCCTGACTTTCCTCCGTTGGCATTCTGCTCTGCAGCGGTGTTGTTATTATTATTATTAGGAGGAGGATTTTTGGGCTTCCCGTCCACGCCAATGTTGAGTTTCCCTTCACGGAGAAGATCGAGTGTGTTCTCCTTCATGCATTTCTCGACGACGCGCCACATTGGTGGTTTGGAGTTTGGGTCGGTGTGTGGTGCTAGGAGGAGGGCGTTGAGGTCGTCGTCGGGAGTACCGTTTACACTGTTGTTGTTGTCGCTGTCGCTGTCACCCTCGCCGTCTGTAGACTCTTTCTTCTGTTGTTGTTGTTGTTGTTGTTGTTGTTGTTGTTGTTGTTGTTGTTGTTGTTGTTGTTCTTGTTTCTGTTTCTTCTTGTCGTGAGGGAATAAAGAGACGTATTTCTCCGTCAGGGGGTAGTAGATCGTGTAGTTGACGTTGATCTCGGCCTCGCGGATCTTCTCCGCTATCCGTGCCAATGCCTCTGGGTTAGCTGGGGGGTTGGAGGACTCGGTCATCTCGCGCTGTCGGCGCTGGAGGCGCTTGAGTTCTTTGGTTGCTGATTTGCGATCTGTATACAACAAAAAATCAATAATCGTAAGAATTGGTATTATTGACGTCGGCTGTATAAAGTCCAGACTCACCCAGAAATCGAACAAAATGATACCTCTTGATCATCTCCGACCGTTTGCGCCGCTCCAGCTCCTCCTTCAGCTCCTTCTCGTACCCGGCCAGCGCCCGTTCCTGGACGATCCGCGCGTCCGCCGGCAGCTCCTTGTGGTTGAGCAGGCGCTTGACATCGCGGATCCGTCTCTTGAGCTCGTTGACTGATGGGCCCGGGTGCGCCCGGGGTTTGATGTGTTTCTTTGCTTTGTCGTAGGGGTGGAAGCGGCTGGAGCCAGCCATGTTGGTAAAGTTCGCTTTTTTTTTTTTGCTGTCTTCGCACTTTGTACTGTACTGTAGTTCTGGTTTGGTGTGTCGATTTCTATGTACTCCGTTCTATGTGCAGTAATGTTAGAAGTCTCGATCAGTCATTCATTCATTCATTCATCCATTTCAATTCCTGCCATTGTAGATTTTGAATGCGTTTCGATATCAAATCTGTCGCGTGCCTAATCGGGACAAGTCCGCGCGGATCATCAGCCGGCCCGACACCGCGCCGAGATCACATGTGACATGCGGCATCAGCGTGATCGCCGTATCGGGCAGTCCAGAGTCGCTGCAATTGCTTTCTGCAGACACGCTCGATCGGTATCGCGCCCGCGAGCGTGGCCTCTTGTGATGCTCAGTCATGTTGATGAGGCATGCGGGTTGGCTCCGGTGGACAAATATCACACATCTCGCCCCTCGCTTGCCCTGCTGATGATCTCGCAGCCTGCCAGCAGCCATGGAAACCGCCATTCGCTGGTCTCCCTCCTCCACGGCCAGGGAGCAGCGTTTCCTGTACGTCGACGTGACGGGCAGGTCCTTCAGGCTGTGCCGCGTCACCTCCTTCGACGGCCGGAACCTGGACTACGAGGTGCTGTCGACCCATCATAAAGTGCCTGGCTTTCGCGCCTTCGATTGGTCTACCGCCGACGAGTCCCTGATCGCCGTGGGCCAGTCCTCCGGCGAGGTCACCCTGCTGCGCATGGACGGCGACTCGAGCGAGTCTTGGTCCTTTCCCATTCGCAACCAGCGCTACTGCAATGCCGTCGCCTTCAGCTCGCACGGCCTGCTCGCCGGCGGCCTGGACAAGGTCCGCAACGACTTCTGTCTCAACATCTGGGACGTCCACCACCGTCTGGCCGTGAGACACACTCGGGGGAGCCTGGCCGCCGATCGACATGCGTCGGAGCCGCTCAGGAAGCTCGCCAGCTCGGAGCCGATTACTAGCATCAAGTTCTTCAGAGACCAGCCGGATACGCTGGTCGCGGGCGTCAAGGGGCAGTTCCTCAAGCTGTACGACCTGAGGGGTAAGTTATTACCTATCTATATTGTTCCTTTGTGGGAATCCCAAGTTTGCGACTGTCTGACATCGATTAGAGGGCTCCGGTCAAGCGTTTCTTCAGTTCCCGACCAAATGTGTCCATAACACGGCCATAGACTGGCTGGATGAGAATTATATCGCCTCCTGCGCGTCAAATGAGCCCACGGTCTGCATCTGGGATCGTCGGATGGGGCTGCGCTTGACCGCGTCAGCTGCGAATTCCGGGACCCCAGAGGCAGGTCAGTCTGGGCCGGCTTTGGAGCTCCGAAACGTCCTGGACTCAAAGGCTTCGATCTGGAGCCTGCGCTTCTCGAGGACCAAAAGAGGGTTTCTGGGAGTCCTGTCCAATACCGGCCATTTCAAGGCGTATCACATCGCCAAGGAATGCGTATCGGCGGAAAACAACCATTCTCTGGATACCACGCTCGGCCAGGGATCTTCCGCCAATTACCCGGAGCAGATCTACACGAAAAATGTCCGTGACATCCACAGTCCTTTCAATCACCCGACCAGGGGCTGCCCGCAGTCGGAGAGGGTGGTCTCTTTTGATTTTCTCAACATGAGTCCTTCCAACGAACCCAGCGCCATCACTCTGCTGGGAAATAGGAAGGTGGAGATAATCACGGTTCAGCCTCCGTGTCCGAACGTCCGGATGTCATCGCAGAGTGTGCTGGTGCGCGGACGGCCTCATGGAGACCGTGATTTTCAGATAATGAATCCTCGCTCCGGTGGCGCTAGCATATCCGAAGTCGTTCAGGATATACGCAGCCGTGTGTCCTCTCAGTCTCCTCCGCGGGCGCAGTCGGAGGAGCAGAATGGCACGAAGACCAACTGCCTGTCGAGCCGTGAAAGTAGGGAACATGCCCTTTTGCTGGGCACTCGAGGCACGGTTCTCAAGGCTCAAGATGCGTTGACGTTGATGACTCTGAACCGGTTTCGCTGCAAAGAGGGCTACCTTTTTGACTGCGAAAAAAATAAGCAGATTGTCGCTGATGATCCTGCTTTACAGGAATTTTGGGACTGGGTCAAACGTGGGTCTCAGACAGACCTATATACGTATATATATGGCTTTAGCTAACAATTATAGGCGCACGGGATGCCGCTTCGAACTCTTCGATGATTGTCAATGATGTTGATATGAATTACCTCGGTGTGTACAACATCTGGAATAATGATTTAGGTATGTAATACATGGGCCGTCTACTTGTGTTTCGTACTGATTAATCTCGCTAGGGCCAAACTTTCGAAGCCGAAAGGGCACGGCCGACAAGGATGCTATTGACGTTGATCAAACTATCAAAGACTTGGTTCAGCAACTTGACATCCCCGAGAGTCGAGGATGTGAAACCGACTTCATAGAGCATCGCCTACTCTGTCTTCGGATATGCGGTGCAATCGAGTCTAAAGACGAACTGGAGGAGCTCGTCAAGAAGCTTGTCGCGGAAAGACAGCACACCAAAGCAGCTGCCCTTGCTGTGTTCCAGGACGAGGCCAAACTGGCTTTCCTGGCTCTGCGCAACAATGAGCCTACACAGGCTCACAAACTCCTGGCGATGGCCATTGCCGGGGCCACGAAAGGCGAAACCACGGATTCCGACTGGGAGGAAACGTGTGCCGAGATCGCCAAAGAGCTGACGGACCCATACGCCAGAGCGATCCTTGCGCTGGTAAGCAAGGGCGACTGGGAGTCGGTGCTGGAGGAGACGACACTACCGCTGAGGTATCGTGTCGAGGTTGCCTTGCGATGGCTGCCCGATGAGGCGCTCACTGCCTATCTGAGGGAGACAACCGCAGAGGCGATTCGTGAAGGGGATATTGAAGGGATTGTTCTGACGGGGCTGCGGCACTCGGCGCTGGACCTGTTCCAGTCATATATCAACAAATTCAACGACGTTCAGACACCGGTTTTGGCGATGAGCCATACCGTTCCGCGGTTCATTGACGACGAGGCCAGCAAAGCCCGGTTCCGCGCATGGCGCGAGACGTACCGCCGACAGATCAACTCGTGGAAGCTGCAGCTGGAGCGGGCGCGATTCGACGTCGGATGCCGCAAATTCGCCGTCACCTGGGACGGACGGCGACTGATATCGCCGCCTCCGCAGCAGGTCAGTCTGACTTGCAACTACTGCACGCGGCCGTTGAACCAGCAAGACGCGTCGACGTCGAGCGGAGAAGTGGTCCATAGCACGCCGGGATATCCACTGGGTTCGGCAACGATGTCAGGGACAGTGTGTCCGAAATGCCAGCGGCACATGCCTCGGTGTGGAGTGTGCTCGTTGTGGCTCGGGTCACCGGACCCGATGTCGCGGGCGGCCGTGGCAGCAGACTCGAAAGAGAACCGTAAGCCGACCGAGGATGATCTGACGCGGCGGTTTGTGGTTTTTTGTATCAATTGCAACCACGGGTTCCACGCCAATCACGCGCGAGACTGGTTTGCGCGGCATCAGGTGTGTCCGGTGGCGGAGTGCAGCTGTATCTGCGATAGATAGGCCTGCATAGATAGGCCTGTGATAGATAGGCAGATTCTGCTTGTGCATCAGTCTTGAATTGTTGTAATATACCCATCATAGTGTACTGTACATTACTCCTAGAGATGATAATTAAGATACGAGTATCGAACTGGATTAGTTTAGTAACTTGCCAGATGGTTGCGACTAAACAATTGTACTGTAGGCATATAAATGTCTGTCTGTATTAACTGTATAATAACCAACTCTGCTTGTCTTGTTGATGTGTAGTGTAGTATCTATAAAATTCTATAGATAGAGATCGTGTTAACTATGCTATGCGGATGATGTCAGCCATCCACAGCGGAAACACAAACCCCCGTATTAGAGAGCAGAGCCACCAAAAAGTTACTCTGTAAAACTGTTAACAACCAAGACCCACCATCATCATTCACCAAATATTAAAAGATCTGCAGTCTGCAGAGCAGCAACAAGCCAGACCCCACTAAACCAGAGGAACTCTCAGTTTACTTTACTTTACTTTATTTCACTCTGGGGGAGAAAGAAAGAAAAGACTCGGATGATTAATCGATTCAGAGTCTAGCTGAGAGACGCTAACTAGGTAATTAACCCTGCTCGCTAATTACTGGTGACATTCAGTACATATACAAATAGAGTGAGTGAGTGAGTCATTATGAGTCTATCTATCTAATCTAAATAAAAGTCTGAATACGAGTGAGTGAGTGAATCAGTACTAATATTAATTATTAGTGCATGCAGGTCATTTATACTTAAGGTTGCGGCGCACGTGAATATCTATCCATCTACCGATCTATCGATCCATCGATCCATCTTCAGTCAGATATTTGGATTCAGGGTCTGCTTCAGCTTCTTCTTTATTCGAGTTTCTTTCTTTCTTTTTATTTTTTTTTTATTGTCTCTGTGCTCTGTGCAAGGGAATAAACAAATAATTTGCTGGCTTGAAAAAAGAAAAAACAAAACAACAGTTCTGGAAAGTGAAGAGAAAGATTCATCGCTGATTTTCCCTGGCAAACATGTCTGCCCGCAGAGGCAGAGAACTCCCCCGGGAAGTGGCCATCTCCAAGGCCATGTCCAATCTCCTGCGGCATTCGGCGGAGAAGGAGAAGGTGAAGATTAGCCCGGAGGGATATGTCAATGTTGCTGATTTGGTATGTCCTCCTCTTCCCTTTTTATTTTGCTCTTCTGAGGCTGATTTTTTCCCCAGCTCGCGTGGAGAAAACTCAAATCCCTCAAAGTCACGTTCCCCGAGATCCTTGATGCCGTCGCCAACTCGGACAAGAAGCGCTTTTCGCTGCTGTACGTTCCGCCTGCTGATCAGCAGCAGCAGCAACAACAGCAGCAGGAGAAGGCCGCCCAGACGGCGAGTTCAGAGGAAAAACAGGAGAATGCGACGGCGCACGCTCTCTCCGTCAAGGATACCGATCCGTCGCACTTCCTGATCCGCGCGACGCAGGGCCACAGCATGAAGAGCGTCGACACGACGCTGTTTCTCGAGAAGCTGACGCTGAAAGACGATCCGCCGCTATCGCAGCCTCTGCCAGACACGGTCGTCCACGGCACCTATCACGGCGCGTGGCCGCTGATCCTGGCGTCTGGGGGACTCAAGTCCATGGGGCGCACGCAGGTGCATTTCGCGACGGGGCCGTCGCTGGACGAGGTCCTGCCGAACGGGCGCCAGGGCCGGCCGACGCAGCAGCAGAAGCAGACGGTCATCTCGGGGATGCGGTCGGACGCGCAGATCCTGATCTACATCGACCTGAAGAAGGCGCTCGCGGCGGGGTGTCCGTTCTACCGCAGCGAGAACGGGGTGATTCTGAGCGAGGGTATCGACGTGACCAGAGGAGCTGGGGGCGACGACGAGGAGTCGGCCGAGACGAAGGAGAAGGTCGTCCCGCTGGAGTTTTTTGATGTGGTGGTCGAGCGCAAGGTCGGGTTGGGGATCCTGTGGGAGAATGGCCGGGTGGTACAGGAGTTGCCGGCCGAGCTGGCGGGCAAGAAGAATCCGAAGATGAGGGGGGAAGCGAAGGGGAAGAGAAATAAATAGAGAAAATAGCAAAAAATAAAATATTTTATTTAGTCTACTGATGCTTCTGTTGGTCTTCGCACGATCATATCGACAATCGATAGGTGGCTAGCTAGAGCTAGCAGTAGGTCTAGGTTAAGAATCTGACAAATAGATAAGATATCTGATAGAATAATTATTGTCTGGCAAGTCATGAATTATCGAATGATCGACGTACATTTCTGTCCTTGTACAGACTACTCAGTATACTGGAACCCGTACTCGAATTGGTGAGCGGACATAGGGACAGACATTAGCTAAGCCGTGCGGAGAAGGAAATACTCCGCAAGTAATAATAATTACGATTCCTATCATTCAATCTATTCTCTTCCCCATATCCGATCCGATGGATGCGCTCCCCACATTTCGGATAGCGGGGTTGCCCACGCACATGCTGTACCGCATCCGATGCTCTCTGCTCTGTCTGGCGCGTGGAATTGCATTCTGTGATACTATGGCCGGTTATTCGGATCTCTGGCCTCGGCAGCAAGCCATTGGCCGCGTCTGGGTTCAGGACGAATCGGGGTTCCAGGATTAGCATAGCTGTCAGCTTTGGATAGAGATATACAGCAGTCATCAGGTACTCCGTATATGGATACGTCGTGTTCAGGATATATATAGTCTGCTGCTCGTTCACTCTGCATCTATAGAGCATCATATCCATCATACCTACTACTACCCATCAGACATCCGGAGTAAACGACAGACAAAATGACCAAATACGATCCCACCTTCACCGACCGCGTCATCCAGGCCATGGGCCCCAAGACCTCCCCCCGCATGCGCCAGCTCATGGCCAGCCTGATCCGGCACATCCACGACTTTGCGCGCGAGAACGAGCTCACCGTCGACGAGTGGATGGCGGGCGTGCAGATGATCAACTGGGCGGGCAAGATGAGCGACGAGAAGCGGAATGAAGGCCAGCTGCTGTGCGATGTGATTGGGTTGGAGTCGTACGTGCAGTCGAGTATTCAATTGAGCTAGCTGACTGAGGTAGCTGACTGACTGACTGACGCAGCCTCGTCGACGAAATCACCTACAAAGTCGTCTCCGAATCTGACGCCCCTACCGCAACCGCCATCCTGGGCCCGTTCTTCCGCGCCGACACGCCCTTCCGCAACAACGGCGACAGCATCGTGACGGGCGTCGACGACGGCGAGATGGTCTTCATGCACGGCCGCGTGCTGGATTTCAAGACCAAGAAGCCCGTCCCCGGCGCCGTCGTCGAGGTGTGGCAGGCCTCGACCAACGGACTGTACGAGCAGCAGGACCCCAACCAGGTCGAGCACAACCTGCGGGGGAAATTCAGAACGGATGACGAGGGCAGATATTATTTCTACTGTCTGCGGCCGACGCCGTATCCGGTTCCTAATGATGGTATCTACAAATATACTCAGTTTTATAGTGTCTGTGCAGACAGCTTACAGGTTGATCTGCAGGCCCTGCAGGCAAACTCCTCGAACTGATGGACCGACACCCCTACCGTCCAGCGCACATCCACCTGCTGGTCACACACGACGCCTACAAGCCCCTCACGACGCAGATCTTCGACCGCCAGGACCCGTACCTCACCAACGACTCGGTGTTTGCCGTCAAGGACTCGCTGATCGTCGACTTTGTGCCCCGCAAGGACGATCCGCAGGCTGGGTTGGAGCTCAACTATGATGTGAAGCTGGTGCCTGCTGAGGGGAAGGTTAATGGGGAGCTTAAATGAAATAGTGGGTGATATGGTTAGGAGAGATTATGATACCAGTTTGTTGTTATTATTGTCTTTTTTTAAAAAAAATTTCTTGTTAGATAGTATTAGGTCATGGTATATGAGAGTGTCTGTGTATGGATTTTATCCACTGTTAAAAGAGATCGATAGATACTGGGTGTTTTCACTGCTGTTGATTTTCAGGGTTCGACAAGGTGATAATTCATGTAATCTACTGCCTATGGTTTTCTTCGCGATTAACAAACTGGATATTTTGGATATTCTACTCTATATTATGCTGCTGCCACCGTCTTGGCGAAATTGGCAATCAACTTGCCCACTTCGTCGCTCGCCTCGATGCAATGCCAATGGCCCACCCCCGACAGCACCTCGAATCGCTTGTTCTGGCTCGACACGTTGGCGAAGATGTGCTTGCAGCCGTCCAGCGGCGCCGACTTGTCCTCGTCGCCCGCAATCAACAGAAACGGCGCCTTCACGGCCGCGTAGTCCGGTGCCGTGGCCGTCGAGATCACCCGGCACAGTGAAATGTAGCCCAGCGGGTTCTGGCCCAGGAGCAGCTCGCGGATGAATGCCTTGTGCAGCGGTCGGCTGCGCGATCCCGTCGCGGCGTCGGGGATGCTGTTGGCCATCGGCTCCATACCGTCTGGATCATCGTCATCAACTCAGCTCGTGTCTGCTGGGAATGCATGTCAACCAACCTTCAGACACCACCTGGATGCGCTTCTCAAAGATTCCGCCCGTGCTCGCCGTCGGATGGACCGGCCCGATGGAGACCACGGCCACGATTCGGTCCGGCAGCTTGGTCGCCAGATGCAGGGCCACGGTGCCGCCCAGCGAGTGGCCCACGACGGCCGCCTTCTGGATCTTCAGCGCATCCAGCACGCCGGCGAAATCGGCCACCATGGTGCCGACGCTCTGCTCCAGGCCCGTGTACGCGGAACGCCCGGAGCCGTACGAGTCGACGGTGATGCAGCGGTGGTGCGGCGTGAGGTCCGGCAGGATGGGGAAGTAGTAGTTCTGCGACGAGCCCAGGCCGTGGATGAAGACGAAGGTCAGGCCGCCCTCGGGGGCGCCCTGGGGGTGCGAATCGGCGTAGTGCAGCCGTTTCTGGTCGATGTCGACGAAGGGCATGGCTGGAGAGGAGAGCTCGCGGCGATCACCCGGCAGAAACAGTGCTGCTGGCCATGCTGGGCGACCTTAGCCTTTAAGAGGCGCGGAGGTCGTCTTGTGTCATGGCGACGAACGGTTGACGTCTGCCAGCCGATGGAGAAGTCCCGCTGCCGAGAGCCGAACCGCCGGACACGTGCTTCCCCACGTGCGGAGAACAACCAGCTCTCCGTCTGGAGAATCTACGGAGTACATCATATCAGATCCATTGCCGAGCCTGGCCTGTCTCTTCCGACGCTGCTTCCGATGCTCTGCCTGCCCTCGTCTCCTGCCAACTCGCCCTGCAGCTCGTCTCCGCCGATCGGCTATGGCGCGTCAGAAGGTCGCCCCGGAGAATCGCATCCGCGCCGCCCAGGCGTGCGAGAACTGCAAGAGGAGGAAGCAGAAAGTACGTCCGTTTGCTCACCCTACGCTGCTCAGATCTGCTGACTAGCCAGTGCAATGGCACCTGTCCCTGCGGAAACTGCATCAAGCGCGCCGTCGAGTGCCATTTCCTGCAGCCCGTCCCTGCCACGGGCGACCCGACGACCTCGACGACCTCGTCCGTCCCGGCCCAGCACCCGAATCGCAAGAAACGCGTCCTGTCCGAGACCGGTTGGAGCTCGTCTGAGAGGACCAGCGCCAGCTACGGCCATCGCCTGTCTTTCGCCCTGACCAGCTCCGCTCCGAGCCTGGACATCAGCGTGCCCGCCAGCACGCACCTCTCTCCGCCCTCGCAGAACCCGCCGCAAGACCCTTTCCCCGCGATGAACGCCGTCAATGGCCAGTCCCCGCCCGTCGAGCAGAGCGGCGGCTCCGAGACGGACGAGGCGGAGATGCAGGGGGCGTCGCGCATGCTGAATGACGGCAAGGGAAGGATGTGTAGGTCGCCTGCAGTTGTCGTCTGGCACTGGCAGACGAAGACGTCGTACTGACCAGAGACACCGTATGTAGTGTATATTGGAGACTCGGCCCCCTTGTCGTACCTGCAGACCGTTCGACAGCTGGTTAGCAGCGTCGTCGGCACGTCTGCCTTCACCATCGATCCCCAGCGACATAAGATCCTCGAAACGTCCGTATCCGCTCCTCCCGCATACCACCACACGTATACGCTTCCAGACCGAGAAGCTGCCTTTTTCCTCGTAGACGCCTTCTTCGCCAATGTAAGCCGGCTGCCATCGGAGAGGAGAAAGTGGCCTCTAACTTGTGGATCAGACGAAAGGGGTGATGCATCTGTTCGACGAACGCTCCTTTAAGCAGCGCCTTGAGCGTACCTATCAAAACCCCCTGGCCGCAGAGCAGTCCTGGATGTGCATTTTGAACCTGGTCTTTGCCAATGGCCTGCAGCTGAGAGCGACGTCGCCGCAGCCGTCGCCCGCCGAGGCGGCCATTCTGAAGCGGCTGCAGTCGGACAAGTTCGACCGCAGCGAGATGTTCTTCCTGACGGCGAAGCATCTGAAGGACTCGACTTCGGGGTTCGAGGACGGCGATTTCGCTTCCATCCAAGCACTGCTGCTGATGACGCTCTACATGTTGTCGGTGGGGAAACGAAACACGGCGTGGGCGTATTTCGGTATTTCCCGATGTCTCTATACATTGTGGTCGTTCTACCGCATTGCTGATATGATGGTTCCAGGAATGGCTGTCCGGCTCTCTTACGCTCTGGGTCTGCATCGAGTAGAGGCGCAGCGCATCTACGACGAGTCGGAAAGGGTGTCGAGGTCGGTTCCTAGGTATTTCCCGCGGGTTACAAAGCCAGTTGGTGTGGGTTTCTAATGTGTGTAGGACCATGCTTTGGAGAAGTCTCTACGTCATGGACCGCTTCTTGTCGGCGTGCTTGGGGCGTCCGACTCCCATCAACGACGAAGACTGCTCCGAGGAGTTGTTCTCCGACAACCAGGTCAAGACAGGTTCGTCGCCAGAGAGTTTTGAATCGGAGGCTCTGTCGGCCTCGGTGCGAGCGGCCCAGATCCTGGGAGTCATCCTGAACCAGATATATCGAACCCGCAAGGTGTCGCTTCGGATCGCGAGAAACATCGCAGTCAAGATCCACGAATGGACGCAATCGCTGCCGGAACTCCTGCAATGGCATCCAACGCCCACCCCGCACGATGATCCCGGGGTGGCGATGGGCCAGCTACATCTGTGGATGACGTACTTCAGCACGATCATTCTCCTCACGCGACCTTTTCTGTTGCTGCACGTCAAGAAAGCCATCTACCAGCAGGGGTCCAAGCCGCAGAACCCGACGGAGGCCTGCGCCAGCTCTCCGGCAGAGAGTCGCGTGGCAGAGAATCCCGAGCTCCACAAGTATTCCGCCGCGTGCGTCCGCTCGGCGATCCATATGATCCGGGCGGTGCAGACGATCCGAGTGAAAGGTTGTCTTCCGCGGAGGAATCCATTCATCATGTAGGACTCCATCCGTCGAGAGTTTTTGTGAGAGGATGCTGACGTGTGTAGTAACTGGATGTTTCTCGCGGGACTGATCGTCCTGACGAATTCCTTTTTCAACGTCTACGAGAATCCAGAGAACGACTCGATCGCGCAGATAGCGATTCTCCTGCACCAGTACTTTGCCGAGATGGATCCCCTGGCCGCACGATATCTGCAGATCCTGACTGCATTCCACAAGACGGTCACTGAGAGCCGGTCGTCGAACCTGCCGTCGAAAGACGTTGGCAGACAGGATCCGATTGAGAACCTCTTCTCGACGAAGCAAAGCATGGTAACGCCGGACGGCCAGGGGATTGTTACGACTTACGTGTCTACGCAGAACATGGCGCCAGCGGCGGCATGGAACTGGGCCGATGGAACGGGAGAAAGACCGACAGATGTGGACATGACGGCCAGCAATATGAACGCTCACGAGAGCGTCGAGGGGCTGGTGTTTCCTGGAGCGGAGGAACTCCTGGGGCCGGACCCGGGGCCAGTTCTGGAGGAGGTGATACATTTCGATGCGCTGTGGCCGCTGAATCAGGATTCGAGCGGTCTGTATCCGGGGCATGTACCCATGTACGGGACGACCAATTATTTATAGTACGACCAACTATACTATATACAGGTTGCATCTTTACATTTGGATTGGGATCTTCTCATTTCGCGGCAGCAGCAGAAGCAGCAGCAGCAGCAGCTTGAGCAGCAGTATCCTGAGCAATCACCCTCTATCAGCACCGCTCAACTCAACTCAACCCATCTCAACTGGATTCAACTCAACCCAAACTCACCAGATAAACCTGATAATACCTCATCTTCGGCTTTCCATCATTATCAAAGACGAACTCTGCCCGCGCGGCCCAGTCAATCTCCACTTGCCTACCGTCCGCCTTCATGACATAGGCCACTTTTCCGAAAAGCATGAGGTCGTTGGCGCCGCCGAAGAAGATCTTGGTGGGCGTGTGGTGGCGCGCGGTGACGGTTGTCCAGAGGGACTTGCGGAGGGCGAGGATTTCTATGCAGTCAGGCAGTCAGAGCAGTCAGGTTAGGATGGGTCTTTCATCAAGATCTGTGGTTGAATGGTTGAATTGTCGAATGGATGGTTCAAAGGGGTTAAAGGGGTTAAAAGAAAGGAAAGAAACAGATGGATGGATGTGTTGGCGCTTTGTTTTTTCTTTGGTCCGGTCTGGAATGTTATAAATACTCCCTCCGTACTCCGTACATGTATGTTATACAGTCATAGATATATCTAGATAGATACCCTGTAAACTAAATCAAAAAGTAAAACAGAAATAAAAAACAAATCCCAACGAGAACAAACAGACAATATACACATACACACACACACACAAGGTAAATAAGTGATGAATAATATACATACCATCAAACCCCCTCGCAACCCTCTCAGCACTACCCATAACGAGCGTCGCATCAGTCGTAAAGTACTCCCTCGCATATTTCTCGTGCGCGGAGGGGTCGTCGCTCGTTGCGTAGAAGGAGGATAGGAAGGAGGATAATTGTTTGGCTTGTTGGGGGGAGATGCTGTTGTTGACGATGTAGGTTATTTTGTAGGAGGACATCTTTCTTCGTTGAAATGATAAATTGATTTGATGGAAGTAGGTAGGTAAGTAGATAGTATCTCTGAATGATATGATATACAGTACAAGAACAGACGATAAATAAATAAATAAAAACAAACGAATTGATCGATTAATCAGATGAGATAAATAAATAAATAATCCGTGCAATTAATTACCTAGGTAGTGAGTGTATTCAGGTGGGGTTGTAAGTAAGATCGATACTAATATCGATGCTATCGATCAATCAATCGATAGATAGATAAATGGATGATAGATGGATGGATAAATGATTTTAATTAATTAACAATGAGGATAAATAGAACTAATACCTACCTACTTCTGGTACAGTACTACTGTATGTACTGTGCAGTACAGTCGCAGGCAGATCCGATCCGATAGATGATGGATTTCGGGTTTGGTGTCGGTTAACTACCTACCTAGGTAGGTAGTTGATCGGATAAGGTACTGTACATACAGACATACATCATCCATTACATAGGCACACATATGTACATGCTACAGGGCTAATTATAGTGTTAATTTTGGTTCTATGTGTCTCTTGCTATATAGGCATGTTCATGTAGTACTGTACTGTAGGTTCTTTCTTAACTAGGGTTTGTATACAGTCTGCTCTAGATTGTATGTATAACGACTCTAGTGGCTATGGCTATGGCTATGTCCATTCACCCCATTCAACCCGTTGCTACTGCCAACCCTGCGATCCTCCTCCTCCTCCAAGAAATCCTCCCAGCTGGGTCGATCGCTCCCGTTCGGCCGACTCGCTCGCACAAAGACGTTGTCCACGCCCTCAATCTCCGCCACCGGTCGAACCACCTCTATCTCCGCATTGTACGCCCGCGAAACCCACTTCTCCGTGTACGGGTTCGGCCCCGCTGGCGCAAACACCTCCGGAAACCGCTCCCTCATGATGTTCAGCGTCGTCGCCGAGATCCGGTCCACGCTGTCGTGGTGCCGCAGCTCAAAAAACTCCGCCGGCTGCGCCGCTCGCAGCTTCTCCTGGATCTCCCGCGGATACATGCCCACGGCGAACAGCAGCAGGTCGTAATGCATCAGCGACGCCTTGCCGTGGTACGATCCCCCCGTCTTTGCGCGATGGTACAACCCCGTCAGCGCGGCGATCGCCCCCATGCATCCCGTCCCGTAGTCGGATATCGGGAATGGGGGTACCACCGGCGTCGAGAGGTTCATGAATTGCCCCTGCGCCCAGGCCACTCCGGTGACCTATCATTCCCATGTTAGCAACCAACCAGCAAAAAAAAAAAGCTAGGATAGGATCCCTACACAATCCGCAATCTGCTGCCACCCTGGACGTCCGGCCCATTCACCCTCGTATCCAAAGCAATTCTCGTTGACATACACTATGCCCTTCCCCCGCTTCTCTGCCAGCTCCGCCAGCTTCTCGGGCCCGTAGCCCAGTCTGGCGAGCGCGCCAGGCCGATAACCGTCCACAAACACATCCACATCCGCAAGGAGCTCTTCAAACTGCCGCCGGCCGTCCGGTGTCTTCAGGTCCAGATCCGCCGCATGCTTGCCCATGTTTCCATCAACTTGAAAGAAAGGCACGTCGCTGAGGTTCGGGCTCGTGATCTTGAGCACGTCGGCGCCATACTCAGCCAGCACGCGGGTGATGGTCGGCCCGGCGATGATGCGACACAGCTCGAGCACCTTGATTCCCTCCAGGATCCGACGCCCGCCGCTGCGTGCAGCCGGGAAGGGCGTGGGCGGTAGATCTCCCTTTAGACGGGTGACTTTCCACGGCGGTTCCTGCACGTTGATTTTGCCATGTGGAGTCTTGATAAAGTCCTCGTATTTATACGCCGTCACACCCGCCTGCCTTCTTTCGGCATTCATCTTCTCCAGCTCTGCGGCTGTGAACTTCTGCACCTGGCTTTCAATCACCCGGATGATTTCCCGGTAGTCCGTCAGGTCGGGCCGGTACGCTTCCAGTCCGATCATGTTGAGAGTCGTGGTGGCTTCCAACGAGCCGTGGATGTGGAAGAATTCGCCTTCGTTTTTGGTCCGGTAGAGGTTGGCCGACATTCGCCGGTAGCCGTTGGACTGCGCCTGGAGGAGATCCGTATCTAGAGACGTAATCGGGCTTAATATAATATAATATAAATATAATATAGATTCTTTGATGACACACCTTTCAGCTTGGCGCGTACCCCCGGGTCCAACTTCCCCAGCCCATCCACCTTGGCCAGGTACGCCTGGCATCCAAAGCAGGTCGCCCTCTCCAGGCTGACCCGGATGCTTCGCTTGTGCGTGCTCGGGCCATAGCGGAGATCTGCAATGGCAGCAGCCACCAGCGCCTCGACGCCTTTCAGCGCGGCGAGCGTTTCCGTCTCCTTGAACGGGATGGGGAAGTAGATCTGGTCGGTGGTCGAGTAGAACGAAACCGCGTCTTTGTTGGCCACCGCTTCGGACGGCAGGTTCAGTGCCTGCGACTGCTTGCAGAGGAAGTTCAGGATACGGCCTGCTTCGCGCACGGGGGAATACTCCCCGTCGCCGTCAACGTCGACTGCTGAGACCATCTTGTTGTGTCACGTGGTAATAGTAACCAGGGTCTGCAACTCTGCACGATGACATGGAGGGGAGGAAGGAAACGTAAGGTAGGTACCTGGCAGAGAGAGAGGTACCTCTTAGTTTACCATCCAGACAAAGATGGTTGGTGCAGGAGATCGGTTAGGTAGGCAGACAAACTGCCGTCCGAATAATGCAATTAATCAATCAGTGGTCGATCAAATCTGACGTACGAGACACTTATACTACTGGTGGACGGACGTCATGCCCTCAACCGATAGTCAATGAATGGATCAGATCCATTAGATTGGATATGCCCCGATCCGGCAACGGCACCGGTAGATAAATCCATCACATCTGATCTCATCTTCCCAGCTTCTTGGACACACAGTCAATCAGAATGTAATTACTCGTTCCGCGCGCTGATGAGAGGCTAGCTGACAAGAGATAGACATGCAGCAAGGCCGCGGAATTGCTCCCAGGCCGGAATCACACCGGATAAAGACCCGAGCGACGCAGTTCCTAGGCTGTATCTGCAGGGGAGGAGTAGACAGGACCATGGATCGGATATGGGTTGCTGATGTGGGGTTCCAGAGGAGTAGGTACATGTCCCCAATCAACAGGATAGGTTAACTCGCAGGTTCGCGGTCCGATGCGTAACGGACCGAACACCTTGATTGCGTGCTTCCTCGGTTGGAGATGTAATCCATTCGTACGGAGTACAGAGTACAAAGGGAGGATTTATTGGACAGACGCATTTATCAATCAGACCTCCCACTTGTATGGAGTAAATAATTATACTCGATTGAGATCTTGATTCTTGTCATGGACATGGTCATGATTTCACGTGACACCACGTGATAATAGTCACGTGTCTTATAGATGACCGATTCAACGACACATATTCATGAATATGGTATGTTGATCACTTACTGCTCGTTACTGCTGGGACATGATCTCAGCTTGATGGCTCATTTACTTGAAAAAAAAAAGACTCCATATCTTTTTATCGAGGTGACCATGGAAGCGTGTAAGAGACACAACACACACAGACTGCGAGAACAAAGTGGACGTGATAAATCCGTCAAACGAATGGGTTTCAACTAGAAATTACGGATTACTTGGAAAGTTGAATCGAATTATGGTTCTGCTAAATGCTCAAGTCGACGACAACCACCTACCTATCAAACTTGCATGTGACAACCTTATTAGCAGGTCCGGCTCTATGTGCTGTACCTACTCTGTACGTAGGTAAGTTAGGTCATAACCCTAGTTCATCTTTGTGTGCGAAATATTATTATTGCCCACATGAGGGTTGGTTCATCATGTTCATTGCTATTGCGCTGCATGGAGTCCCCCTGATCAAATGCTGGAGGCGAATTGATCCTGAATTGGCTTGCTACAAGTCAATTGCATAGTAATTAACAAGTACATGCATACATGTAGTGTGAAGTACTGTAGAAGTCGCAACTAGAAGACTTTCACAGTCGAGTAAGTACTCGACAAATGACGTCAGACATCGGAAATTGAAGCTGTCTGCAATTGAGATTATTATTGTACGGAGTACTCCGTAATGAATGGCCCGTAATTAACGTGTATCAGACCCACCCTCGGATTCCATCCTCCCGGCAGTTACTATTAATTAGAGCTGGTCTGTGATTCTGTGGAGTTCGGGAGCCAAAGTCTGGAACCACAATACAATACAGAAGGCATACAATACAATAATGCCTTGCGCTAGAGGAACCGTCGCGAGGCTATCTGAAGATAGATTATATCGTGCAGTTTCAGCAGACTGCAGACGGATTATCACTGTTTTCATCGTCAATGGTAGAACGGAATGGTATAAGACAGTCTCAGTTAGTAGGTCGAAGACGAGATCTCGATCTTGGCCTGTTTGAATAAGAAACAATTGCTGATCGACAGCGGGATCCTCACGAAGATTCCGTCCTGTGGAAAGCGGTGCATTATTTCTATCCAGACAGTGGAAATCCTACCAGCCGTGGAATCTGACGTCACCTCAATCCACAGAAAGCCACAGCCAACATTGTCGCATAGAACAAGCCTCAGGAATCAATATCTGGTCTTGAAATTATGTAATCTGGTCTTTGTCTCAGATAAAGCTGCTTGGACAAAGAACCAGGTACCAATATTGTAAGACGGAATCCACACACTATAAATAGACTATGCAAGGATTCGCAGTGATCCATACTGAGTCAGACAGTACCTGTTGGTTAGTATCAGTATATACGGAGTAGGAGGGGCATGCTGGTCTCGCGTTCTTGTCAGGAAGAACCCCACGCAGCAGCACTCGACTATGCTGGAAATAGACTCAGCCTATAACTCGGTCTATTATTTGGAACCACGAGCTGGCTCTACACAGACACCATTCCTTCGAACCCGTGTCGCAGCTGATCTGATTATCTTGTGTGTGCGGGGAGGCTGTGTGAAAGCGAAGGATCCACGTGCCATAACGGACGGATGATAAGGCGCTGGAGCGATTGGCGAGACGGGCACACTGGTGACTGCCATCCCAGCCTATCGCGATCCCACATGCCCAAAGACGAGTCCGGAGTGCATGCGACCTGAAAGTCCCTCAGCATGCCGACGTATGCACATGATGCTTGTGCATGGCAATCCTGACATGAATAGGGCTATGCCTGCAATTATGAACAAGAAAAGAAAAGAGAAGAAACAGATAGAAATTGATTCTTCTGCTAGGTCCATCACTATGAATTAGGCGCGTGCACTATCGTAGGGATTGACAGGCTATACGAGGACAGCGGACACCGCCAGACCAGCTCCGGTCGCTCCCGGCGCCGGCGCAGGCAGCCCCAGGGTTTGGCGCGCTATGCATTGCCCAGTGCAGCAAGGCGCTGCCAATCAAGGCCACCACGCGGTACCAACAGCCTTCTGGCTCCTTCTATGGCTGTATCGAGCACGCGGTAACAGGGCCGTAATTACCTGCCGCTGCCTGCGACCGCCGCGTAAAATTACCGGACTGCATGACCGTCCGCAGCATCCGTTGCTCCTTCCCATCCACCGCTGCCCCCACCCAATCGGGCAGGACCCTTGCCCTTGTGACAGAGGGCGTCGTCAACGCGCTACTTCTACTTCTATGCTCATCCTCCCTCCTCCCCTCCTCTCTCCATCAAATCACTCCCGATCATCTGGACTTGCTGCTACTGAGACCTGCTCGACCTGTTAGACTCTTTCTTTTTTTCTTTTTTCGACTGGACAGTCGCCTGTCGCCTGTCTGTACCTTACCCTATCTCCTGCCAGCGCGTCGCATTACATCCGCTTTTGGTAACTGACCGTCCGCTGTCAACGGCCAGTTCATCCAGCACCGTGTCAACAGATCGGCGAACTCGTGGATAGTCGCGCAGACTGACGTGAGTCGCCCTTGCCCCTTGCCATCCAGATCTGGCCTTTACGCGTCTTTCTTGCTCTTATCGCCGCACCTTCGTGGTCTTCTTCCCCTTATCTCCCCCTGGATCTGTGAGCTGGGGCTCTGACTCATATCCTGGTCTCAACAGCTCTTCCCATCACCAAGACGCGATCATGGCTCCCCAGACGGCCGCATCTACCATCGGCATGGCCCTGGCTGGCAAGACGGCTTCTGTCGACATCCCCAAGCCTCGCGACGCTGGAAATGGCAGCAGGGGCGGCTTGGCTGCTCGCCCTGGCCAGGGACATGGCCAGCTGCCAACTCCCCCCAACTCCATCTCTCCGACTCTTTCTCCACACACCTTCAAGCACAAAAATGCGGCCAACCTCCCCGACTCGCCTCCCGCTGCTCCCGTGCACGTCGACTCCGATATCGACTTGCAGGACGCCGTCGACCATGCAAAGAGCCAGGACCAGCCGCCACATGGCCCGACCACGAACACCATAGACAGTGCTGGTGCCATCACCCCCGCGCTGTTGGCCAAATACCACCTCCCCGACATTCTGCTTAACCACGGCCCCCTGGCGATCCGCCACATCATGGGCTACCTCACCACTTCGGTCCCCGGGTTTGCGAGTATCCCTCCCGCCAAAGCGCGCAGACTGGTCGTGGGTGCCCTGGAAGGCCGAGGAAATGGCGGTGAGGGTGGAGGCATCAATGGGGATGTGATCTTCGAGAAGGTTGGTTGGGGTCGCTGGGACGCACGTCGACGCGGCCAGCCCGCCCGGGATCGACAAGCCTTAAACAACTCGTCCCCACCATCCAGCGTCCCAAACTCCTACCGGCAGGGTGTTCAGATCCCTCAGAACTCGCAGTGGAGGAGCTCCAACAGTCGACCGGCCTATGGAACCAGCATGACCGGTGACTCTGCCGCCTTCTCCCACTCCGACCTCGACTACCCCGAGCACGAAGCGGACAAGATGTCTCTCGACGGAGAAGACCGCGATTACTGTTCCTCCTCCGAGGCACCTGACGATGCCGCTGTTCCCGATGACGAATGGGATGACGGGGACGTCACAGACGAAGAGGATTGGGCAAATATAGGCGCTGATGCCCTCCGAGCCAGATCTTTGAATGGCGGCGGCATTGTAAATACCAATCATCTTGCCATATATTCGAATCAGAAGCAGCAGTACCCTCAGCGGAGCGGGGGTGGTCCTGCTTCATCCACCTTGGCGAAGTCAGTGCCGGGCGGTATACCTGTTCAGCAGTCGGGCTTTTCTCTTCCGGACGGCGTTGGTGGCGATCTCGAAGAGCGTGCGGCAGTTGAGGCGCTCTTGAAACTCGGATCTATGTAACATGACCTTTTTTTTTTCGCAGTCGGATAATTTTATTCGTCGTTCATGTCACATCCTTGGGATGTGACTCGAATTCGTGCTTTACTGGTTGAGGCTGGCCCTAACCAGGCAGATACAGTCCTTTTTTTTTCTCTCTGTCTTCTTTTCTCTTTTGCCGCCGTTGGTGCTCGACTGCTCAACTACTCATTCAGAATAAAACTTTAGCATTGCACATCGTCTGTTTTTCAATTGGGACATTGGGTTTACGGACATGGGAACTGGGCTTGTTTGGGAATCGGATACCTGCCTATGAAGGCATTACGGCGTTTTCTCCTCATACTTTTTGTCATTGGTTACGGGATACTCATGGCTTTCTTGTGATGGTGACCTTGAGCCTGCGCGAAAGCAAGCGCCGAATGCTCGGTCGAAAGATGTTTTCCACATGATTGCAATGCCTCTTCATTCTGCTGGTTCTTGCAGCTATGCCGCCTTTCGTGCTTGTGGGCTGCTCTTTCTTTTCTCTTCGTCCTCGACATTGGAAGCATTCAACTTGGGGATCCATTTGTCGATGGTTATGTTTTCTGCATATCTGTTTTAATTAGTATCACATTATTCACAACGCTACCTGTACCTATTATGGTTTCAGAGAGGTGGTGAGGTCAGATCGCGTTTTGTTAACAGATGGAGAAAGGCTGCTGGGACGGGCTAAAATCGCGATTGGTCGTCTTAACTGCATTGCACTGGTCGTTGTTTCTGCCTCGTCCTGCGCCTTTCTTCAGCTACCTCGGTCGTCTTAGTTGACTGCACTGAGTAGCGTCTGTCCTCCACAGGATATTCTTGGGCTTCGATGTATCTACGATTGGCATAGGTACTGTACATCTTCAACATGATGCTCGAAGGAGCCGCCCTTGATTTTGCCAGTAGCTTTGCATCATCTGTGTTGCCGGGAATCCGTAAGTATATCCCAGGATTTGATTTCGTATGGTACAGAAAGATTCTGCCTCAGCAAACGTCAACCTTATATTCAGGCTATCACCACCTCCATTACCACCTCCAACACCTCCTCCTCCTGGGAGCGAAGCGAAATCTCTTAGGAGTCTCGATAGCATAGACGAAAAGAAGGCTGGTTCGACGCTTGTTTGCTTACTGCCAATCAATAATAATTAATCCCGGTAATAATTGCCGTCGAATCATCAGGTCAGGCGAAACGTGAAAATCGACGTGAATAGAATCAAAGTGGGCGCAGCTCTCTGCGCTCTGGACATGATCAACTTCTCTATGACCAATGACCTCTCTCGACTGACTGGTATTGCAACAGGCGCATGTGGTTAGTCATTAATGGAGCTGTGGTAAGGGAGTAGAACAGTATCCTGTAGAGCAGTAGTATATCCCATCTACATACCTAGGAATGCGAGAATAGCTGGTCTCTCTCTCTCTCTCTATTCCATCAAGGCTGAACAATACGGAGTACTAAGGGGACGCTAAATTCCAGTCTCTAGGTAATTCGACTAACTTGATTCCATGCATTTATTACGGAGTATAGGGATATTATAGGGATATAATAATTATCGTTCGTCGCGTGCAATACTCCGTACAACACAATACACAACTACCAGATACAGCACATCCAATCCCAATCCCAATCCCAGTCCCAATTCCAATACCCAATATCCAGTATTCAATATCCAATATCCACAAACCCTCACTCACGTCTTGGATGAATATCATCATAATAATAATATTGCTTCGCTGCGCTCCGCAAATTATGTCATGTCTTCGAATTCACCCGTCTCCAAACCTCCGCCTCCGCCTCCGCCAGCTTCGTCCCTGCAATTTGTAACCATGACTTGGCTGTGTCGAGAATCCCTTGTCCTTCTTCCTCTTCTTGGTATTGCGACTGCGACAAGAACGTCTGATTGTTCCTGTCTGCTGTCGGGGGCTGATATGTCGACATCATCGAAGAATTATTGTAAGCAGTGGATAAAGAGGAGGAGGAGGAGAAGGTTTGGAAGAAGGGAGAATGATGCGACGACGACGGCGATGGCGACTGCAGATTACTACTACCACCTATAGTAGTAGGATATTGTTGTTGTTCTGCTTGCGCAGTACTAACAGGTCTGGGCGCATAGTACGACGCGGGCTGAACGGGCTCACCTGCCTTGGGCGGAGGAGGTACGGTGTAGGCGCTGGATTTCGTTGTTCCTGGACAAGTTGGACGTGCGACTGGCTGCGGCGCTGGGGCCGTCGTTGTTGTTGTCGGTGTGTACGCTGATGATGGCGGCGCAGAAGCAGCAGTGCCTGTCGGGGTAGGAGCTGCTGCTGCTGCGCCCGGACGCGCGGGAGGATACGGCGAAGAGGAATCTCCTGCAGTCGTGCTCGACGCTCTTACCGATGTAGGGACTTGATCCGCGTCGTGAGAAGGCTCTTCTGTCTGAGGCGTCGCTCTTGAATCGCCACCCTTGCCATGCAAATTGGGGTTGATGGGAGCAGACGTAAATGTAGGTATACCGGTTATGGGCGGCATTTTGATTATCTTGCGCAATGTAAACCAGAAAGAATAAATGTACGATGAGGATAATTCTCAAGGCATCAGTTGAATACAGGTAACTCTCCTCGAGGCTTCAGCCTGTTGACGTCATGTCACATGACTTTACTACACGTGATATACCGGATTTGCAAATCCCGAAATCTACAGACTACGTGTTCTGACCATCATGACGACGCTCAGGTCGCTACAGCACTGACGCAGAGACCGTAGGAGTAGTTGACCCAAAACAAATGGAACATATTGATTGCAGACCGTATGGAAGGAGGAAGTACAGACGGAGGAAAAAAAGCTTGCAGGCAGTAAAGTACAACAGGTACAAAGAGAAAATCCCCACTTGCTCTATGCTTCAAGATTGCCCTGAACGCATTTTTCTATCTTTATAGGCCTCCACCCTCAGTGCTGAACCTTGAAGAAATTAGTGGAGCACTGCTTTCCGAACCCCTTGTCCCCGATCATCGACAGGTAGGACGGCGTGCTTGAGAAACCGCTTAACCAGAGCCACCCTTGAACTTCTTGCCGAAGAGGAGGAGCTGAACCTGGTCGTAGATAGACAGGACACCAGCGCCAGCAACACCACGGAGGATGTTAGCACCAGCACCCTTGAAGAAGGAGCGGAAACCCTCCTTGGCCATGATCTGGCGAGCGCAGTCGAGAGAAGAAGAGTACTTGACGGCCTCACCAGAGGTCATCATCATACGACGACGGATGGTGTCCAGAGGGTAAGAAGCAACACCAGCACCAGTAGTGACAGACCAGCCGAGCAGGAAGGAGACCAGGAAGTTGCCCTCAAGAGGACCAACCAGGACGACGGGCTTGAGCGAGTCGTACATGCCGAAGTACAGACCACGGTAGACAATGATACCCAGGACGGAGACACCGAAACCACGGTACAGACCAACGATACCGTCGGAAGCAAGGGTCTTCTTGTAGACGTCGATCAGACCGTTGAACTGACGCTCACCACCGCTCTTGGCAGACTTGGCGTCGTTGGCCAGACGGGTACGAGCGTAGTCAAGGGAGTAGACGAAGAGCAGGGAAGTGGCACCAGCAGCCTAGTAAGGATGTCAGCGAGCACGTCCTCAGGCGAAGATAGCAAGGCAGAACATACACCACCGGAGGCCAGGTTACCGGCCATCCACCACCAGTAGCCATCACGGTCCTTCTTGAAGGAGAACATCGACTTGTAGGTGTCACGGAAGGCGAAGTTCAGGGCCTGGGTGGGGAAGTAACGGATGACGTTGGCAGTGTTACCTCTCCACAGGGACATAACACCCTCGGAGGCGGCGGTCCGTCGGAAGCAGTCGATGATACCATTGTACTTGCGGTCAAGACGACCAGCACGGATCATCTCATCCTATAACGAGCAACTGGTCAGCTCTGATTCCGAACACACCAGCCTGAGATGCTGAGACTTGGAACTGGGAGGAAGGAAGAGCAAAAATTTTTCTCTTCCGATCGGTGCGATAACACGGAGCGTTGGAGCCGTTATTACCCCCAGGACCCGTCCAGCGTATATTCCATGATATTCATAGCAATGGGAGATGAGCTTCATTGGCCTACCTGGTTCTGGATAAGGAGCTTAACACGCTCAATGGGGGCGGCGGCGGTCTTCGAGACGGCGGCAGAGACACCACCCACTGTCGAAATGCTGTCAGTTTACCGATCTCCATGACAATTGACTCTTGATCGCCTTCTGGATGAAACCGATCAATTGAGTCAATAGCAAGTTTGAGACTTACTCAAGAAGTCCACCAGGAAACCCTAATGCCGCAGGAAACGTCAGCGACTGAACATGGCGACGTTGTATGTCGACAAATCCATCGAGTGTGCCATCTACAGCATCATCCAAGACCGTCGCCATGGCTTTATGATAGGCAGAAGACCGGGCTGGATCATTGTGATGATGCTTCGATGACTTCGACGATGGAAGAGCCAGGAACAGCGCAAGGAAAAAAAAACTTACCGGCATGCCGAGGAAGGACTTCTCGGCCTGGTTAACGTCGCCCTTGGCCATCTTGACAGTTGCGATGAACGCGAACTAAGAAAGACGGATGAGAGAGGAGAGTGGTTATGGGGAAGTGTCAAGGGGGGATGCAAGACACTGTAAAGGATGGAGGAGAGGAAGAAGGGAGAAGGAGGAGGAAGAGAAAAAATAGCGAGGCAGCCTCTTGTAAGCGGGAAGAAGCGAGCGCTACAGGAACGGGCGGCGCCAGCAGCAACGGAGCCCGGCAACGCAGCCAAAGGCGAAAAAAAAAAGAAAATTCACTAGCCTTGGCCCAGGCAACGGACAGCCGACATCTCCCGATCCAACCTCCCTGTGCACCCCCAAACACACCGCGTAGCCACCCTGCCCATGGGAACAGGTGGCCTTTAGGGGCGCTGCTACGGGGCTCTGAGGCCTTGCTTTCTCCATTCCGGCTTCACCGTTTTCCCGAAGTACTCCCAGTCCCTGTTCCTCCAATGCGGCCAATTATTACTACGATTAATCGAGATCTCCTTCTCGAAGACACTCTCAATTGGAGCTCTACCAGCTCTGGATCCCGTTAAAAGATCTCCAAGATTCGTGGTTACGCGCTTCTTCCTTCTCCCCGGGTTCTCCTGTTTAGCGGCTGGTCGCGGCTTTTTCCCCTTTCTATCCCCACTCTCCGAGAGCCGGACCCAGTTTTTTTTTTCTCTGTGCACTGGGCAAATGCGATGTCCTTGTTGCATACACATGATATCCAATTAATACATCCAATTTCCAATGTATCAGTTGTCTCTTTTTAACGCCACCGGATGACCGGGGAATTGCGCGCAATAACCAGCGGATGGCTAATAGCCTAATACAACTCTGGGTCGCGGCTACCGGCATCCTCTTCCATCCATCCATATCGTATCCATAAGCGCAAAGCAGAGCAAGGCGCAGAAGAGTCCTACTCTAACCGTGTGAATAGACTGTAATTAATATCAAAAAGCAAAGTCCAGAAACCAGCGTAATTTGTAGGTACTCCGAACCAAAGACTGACACGTTGGTCGGGATAAAATCCGTCCCGTTTGCGCGTTTTACGGAGTTCTCCGTACGAGATAAGCTCGAAGATTCTGCCAAAACACAGTCACGTGACTGTATGGCACTTTGGAAATGATGTTCTTGAAGACATCCCTGTCACGACTTGGGCATCCTGACATGAAAGGCCTTCCAAGTCTTCCTCTGTATGTCTTTTGACTCAAAGAGTGTTTTTCTTTCCCTTCAAGGAAGATCTGGATTAAACAAATACTCCTCCAGTAATACTGAATAGAACTTTGAGGAATACTTGCTCCCAAGTCCTCCATATCTTAGATGGGTACCTAGTCCTGTTTAGCTAGCAAAGATATCATCCAAACGAAGTTAGTCACGCCAAAGAGATCTCAAACCCAAAACCAATGGGATTATGGGACTGTTAGTGCTCCAAAAAAACGCCCTCAGCCCTGTCGGGTCCGAGGACTGAGAGGTACGCGATCCGGTCAACCTGTCCCGTTTGGGAATGGTGCCCCTGGATGCTGTGCATAAGATGCGATAACCCATGCCTGTCAGTATTGGCACTGCTTGGCACCCTCTCTGCTAGGATAATATTCATTTATGTGGCGGATCTAGCTTATCTGAGCATAATACTTAGATGAAACCAAAGTTTCAGGTATAGAGTGGAGAGGAAAACCGGGGATGAGGAGTACGGAGTAGCGAGGATTGTGATTTTTTATATTGCATCTGGTTGTTTATTTACTTACCTACTGCCTAGTATTTTATGTCGACATTGAAACTGAAGTATTTCATTGGCTTAAAGATCGTTATCAAAATAAGAATAGCAAGTAGGGAATACACAACGACCTAGAGTTTCAAGTTCATCATCATACCAATGTTTGCCGGAGTCAAGTGTCCAGTAGACCTTGAATAGCAATCAATTGACCATCTCTAAACCCGTCACTCCCTCTGGTACAGGCGAAAGAATACGGTGTATTTCGATAAGCGAAATCCTTCTGGATGAGTGATTTTTCGGCCTTAAACTCGCAAGTAAAAATATATCTTTTATGAGATGTGGAAAAAAAAACAATTCAGATGAAATGCTCCGTTGGCGCAGTTGTTTAACGCGCTGAGCTTATATTATCCTCGCCCTTAAATTCTAACCTCAAAAATCCCAGTAAGACCTAGCAGGGCTTTTTTTGTTATTTCCTTCAGCTAACCAGCAGAGACCTTGTCCAAGTCATCCCAAATCCTGGCAGACCTTGGAAAAGCTACCTCCAAAAATGCGAATAATTAAGTAGCGTCGTTGTTAGAGCCAAAATCATCATTTAAATTTTCTAAGTACGAAGGCTGTAAAAAAGTACAGTGTGTTGAGTCCTGCAGGAGTTGGTAGCAAGTTTGACAATGGGCAGGTCAGTTACCTTAGGTAGACGAAAGTGAGCCATCAGCAAGAAGCCAGTTGGAAAAAGTGCAACAGGTAAAAGCTGCAAAGAAATAGGAGAAAATTTGGGATAGAAGGAATCTTTGGGACTCGCTCAGAGACAGGACTACATGAGTCATTGAGTGCTACCCTGCTGCAGCTATTTTGGCAGCTTCACCCTAAGGCTGAGTCGTGCCAGTCCGGCGACTGTAACCATTTCCAAAAGTGGAGTTCTCTGAGGTCGGGAGGTTGGGCTAACACAGTCTTATCATAGTCCGAAGTGTGGAGTACTTCGTAGTCCGTACTCCGTACACTGTCCAACAAGGCACTGTGGAAACAGAATAGACAATTGGGTACGGACACGGAGTTACTCGTACCCATAGATCTGCGAGATGCAGCGATAGCTTTCAAGAAAAGTAATTGTGTATACTCCGTACGCCATACGGAGTACAGCGATTAAAGGTATGTATGTACAGAGAATGGGACACATGCCCAGGTACAATTTTTACGAGGGAGCAATTATGCATGTGCAGAGAGAGCAGTCTTGTCCTCTGAGCCGTAGGCCGGTCACATGCGCAATGGCAGTTGCTTTTTCAAGGATTTTGGCCAGTAATAGCTACCTGATCAGGCTTAGACCGGTTCACCTGCAGGCTGCGTCTCTCTTTCTTCATTAGGTAGGTATTGTACTGTATGTACTCCGTACATACATACTGCCTTGGTTTTCTTCTGAGAATCAAGCAAACTCCCTCTGAATTCTTTGCCCACCAGTTCCATCGATCTTCTCAAAAAAAAAAAGTGCTCATCCCTGTGGACAGAGTCTTGTCGCGTACGCCTTCTCCTACTCTGTACATGTACACATACGCGACTGCTTGCAGAGCACATGGAAATCGTCGCGCATATAAAATGATTCCATATGCCTCAGATTGCTACATTCATGACTGCCTCTTTCGAGAAAACATGCCTTTTTCTGCTTGTGTTTAATGCTCAGCGGATGCTTCCTCAATGTGAACGGTGCCAAGTCGATAACTACATGTGCTGTACTAAGGAAGATACTGCTGTCAAAATCGTGCTGTGCATATAGTAAGCACTTTTCTGCCGCATATAGCTGTTCATTCTGCGGGGTTGGGATACTTTCATTTGACAAACTAATCAAGACTGTGCCAGAACATACAGTAGAGCCTACCTAACTGTGGAATTCTTGCATAGCGTTACTCGGAAACGTTACCACAAGCGATGCGACTAGTGACAGACTACGGAGTACAGGAAGTCTGTCTGACAGCGATCCGCCTCGGACGCTAGCAAGACGTTAGACGAAAGCAGATAATTAGGGCAATTCATTGGGCAAATTATACCCAGAGGGATGCATTGGCATTGGCATTGCAGACTCCGTTGATGGTGTCAGAGGAGACTAGTTGTCCTATCCTGCAGCTATCGGAACAGCGATTTCTTTTATAGAGCACCCCCCTCAATGACTTCGGCTGCTGCCTTCCTGCTCCATACTCTTGGATTTGAACCCCTCCCCCCTTCCCCCTGTCCTTCGCGGAGGCCAGTATTGAAGCCATGGCTCAAAATGCACTTGCGGGGAATAATCCCCTGGAAGTAGATGTGAGCATCTGGCCCTCTCCTGTTCTATGATGGACATTATCATACTAATACTTTTCTGGGTCAGGATGCCCTTGCTGACACTGATTCGGCTTACAATGAATCGTGAGTACATTAGAATTACCATGATGTAACTTGCTAGTCTTTCTTTGTCTGATAATCTGCCATAGTATTGGCTCGGCTAGCTACGTGTCGTCCCTCAGTTCCAGTATCAAGAACTACAAGTAATGCAATCGCTATGCCATCGAGTCCTCCAACAGCTTGCTAACAGATAACCCATGACTTGGTTGACAGATACGAGGTCAGTCTCTAGGGCTCGATGCTCAACAGGATACTGACATGTTCTTTAGAATGGGCGTCGATACCATGCGTTTCATGAAGGATCATATGTTGTGGTATATTTAGCCAGTCAAACTTTTGTTGGAGTCTAAATGACTGAGCTATTTGTTAGCCAAATGACCAGGAGGAACAAGATCGAATGGAGCTTCTGGATCATATCTATGGTCTTCTCCTAGGAGGGCGACTTCAGCTTGCACCAATCAAGAATCCTCAACGTGTATTGGATCTTGGTACTGGCACAGGGATCTGGGCCATTTATTTTGCTGAGAAAGAGCAACCCCATCTTACAGGTTTGCTGCTAGAGCTAAGACCTATAGTAAACATCCTTCCGCTCAAGTTATTGGCACTGACTTGAGCCCTATACAATCTCCATGGTGACTACTTCTGCTACTGATGAAAGCATTTTTTTATTGCTGATGCAAATTAGGGTACCTCCAAATTGCGTATTTGAAATCGACGACTTTCACACAGATTGGGTGTATAAGAACAAATTTGACTTCATCATGGCCGTGAGCTGGAGGGGTGTTCTAGTGATGAAGATCGGCTCTTCCGCCAGGCATTCGAACATCTGAAATCTGGAGGATATTTTGAATTTGATGGTGCCTATGCACACTTTTTATCTGATGATGATACTCACAAAAAGGCCGAGAATTGTCAGTCGTGGCTAGAAAAACTGCGTGATGCAAGTGCGAAATTTGGCAAGAGTATTGAGAATGTACGCTACTGGAAAGAAAAGATGGAAAAGGCAGGGTTTGTTGATGTGAAAGAGGAATCCTTCAAGGTTTGTTTGCATTAGTCCACTTGAACCCTACAACATCCCCTTTATCTTCTTCCCCTTCCTCCCTTCGTTTGCTCTTCTCTTGATCCATTCTGACTTTAAGAATTTGCTATAATAGGTCCCAATTGGTCCATGGCCAAAGGATCCGAAGTTAAAGGAGATTGGAAGATTCCAGCAAGTTCAGCAGATCCAGGGGGCAGAGGTTTACACACCGGCCCTTTTCTCCCGAGTTCTTGGCTGGAGCAAAGAGGAAATAGATGTGTTATTGGCAAAAGTACGAGATGAAATCAAGGATCGCTAGCTACACATGTACATCCTGATTTACTTCGTGTATGGGCGAAAGCCTTGAGCAAAGTCCTGTTGAGCTTGTCAATTGACACCCGGAGAACTTGCTGCAAGTTGTCGCCCAGCAATGGGCAGGATTTCTTTTTTTTTTCTTTGCCGTCCCTCATTGGCCCTGCATTTTTGTTACCCTCGCATCCGTTGACAACAGACGAGCCGCTCAGCTTCAATTCAGTCAGATGACTGCAATCTTGACAGAATGAGTTCTTTCTTGTATTTTTCATAAGGCTGGAAGCAATATGTAGTTGCGTCTGACTCCCAGTTCCAACAGGCTCAGATGCTAAGCTAAAAAGATGACAAGCAAAGCAGCTAGTCTGACGTAGAAACAGCAACTCAAACGATGCATGAACTAGAATATCTCCTTGGCACGATAGCCAAGAATTGGCGCGAAGGGCTACTACGTAATTTCTCTGGAGAGAGAGAGTGAGATGGAAGACAAACAAGGAAAAAGAAAAAAAAAGGAATAGAGAACTAGATGCATTCATTATCTTACATGCCTTTTTTTTCGAAGGCATGTCCTAGAGCAGGCCTGTTAGTTTAAAAGAAGAAAATCAAAGTTGAATTTGGCCTTCGAGAATGCCATTTTTAGGTAATCATTAAGGATTAAATAGGGAGGACGAGAGAAAATTCCGGCTTAGAAGGTAATATAGGTAGTAGTTAATACCCAGTTCAATTTTTTTTAGTTATATGCGAGATTCTCAGGTATTAAAAAAACAAAAATGAACGCCATGAATAGCATCTCAGCCCGTCATTTTTTTAGTATCCCATGCCCTGGTTCTTACAGAGGTATACAATCAACATACAATCACTCAATACCCCGACATTGAAGGTCCCCCTCCCTGTACAATGACTAGCTCGAGTCTCCGACTAACCACCTCTACTCTAGGCTGATGATGATGTCTTCTTACGCTTCTTCGATCGCTTTCTCTTCTTCCGCGAACCTCCTTCCCGGATGTCGACCTTCATCTCATCATCCTGGTCGCCTCCCTCAGGTCCGGCAGCGGTACCATCAGCAGCGGCTTTCTGTGCCAGAAGCTGGCTGAAATCGAACTGGGGGCCTTCCTCATTGCCAAAGACGTCCTTGCGCCACTTCCGCAGACGAGCCTTCTTTCCGAGCTTCTTCCGATCACGACGTTTCTTCTCAGGGTCACGGAACGTGGCCAGCTTCTTCAGGCCGACATACTGGTTCAGCTGGGCGTCGTCGGCAAAGAGGATGTCCCGTGCGGTCAGACCGAAGCTCTGAGGAGAGGTCTCCCGGTAGCGGAAACGCGTGGAATTCTTTTTGGTCGCGCCAGGGAGAAGGGTCGGGTCAAGGTCCAGATTGCGGTCAACAGCTTCTTCAATGATGCGTCGCTCCTTGCGAGCCTCGCGCTTCCGGTCGCGTTTCTCTTGCTTCTTGGACTTGGTGCCCTCTGCTTCCTCAGCATCCTCCTCCCCCTCGTCTTCTTCAGATTGGCCCTGTTCGACTTTTTCCTCGTCCTCAAAGTCGGGCACGATGTCTTTGATGTCAATATCGTCATCCCACGTAGGCTTCTTCGGACGCTTCTTCTTCTTCTGTTTGCCATCGTCGTCGTCCCCGCTGGCCTCCTCCTCTTCTTGGGCATAATACTCTTCACCAAAGCGTTTCTGCATCTCCTTTTCAAATTTCTCATCGTCCCAGTTCTCATCGAGGAAACGGGCCCACTCCTCGTCGGTGATGTCTGAGACTTTGATCCCTGCGGCCTGCTTGATCTTCCGGACCTTCTCCTCCATTTCTTCCATCTTGAGCTTGCGCAGCCGGTTCTTCTCATTTTCTCTCTCCTGCTTCTCTTGCTCCTTCTTCAGCCGTTCCGCCTCTCGGCGCCTCTTTCTCCTGCTCTTTTCTTCCCTGCGAACTGACAATTGATTGGTCGTATCACGTGCGTGGGTGACAATTTTCTCGTTGACCTTATTGGGATCTTCGAATCGGAAATTATATGCCTCCTCAAAAGCCTCGGCTCTCGCTTCTTCCTCCTCGTCATCTGATTCAAAGGCCTGCCATTTCGAATTCTCCCTGGGTATCCACGCCCTGGAAGCCATGTAGTCTGACAGGAATTTTTCGGGATCCTTATCCGCGTTTTCAACGTCCAGTTCAATTTCGGGCTTGGAGTCATTCTCGGGGACTTCCTTCGACTTGGGAATAAGAAAACCGCCGTCGTCATCCATATCATCGTCCGAACCCTGGTTCTCCGCCGCCTCATGCATCTCTTTGACGACCGTCTTCTTTAGTTCTTCTTGTTCTTGTGCGTATGTCTTTGGCGGTGGTGCGGATTCAGATTCGTCGTTTTCATTTGTATACGCCCCGCTCAGAAGGTTCTGGCGATGATAATCCCGGAGATACATCGGCTTTTCTTTCTTTTCCCGCTTATTCTCGTCCTCCTCTTCTTCATCTTCTTTGAACTCTGAGTAGAACTTCGCATCTTTGTCGTAGACCCGCGGGTCTTTCGATCGGATGGCATTCAGCGTAGCCTGAATCTCCGCGTCAAGAGCTTCCGTAGCAAGTTCTCCTTCTTCGTCCTCCTCCTCATCTGATGATTCTTCCTCGGAATCCTCAGAACCATCCTCGTCCTCATCGTCATCATCGTCATCGTCATCATCATCGCTTTTCTTCCGCTTGCCCAGGGCAGAAATCTTTCCGTATTTAGCCTCCACTATAAAAGTTACGTTAGCACCAGCAGTATACAAGATGACCTGCTTAAAAATACATTTCTGCATTTCTTCTCTCTTCTTATTGTGTTCAAAGCGACGGGCATATTCCTCGTTGATTTTCAACGTCGGCTCTTCCGTAGAGTCGCCGTTGAGCGGAACTCCTCCGGGTCCATCTTCAGTCTCGCTTTCGGAGCTGTCCTCGAGCAGCTTTCGAGGTTTCTTGGCGGGTGGCTCCTCCATTGTCAATAAAAGAGAGAGACAAGTAGAGATCAGAGTCTCTCAATGAGGCAATGGGTTGAGTTGAAAGTAAACAGGGAATTTCACAATTCCAAAGGGAAAAAAAGTTATCAGTGGGCGGCAGAAAATTCTCGAGACTCACCGCCCACGCGCGTTGCTGTGCTCCGTAGTCTGGTTCGGCCGGGGAATTGGCACCGCTTCCCGCACCCATTGCCCTCACGTGATTTGGACATTCTTTTTAGAACTTTGGGCAAGATGTCTTATCTTGTTGTTGCATTATTACAATTTCGAGATTCTGGTAAGTACAGTATGCTTGTACACCCATCATGGGGCGGTTCTTGTCTTGCCCTCTTAAAGTTCCAGCTTTGTTCCCACTGCCATTTCTCCCGGAATATATAAATTTGAGCATTTGCGCTATGATGACACAAACAACGAACTCATTGACAAGCATCCAAGGATACTTAGAGCTGGAGAAAGGAAAGTAACAATAATAATAAAAAGAAGAAGAAAAAAGAAATAGTGAGGATGCGTGGACTTTGGTGAGGGTATGTAGATAACTATGTCTTGCCCAATTAGGAAACTAACGCCTGTTCCGGGAATCGTAGTTTCTATAAAAAAGAGATATATAAGGAAATTTTCTATATATTTCCTGAAATCCTACGAAAAATAATTTATATTTCCGAAATATAGCACATTTATTCAAAAAGTCGGTGTTTGAGTTGACATACTAATATCATCATCTTCAGATCTTACCAAGGATGACTTGAGTCTATACAATTCAGAACATGAGATGAGCTACCTTATTTGAAGTTTTACTTAAATATTATTGGTCGTTTCTCCCTTATTTATGACCTTCATAGAGCCAGAGATAATTGAACCTTCCGGGCAAGATGCGAAACTATTCTAGAGTATATCCGTAAGATCATTCAAATCTCGGAGAGAAGAAATCTGCTGGCAGAATTTTGATCGGAAGATTAAAGAATTTGAGCATGAAAAGCAACAATTGTGGGCAAAAAAAATCAGGCTGCTCTTGCTCTTTAACTTTGTCACGGGCTGGGTCGACAAAATTCATCTCCAGCTATGGACTCTCGAGAGAATCTGACAGCTGGTACGTAAAAGTGAAAGGAATGAAATCAATACAGGATTCACTAGAAGCCCAGTGCTGATGGAGATTGTGTTACATAGCACGACGTGAGAGGAGTCCCAGGTTCCATGGCCTTCGAGCCGAGTATGATCTCTCAATGACGATCTTGAGGATCTGATCAGGAAAGGAATCATGGTAGATGCAGAGGCTGGGACGAGTATGGGAATAGCAACGAAATCGTCGGAGAAGAAAACTGTTGACAGGTCATGAACAGCTGAAAGAGACTCTTTCAGTTCTGTGAGGGATAACATGTCTCGTTGTCCTCCAAAAGATCATTGTTGAGACAGTTTTGTATTCAGACAATCGTATCCTATGATCGACTACCTCTGCTTACTGATGCGTTCACCTGTATGGTCTGGTGATAAGAAATATAATGTGTGAAGCTGGCTAATGCGCTCTTGTTTCTCAAAACATGGAGGTTTCCAGTCGCGTGAGCAGTTCCCTGATCAGGAAAGACCCCATCAACAAGCTGTATAAAAACTGCTGCCTACAACGCTGCTTGATCTTCTCCTTTCTCTTCTTGTTCATATTTAAATTTGTGATGGGGGCTCCGCAAACAGCGAATTGACCAGAGAACGAGGGCGGTTACCAAAGGATTTGAGGGCACAATAAAGGGGGGAAAATTGAGGCTATTTGGGGCACCTTTGAGCTCAGAAGTAGAGACGCCGATTGAAAAAACTGCAAATACTGGGAATATTCCGGGTCGAAATGGGGTTAGGACCAGGCACAGTCGGCTCGACTGTCAAATTCACACTACACCGAGTCTGAGCTCAGCCCGTGACATGTATAGAGGCGACCTCGCTGAGGCTTGAGAGTCTATCCTCTGCAAAGTTCAAACCCCACTCGCCTCGAGTTGGCAGTTTTGAAATACACGGTATAACATGGAAACGCTCATTTTAGCAACAAAAACAATGGGAAACAGGAGTGTTGAGACCGACTATTGAAGGCGGACAGTTTATGTTGTAGATCAATAAGCTACTAACCCAATCCGGGCATGTCACGGGGGACGCCGCTAAACCGGACTCGGCAGTTCCCCGTTCTGGTTCAGCCTCAGGCGAGCCAGGTCGTGACGTAGCCAATTGCTGGCCAACCCCGGACGAGTTTGCCTAGACCGATCAGCTCGAGGCGCCAACTGCATGGTGAGACTCCACCTCGTGTGAGGACTCCCTGTCATGTCATCTGTATGAATTACTCTTCTATGTTCTTGTATCTATTTTCGAAATTTGCTTGAGAATTTTCTAATTGAATTGTTGTCCTGCCGTGGTCCTTCCAACGTGTCGTGGTTCTTATGGCTGCACCTTTGTAAATGTCGACTCCTCAGCCGACTGCCCTTCCCCAGGTTGGGAAGCTCGTCAGTGTTGTGTACGATCAAAGCCATCCTCCAGTATGATTGGTCTTTGGCCTTTGCTGACTCCTGAATTGCAGTCCTGTTGGATTGAAAGAAGCTGCCCTCGACTCCCCGACCTTTCGCGCGACCACCCTCCACTTCGTCGATCAACTCGATTACATTGAGAGATGGCTCGATGGATATGCCAGGGCTGCGACAAAGCTGACCACGGAGCTCTCAGATTTTGAGCAGGCTCTGAACTCCCTTATTTCTTACGCCACAACGCCTGTCAATATTTCGGAGGCTGTCCTCGACCATGACTACACGCTACTGGCGATAAAGCGACATGGTGAATGCGTGAGGGATATCTTGGGCGCATCTGTCGGGGCCGTGAAAAAATTGGACCACGCGGTTGCAGAGCCGATCAGAGCATTCATTCAGTGGGACCTACGAAATTTCAAGGTTTGACGACGTTTCCTGGTATCGGGTGCTGGAATTAATTACAACGTCTCTCGCAGGAAACCCGTCGTGCTCTAGACCAGGCCCAGAAACAGTATGATCATCTACAAGCCAGGTATTCTGCCCAGGCGAAGTCCAAGGAGCCCTCTGCCTTGAGAGAGGACGCTTTCCAATTGCATGAGGCCCGCAAGGCTTATCTCAAGGCGTCCATGGACTTTTGTGTGCAGGCTCCTCAGCTACGAAATACTTTGGATAAGCTACTGGTCAGCATATCGTTCGACCAATGGCGGGAGACTAAGAAGATCTATGATAATAATGCCGCTACATTCGCGAAATGGGGACAGGATATGGACCGTATCAAAGGTTGGGTCCATGAGATGGAAAACAGTGAGCGATACTCGCTCAAAGAATTGCTTTCGGCTCGAAAGCAGATTGAAGACGCTGCGGAGCAGGCATGGAGACCGTCTCGAGAACTCGATGATTACTCGGTTTCCACCGTGCCTTACCTGGGCAAGGCACCGTCTGCGCTGAGAAATCACAATGACAAGCCGTTCAGACCTGAGAAACAGGGGTGGTTGAATCTCCGAACGCTCACGGGAAAACCGACCCGGACAGTATGGGTTCGACGCTGGGCTTTCCTTAAGAATGGCATTTTCGGTTGCCTGGTGCAAAGCTCCAAAACAGGAGGTGTCGAGGAGAGCGAACGAATAGGCGTGCTGCTGTGCAGCATCAGACCTGCTTTCCAAGAAGAGAGGAGATTCTGCTTCGAGGTTAAAACCAAGAAAAACACCATCATGCTGCAGGCCGAGACACAGAAAGAACTCATGGAGTGGATTGGTGCATTTGAAGCAGCAAAGCAAAAGGCACTAGAGAACCCTGCGAGCACTGATATCTCAGTCTCTGGAAAGTTCACTGTCCAGGATCCGGCGTTCTCGATCTCCCAGCCTCCGGCCCCTGAATTTGCAGCTGACCCGTCAGACGGTCTAACTCCCAATGCCGGTGACGATCCATCTTCAGAGCGTAACGGAACGCTGCCCGTCCCTGAACGCGATGGAGCAACGTTCAGAAGTAGTGGAGAGTTTGGCAGCTCAAGGCGGCTCACGGGGCTCGATGGGGAATCTGGTAATGGGCGGGACCATGCATCTCGAATTATCCAAAAGTTGGATCTTCATCGCAAATCGCCAGCTCCGGGCCTACAGTCTCCCACGCAATCTCCGGCTGGTGGGATTGCCAGCCTCATCTCTTCCAGTCACAGTTTACTCCCATATAGCGGTCCTATGCCCGTTGCTCCAGGGGAAAGCGATGGGAACAGAGGCCGCGAGGATCCAACAGCTACAACTCTTGCACCTCCCACATTAGCCAACCCGCCAGCTCCGACCAACATGAGCAAGGCAGCAGTGATGGTGAGCAATGAGCGAGGGATTGGTGTAGGGCTCGCAGACTCTACGGGGGGAATGCCGAGTGGAATGATGGCGAACCTGTGGGGTAGTTCCAATTGGGGTTTCATGAATACGCTTCAACGCGAGGGCACGCGTCCTCGAGATAGGAAGAGCGCCGATGATGAAGAGTTGGCAACGAAAAGATCGGCTTCTCCTGCCAGCGATTCCAAGGAGACCATCGCTGCAGGGACAGGCGTTTCTAGCAGCCCTGCCTCGTCTCAACAGCCGACATCAGGGCCACGGCATAGACAGACTGTTAGCCTCGATGGCGATGCGAGTAAACTACAGAGGTCTATGCTCGGCATCACCCATGAGTATCCAAGCTACTATCCACAGCGGCTCAGAATCCAAGACGCGCAATTCCGCCTCCTATTCCCGAATGTGAAAAGGGAAGAAAGTCTGGTTTTAGTTTTCAGGGCTACATGGAACCCGAACGACCAGCAAGAATTTCCTGGAAGAGCATTTGTTACAACTCGCAATATCTACTTCTACAGTCATCACTTCGGATTAGTTCTGACGACCAGTATTTCGCTCGCCAATGTGATGGAAGTAACCGCTGCCCCAGGAAGGGACTGTGATTTCCTGTTTCTTCACCTTAATCCATCTCCGGGAGACTCAGCGAGCCGCATAACCGTGAAAACGTTCCTTGAGCCTCTGAGGCTCCTGCAAAGGAGGCTGAATTTCCTGATCAAGGAAGCGACGTCAGATGACCACCTTGATTTGGAGTCTGTTTTCAAGACTCTGATCAAAATGGAAGCAGAAGTTCTTGCCAGGACACCCAGCGTGGATAGCTGGGAAGACGTCTCGCTCGACGCTCCGGTAGATGGTAGGAGCGGTGTGAGCGGCAGTGGAAACAGGAAGGGAACAAAGGATCTGAGAACGCCCATCTATATCGATAGAGATTACGATATTGATCCTTCAAAGTCGAACCGCGGAAGAGATATTCCAAAGATCAAATTACCCTCTCAGCCCGTGCAATACGTTCCGCAGGGGAATCTCCATTTGGCCGCTGAGAAAATCTTCGATATCAGCCCCAAAGCGCTATTTCACGTTCTCTTTGGAGACAAGAGTGCTCTGTGGCAACTTCTTCTGCATGAGAGAATGGCTCTGGGTCGGTTTCCTTTTGCACGATTCACTCTGGTAAATGACTGAGACTTGACTAACGACATACAGATATCAAGCAGGGACCGTGGAAGACACTCGGCTCTGGCCATATGAGACGAGACTTTGAATATAAGATTGAGAAGACCGATCTACTCGGTATGCATCTCCACCCAGTCTCTGGACCTTTGACCTCTAACGATATCTCACTTATCAGGACGTTCGAATATGACCAAAGTCTCTGACTATCAAATCATTGATGTCCTCAATGACCACCTGTGTTACGTGATCACCGATAAACGGACGCCATGGCATCTTCCGTTCAGACGCAATTTCCGACTCGTCAGCAAGATTGTGATCACGTACGTTTCCAAGTCTAAGTGCAAACTGGCCATCTTCTCGAAAGTCGAGTGGCTGTGGTCTCCTTACGTGCTTAAGAGTCAGTAACAATTTATGACGTTTTCCTTTGATTATTGCCCTAACATTCTATCTAGGAGTCATCGATAAGCAGGCGCTGAATGACCTGGAGCAAGACGCTCTGGATTTAGTTGACTTAGTCAGTGACCAAGTGCGAAAGCTGGGCTCTCGCGGTCGAACCAAGAAGGCGATCAGCATCTTCGGGCACGTGGGGCATCAGACCAATATCTTCCAGTTCTCTTCAGCCGATGCGCCTGCGCGAGCACGCCGATCTCGAAAACAGCGATCGCTCGCATGGTTGTTGCTAGAGACCATGGGGTCGCTGCTGGAAAGCGCCATCTCGTTGCTGATGCTCTGGTCGTTTGCCTTGCTCCGCTGGGTCTGGAAAACAACTAGTGCACACAGCGTGATTCTCGCATTGCTGTTCATGAGCCTCCTGATCAATGGGTTCTATTCCTCTCGGGATGCCTACCATTGGTGGCACGAGAGAAATGCGGTCAAAATCATGTCACGCCTCGGAATAAGCTCGGACAACATCATGAGCAAAGCGATCTACATAAGAGATCTTGACGAGGCGATTTCCAACACGACTGGATGGCATCCAAACAGCACGAGTCGCTGCTACTCGACGTTCCACGAGCAGACCATGCTCGATGACGACATGCCGCTGACGATGATCTCGTCTGGACCGATGGACGCGGTCGAGAGAAGCGCCAGCCGACGTGTTCAGCGCACCCGGCAACGCCTGGGAATATACCGGCACGACCTGGTAGTTGCACTGCGGGTGGTCAACAGCATCGAGAGAGAGGTGCTGCGGAGTGAATGGGAGCGCTGGCTTCAGCAAGAAACGAGGCGCTGTCGACAAGTCGAGACTCTCTTGAGGGATGGGGGTGCCGGTGCTAATCTCGACAACCAGAGTATCTTTGCCGAGCGCAAGGAGGACGTGGTGCGCTGGTACGAGGATTACTGCCTGAGCTGTCAGGAGGAGCAGGAAAAACTGAACAGGCAAGCACCGAGCTAGTGGCGAACTGCAGATTCAGAACGGCGTGCATCGTGCATTGATTGTATATGCAGTGTTTTCTCTTTGTCCCCGTTCTTGATGTTTGCGCTCGATACCCTGTTTGCTATCTATGCCTAGCCAGGATATGAGGCTTTTCCGGACATGTGAAATGTATAGTACATAGATAATATACAGTATGCTGTTTTGAACAGCGGGCACGTCATCTACAGAGATCACATTCATGATGACGCGTCTTTAATGTAGATAGCCCAATTTGACCAGTTGTACGGATGGGCCCGAAGACGGAGTAAGGAGTTTCAGATGCCATGGCTACAGCCCTTACAGCACCGTGAATAATGGATATCGTATCGCCGACCCAGACGCCATAGGTAATGTCCCGACGAAGTCAGCGAAGGATAGATAGGTCGGTCTGGAGACGGCCACTGATAATCTGGGCAGAATCATCTCTTCTCTCCAGTGTTGACATGCTGAAAAGAATCGAAAGCAGCAGCTGGCTGGCCATTCAATTCTGCCTCGGCTTCACGGTCCCCTCTTGGACGATGTAGTACACCACGGTGCCGTCGCCGCCTATCCCTCTATCCACCATCGCGAGCAACAGTCTCTTGCCGCCCCATTCCTTGGAGGCGTTGACCTTCCGTCTCCGCTCGTAGTATTTTGCTAGTTTGGCGGCTTTCTCCTTGTTGTCTGCTGCTACCGCATCTGCCGCGCTGCTGCTGTCAGGAACATCAGGCTCGGGAAGAGAGTCAAAGACGGCAGCCAGCTTGCGGAGAGACCAGGTCTGGCCCTTGGCAGTCGGGAGGACAAACACCCGCTCCGGGAGAAGGTCCTCGTCGCGCAGGCCGATCTCCAGCATGTACGCCTGCTCATCTGGATGGGTGTACAGTCTGTGCGGGGGGATGCCGGAGATCAGGGGCATGGCAGAAGCAGAGACCAGCTGCTCGGGTGAGGAGGAGGAGGAAGATGCTGCTTCTCCATCAGCAGAAGAAGGAGAGGAAGGCTTGTGTATGCGCAAGGAGGTCCAAAGATGCTGGTACTGCAGATTGTGGAGGATCTGGGTCGTGAGCGCGGAGATGGGATCGGCGGCGCCGGACTGCGAGATGAGCGCGGTGAGCGACGAGGGGGCCGGGGCTGTCGTTGTCGTCGCAGACATGTTGAGAATAGAGTCCGAGAATAGAGCCCAATGCGTGCGTTGTTCAGAAAGAACAAAAAGCAAAGAATAATCCTGTGATAAAAAGTCGAGCTCGGTAGGGTTTAGCTCGAGCGGGACTCCGCGATCGCCTCCGCCCCTCGGCGCGCATCCGGGCCGCTTAGCACGCGTGTAACTTGGTTACTGAACACATGGCATTTATCCTGTCGGGCAGGTCGCAGCTGAATGGGGTGGAAAGCAGTTCCAGATCTATAAAATTTGCCAGTCTATGTCCTTGTCTGTGCGCTGCGCTTGACCTCTCGACTTGTCCTGCCTTTGTCTGCGCCTTTGATCTCTGTTCTGGTCGTGGCATCTCTTATCAACATGGCCCGCCAGAAGCAAGCCCAGCCTGTGCAGCGAACGCCCTCGTCGGAAATCATGCAGGAGCCTCCTGATCTACCGGAGCCCAATGCGAGGCAACAAGCGAACGGCCATGCGGGAAAGCCGCTGGCAAATGGGAACGCGAAATCGAAGGGAGATGCTCATGTTGCTCCTCATGACAGCAGCCCTGGTCTGATACAACTTGCGATATGCGTCGCAGGAATATACGCCTCTTTGTATGGCTCCCTGCCCCTTTTTGTTTCTATATTTCTGCTTGGCAAGGCTAACAATAGTCAACTCCAGTCTTTCATGGGCCGTTCTCCAAGAAGCCATCACCACAACACCCTATCCAGTTCGTCCTCCGACGGCTGAAGAGCCGGAGCCTCCCACGGAACGCTTCACCTTCTCGATTGTGCTGAACACAATCCAATCGGCCTTTGCGGCCATTACGGGATTTCTATATCTGTACTTCTCGACGCCCAAGGGTCAGAAGGTGCCCTCGATCTTCCCCAACCGGCAGATCCTGTTCCCTCTGATCCTCGTCAGCATCACCTCGTCGCTGGCGTCGCCGTTTGGCTACGCGAGTCTCGGCCACATCGACTATCTGACCTTCATCCTGGCCAAATCGTGTAAACTGCTGCCGGTGATGTTCCTCCACATCACCCTCTTCCGGAAGCGTTACCCGCTGTACAAATACGCTGTCGTCTTGCTGGTCACCCTGGGCGTCGCGACCTTCACGCTCTACCACCAGGGCACGACCAAGAAGAGGGCCGCCTCGACACACAGCGGGCGCTCGCTGTACGGGCTGTTCCTGCTGTTCATCAACCTCCTGCTGGATGGCCTCACCAACACGACGCAGGACCACGTCTTCAGCTCGCCGGACCGCTACACGCGCTACACGGGGCCGCAGATGATGGTGGCGCAGAATTTCCTGTCGACTATCCTGACAATCACCTACCTGCTCACGACACCCTATCTTCTATCATCCAACAGCACCATCCTGTCCCTTCTCCCGGTGCCAATCCCACCCTCAGCCGGCACGGAGCTCTCGTCCGCAATTGCATTCCTCTCGCGACACCCGCAGGCGCTGAAAGACGTCCTGGGCTTCGCCGCCTGCGGCGCCGTCGGGCAGGTCTTCATCTTCTACACGCTGTCGAAATTCTCGTCCCTGCTGCTCGTCACCGTCACCGTGACGCGCAAGATGCTCACCATGCTGCTGAGCGTGTTCTGGTTCGGCCACTCGCTCACCCGGGGCCAGTGGCTGGGCGTGCTGCTCGTCTTTGGCGGCGTCGGAGCGGAGGGGTTCGTGCAGAGGAAGGAAAAGAAGGCGAAAGAGCGGGCGAAAGCAGCGGCAGCAGTGAAAATACGAAAAAGGAGCTCTAATTCGAGCTCTTGCTGTGTTGTCTTGTTGTTTTTATGTCTGTTCTGTTAGAGCATGGACGAAAGAAAAAGGAGAGTTTTGGTTCCTCAATCAGGAGTTATTAATTAATTGTGTAGACTAGACTAGAGTATTAGACCAGAATTCTTACCTAACTAACGGGTGACTTTTTGGATACAACCTTGTTGTCCTCAGACTAATATTAAATTAGATTAAGAGGTCCTCATGTAGTTTTAGTATTTGGCCTAATTACTATGTATGACATGATGCAATTGCCAGAGTCTACCGGGAATCAAAATCCCCTGGTCGATTGTCCTTCTCAACTCTAATCTTGATTCTTTAATACCCCCCAAGATTTGTGATATTATTAATTCCAACCAAACGGCTGGTGCCGTAGAAGTCAAGGTATATGAAGCAGTGGGCAGGATTCAATGGAACCAGTTTCTTCTGCAATATCCTTGCCATCGACAACGAGTCTATAAGTTTGAAATGAGAAATGCCTGCGAAACACAAACACAACAAAGCCAGCCAGCCTGTCAATCATCTCACTCAGGCCTCGGACACTTGCAACACCTGCCGTACTCGACACTTGAATCCGACAACGAAAGCGGCGGCGGATTGGGAAGCGTCCAGGCGTGTTGTTGTTGTCTCTTACGCTTTGCTGGCACGAGAACACGCGCACTATTACTGGCGACGGTGGTGCAAGAAGATGGTGGTGATCCAGAAGACTTCCTGTATCGTGAGGAGAATGGCGAAGGCGATCGAGATGGTTTCCCTCCTATCTCAGACTCAGAGGGCGGGCTCGACTCGCAATCACAATCACGAATGGCCTGAATCAGCAGCTGGCGTTCTGGAATTGGATTTCTTTGCGTCCTCGCAGCAGCAGGAGAGATCGAGTTTTGAGAAAGACTGGGCAGATCTTGACATTGCTTGATAGATTCGTCATCCTTGGTAATCACGTCATCACCGTGGATTGTCGGGTCAGAGCTGTGAGTAGCAGACGAGCGTGATGGAGAGGAAGGATTCGTGTCAGATCCCGACACCTGAGTTTTTACCGAGTGTCCGAAAGATCCCAGATCCTTGTCTGCGCGTTGAGCACCGACAGGCGACCTGCGACCTGCTTCATCGTGATCAACATCGTCTTCGTCATTATCCCATTCCGCCTGATCGCGAGTTTCTCTCGCCACAGCTCTCTCCAACTCAGCGATCCGATCCTCTAGGACCATCGAGGAATCGTCCACCGTCATCACTCTCTCGTGGAGCTGCTGCTGCCGATCGACCACACTTTCGATCTTGTCCTCGATGTCGACAAACTGCCGGGGGACGTCCTGTTCCATGAACTGGAAGAAGGCGTGCATAGCCTCCCGCAAGACACGGACGTCTTCGCGTCGAGCGCGCCGCTCCTCTTGCAGCTCTTCCTGCCAGATTTTCCTGTCCCGTTGGTATTGCGCCTCCAGGCTGTTGATCCGATCCAGCAGCGCGGCATACGCAACGGAGGAGGAGACTGGGGACTCCTCTGCGGGCGGGGGAACAGCTGCGCTGTGGGAATGATAGCATGCTTGATGCCCACATTCGCAGTGAGCACCGGGAAGACTCTCATCAAGACGGAAGCCTTGACAGGCGCACCTCTGGTCCGGGACGGACGGGTGCAGCATGATGAACTGGCATTCTCCTGTCGGAAGAGAGACTGACGAGGAGGATCGATAATGCGCTTGAGGACCAGGCCGGGGCTGGCATGCTGAAGGTGGTTGCTGGGACCATGAGGCGCTGGACATCAGGAGAAAGCTGACGAGCTATCGAAAACAAGACGCGCAGCAGCGTGGTAGTGTGGGGACATTGAATTGCCTGCGAATGCTGTTCCAGGTCGACTACGAACTAGAAGTCTTGGTCACAGAACGTGACTGCCAGTCAGTCTCAAGGAACAGAACCGATGGCAAAGAACAGGACTCGAGAAGAGAGCAGTGTGCAAGCAATGTCCAGCACATCTTCATGTGGGACTGGGGTAGTAGACGATACTATAACAGAGACCTCTAGTCTATATAAGAAAGTTTGCGTGGGGAAGCAACTCTGCCACCCCGGAGTGCCCACCTTAATGCATGTGCACAGACAGAGGACAGATGGATAGGATCCAGAATGGGGAATTCCCGTGGTAGTTACCATTATTCAAAACCCCGACAGAGGAGGAATTGATTTGTTCAAGTCGTTGAGCATTATTACCTACTTCGGCAGAGGGCCCACTCGGAATCCCGCGGCCAGATGGGGTTTCCAGGCCACTATCAAAGGTGATCTATCTCTGGGGCAGACCATAGTTGCATACGGAGTAGTACAGTACAAGCATGTACTCTCATCATGGTGATTTGTATATGGTTAGAATGTACTGTCCATATGTACAGTACAGTACATACTCGTGCCAAAGCCAAAGCTAGGTAACATATTCCATCTAACTACATAAACGGCCTGATAATTCATACACCTTGCCATCCTGCCTTTATCTGCCCACGCATCCATTTCATATCGCATCGAATTGACCAAGAAAGTGACGGCGATCAGCGGAGTTGATGCATTAGGAAAAAGGGAGGGCTGAAACAAGCAAAAGCCCGGATAAATCCCTCACAGTGGACATGGATTCTATCGTTAATTATAGGCTATATTTCCGAGCATTCTATATTAATAAGTATTGAGGCTGTTTAATATTAATCGAAAGACTGATCTGGGTGGAAGTGATCGGAAAGTGTTGATTGATTGCATGCCGATGCCCGGCTTAATGAAACTCCGGCAGTTAACTAAATAAATCTTCGTACTAGAAAGTAGAAATTCTGGTCTTTCTCGTATGTAATTGATGGTCATTAAAATACAGTCTATATTCTCTATCTATGTGATTGCCGTTGTAGCCATCACTCAACGTAAATGTACAGTACAGTACATACGTACACACACTCCGTAGCTATCCACGTATTGCGTGGATCCGTATGCGGGATTCTTTATATCTTTTTACCCCACACACGTTCACCTTGAGGCTTGGTCAGGGTGCTACCTCATACGGAGTATACGTATGGTACGTCTCCATCTATGGAATATCTTCCTGCAGGGCATGGTACTACGGAGTAGGGGAGTCTGGGACATCCCACGCGGCGAAGACCGAAATATCCAAGTCGACAGGTGACTGCCCGGATGAATGGAGACGCCCCCATGCGGGTGATAATGATTCCTTTCAAGTTGGGATTTAGTAGGTTAACTAGACCCATCTAGCCTGGAGTTAACAGGTTACCCCCACGGGCTTGAGTATTTCAAGAATAGCTATCACACAATATTAAGTACTACTGATGGAGGTATCGCGATGAGATAATTGACGATTGGGCAATACTCCGTATACTCGAGGTAGTGTACGCCGAGTTTATTATTGATGGCTCTTTCTTTTCCCCTCCCCCACTATTAGATAACTAACAATATGCTTGCTCTCGCGCCATACATTCCACTCCACCTCCGTGCAGAAGCGGTCAAGATGTGAAAAAAAAAAACAAAACTGCAATAATACTTAAATAACGATAATTATTCGGAATGACAGCAAGTAGGTCGAGTTTAGTGGAAAACTATTATTGTTCTTTGTATTGATAATCTGACTATTATCTATCTATCTATCTGACCTGCTCATTCTCTATCTAGTAGGGTACCTCCACGCAAGTGGATACTGATTAGTAAACTCCACATGTACGGAGTACAGTACTTTTTTACCCCAAACTGTGAGAGCACTAGTTCAGTCGGCACTCCAATGAAATATTAGACCTTTTTTTGGTTGTTGATAGTGGATATCAACGAGAGCAGCAATGCCGACTCCCAAGGAGGTTATTAGCACTCAGAGCAATAATGCTATGCTCCAAATCAGTAGTTAGGTAGGTATGTATTGCTTAAATATCTGTGATGATATTCAGGCCAGTATAAGGATCAGAGCTAGGATATTCATTTTTATTTTTTTTATAATAAATAAATCTCTTCTGTATCTATTTACAGAGCTTGATTCACTCCAGCATACTTTTATAGACATATTTCTCAAGCAGCCGCCTCACCAAGCCGGAAAGACACGAACGACATCCCCGCAGTATCGAGTCCCTGATTCCACACCTTGTGTTCTCTCTCATCAAGCCCCGCGCCCAGCGTCACATACAGAGGCAAGATATGATCCTCGGTGGGATGGGCCAGCTTCCAATCCGCCCGTTTCTGCAGCGCCAGCAGACCGGCCGTTCTCTCTTCTGCCGTCGTCGCGTTCAGATAGCTCAGTGCCGTCTCTTCGACGTCCCTCGCGTAGGTTGGTCCTTCTGCTGGCTGTGTCTGGGAGGCATGCAGGTTGTGCACCAGCATTCCGGATCCGATTACCAGTATCCGGCCGGGTCTGATGATTAGCTAACATGTTATGGTGCTGGTGTCGTTGACTTAAACATAAACACTTACAGCGTAGAAAGAACTTTCCCCAGTTCGATATGAGCCTGATAGTCATCACTCCGATACGTCGAGACTTCGACAATGGGGATATCCAACGCCCCATCGTCGTCTCCTTCCGGAAACATGAGCTTGAACGGAACCCACCTGATCAGACAGACGATCAGATCAGATCATATAAACCGAGTCCTGTCTGCGTGATGGTATGGTAGTTAAGACTGTCTGTACTCACACCCCATGGTCCAAGTCTCGCTCAACGGCTTCCGCCTCGATGCCATTCTCTTGGAGATGCGTAAGCACTTGCCGTGCCAGCGACGCAGAGGCTCGATGCGGATAGTCGTATTGATACACATGCGGATATGTGTCGTGGTAGTCGAAGCTGAAATCGTGCCAGACTTTTGTTGGTTCTTTCACGTTGACTGCGTAGTATATACAGTAAATGTTAGTTAGCTATTGAATATCCATCTGTTTTTTCTTTTAAGGATAACTACCCTGAATCGTCTCATCCCTGCTCTGAAAATGCCCACTCGTAATGACAATCGCTTCTGGCTTCAGCCTTTTGATTTCTCTTCCAATGCCGAGGAGACCCGATCGAATGGGTTCGGTCCCGTCGCGGAATAGAATCGTGACTCCTCCTGCATTTATTTATTCAGCAGCTTTACACAAAGAAAAAAGCTGGAACAGTCATCTGAGCTCACCATGACCGATGAAGTACGTTGGGAGTTTCGCGCTTGTTGTACTGGACATGCTGCTGCTACAATTACATGCAGTTCCAATCTGAAGTTAGGACCGAAAATGTCTTTCTTCTCTATGGATTTTTAATAATTCCCCGCAGAACTAGAAGTATTGTCAAAAGTGTATTCTATGTAAGAAATTCCGCTGATTGATAATAATTTAGCTGGCTGCTGGCGCTATCTGGCATCAGGTATTTAGGTAGTAGATGATGTCTTAATGTGGAGGTATTGCGCCACTCGTATTATAGTCCGTTGTTTACTATCTTGTGTCCGGGTGGTCCAAGGCAGTCAGTCCGGAAAATAAAAGTTCAGTTAGACGTTTAAGTACTATCTCGTGTTTATCTGACTCGGTATACGGAATAGGTGCTGTTCGAGCTTGAGAAGTATCAGTCTGATTTTACTTCTACTGTGAACTATTACTATATAACCCTCCCAATTGAGGATCAATCCAGTTGGTATAATTTCTCATAACACTGCTTCATGTGCACTATTCTTTGCACGAATTTGCGATTATGATAGTCTGGATGAAGGGGTTATAGATTCAAGTCTGACGTTGCGATGATTATCGCTACTGCTGTAGTTGTCCACATTGTATACATGTAATGTAGGTGTCTGCCGGTTTATTGTAACCTTTCAAAAATCTATACCAAACAAGCAGAGCAAGTTACTTTCTCACGTGGTATTGCATCGTTCGTGCTATCTCCTCGTCTCATGAATGTATTTCATTCAACCCAGCTGCTTTTCACACGTGATGGGACATCAATTCAAAGAAGGAAAGAAAAAAAGAAAGGAAAATAACATGAATCAAACAGTAGTACAGCTACTTCCTCCCTTCAACCATGATGATGTGATAACCAAAGCTCGTCTTGGCTTCGGCGTATTTCGGGTTCGCCGTCGTGCTGGGCTCGAGCTCGTATGCGACTTTTTCAAAGTCCGCGTGCAGACTGCCGCGTGGTTTCCAGCCAAGTGATCCGCCTGTAGGTGTCAGTGAAGGAAGTAATGAGGATTAAATATTGATTGAGGGTGCATGATCTCGCGAGTAATTAAGTGTTATTCCGTGCCATAAAGTGAAGCTCATAAAATAAACGTTCGATATTGATGGCCGGACAACTCCCAACGCAGGACCATAATAGGGTCATAATACATGGACAGAAACAACATTCAATCCATACTATCTTTCCATATAGAAAAAAGGGGAAACAAACCTTGCCTGGCTTTGTCCTCTGAATATTCCCTGGCTACGTCATCAAACTTGGCACCATTCCGAAGCTTCTCAAGAGCCTCTTCTTTTTTAGAGTATTTTTCACACTGTGAGGTCAGCCTGAAAAGTAAAAAAAGATATATATATAATGTATCGTCTACTTACGAGAATATGTCGGACATTGATCGAAGTGGCCGGCTTTAGGCCTTTGCCTCCTTTGCCCTTGTCTCCGCCATCGGAGGCGTCGTTTCCTTTTCCCTTGCCTCCCTTGGGGTTTTTGGCTGGCATAGTCGAACCGAACCAAGAGAGAACTTGATGAACAAACACAAACAGTTCTCTTGCACGAGTGTGCTGCTGTACTCCGTATAGATATAATTGTCGAGCGTCTCGTCTGGCGGGACGAGAGCAGTGGGGCAACCAGGCGGGCGCTTTTCGTTCCTGAGGCACCCAAGAGACTGACCAATGACGCCGCGCAGGTTACCTGCCTACCTGGGTAGTCGTTTATACGGAGGATATCAGGCGTCTCGAGATCTGTTCTACTTCGTTCCAACTGTCTCAGGTCTTTCTACATGCATGCTCTTCAATACAGTGCAGATAAGTTGAAGTTATACCTCCTGAAAGCAATACGAGAGCAAGGAACAGATACCAACCGTGTTGAGCAGAGGGCATCGGATCAGACCGAGGAATTGCAGTCCCAGCACTCGATCGATCGTTTCTTGATTCCCATGACCCTCGAAGCAGCAAAAATCAAGTCATTGCCGGACAGCGCATACTACATTCCTGATTTCATTACTGCGGAGGAGGAAGAGCGATTGCTTCAAAAGGTAGAGTCTGACATTGCTTGCATGGTCTTTGCTTTTTCTCTACAAGAAGCGTCGTCTGTATTTCTGTCCTGCTGTCTTTGTCGAGAGATTGATAAGAGTGCTTATAGTGCGCTTGAACGCTTCTTGTTTCACTTTATCATTCGTAAGAGAAATCTTGGCATTTGTCATTGTCAGATTATCAGATCCTGTCTTTGTTTTTCTTCACTCCCTACATTATACTGGACCCCTCAGAATGCAGAAGATAATCTTCCTGTCTGACCTTAGCTCACCACCATCTAGATAAATTCCGTCCCTCTCCCCCGCTGGACCCAGCTCTCCCACCGCCGTCTCCAGACATGGCCGTCGGCACTCACCAAATCCAACAAGCTGCTCGCAGCGCCGTTGCCAGCCTGGCTGGTGTCACCCATCATCACGCCGCGATTTGACGCTCTCGGGTGCTTTGCGGACGCTCCCCACGGAGCTCCGAACCATGTTCTCATCAACGAGTACCAGCCCGGCCAGGGCATCATGCCACACGAGGACGGAGCTGCGTATTATCCGCTCGTGGCGACGGTCAGTCTCGGGGCGCCGATTGTGCTGGACATTTATGAGAAGAGAGATCCTGATCGTCCTGAAGAAACATATACACATGATGACAACAGCGATGATGATAATAACAACGACAGGCAAAGAAGAAAACCCAAATTCAGAATCCTGCAAGAACCGCGCAGTCTGCTGATCACAACCAAGGACCTGTACACGAAGTACCTCCATGGCATCGCGGAGCGTGAAACGGACGAAGACCTAGGCCCCGAGACGATCAGCAATTGGGATCTGCTGGGTGAGAAGGACCGGTATGCCGAAACCGGGCGGTACACGCGACAGACCCGGATCAGCCTCACGTATCGGGATGTGCTGCAGGTGGCTAAGATAGGGAATAGTGTTAAGTTTTTGACGGGTGGGATGAATAAATAGGTCGTAAAAAGCGGGAGATAACCTTGATAATCTCGTAGGACGGGATTTGTCAAGGTGTCAAGTATATGATATGATATGATATGATATGACTTGATGAGACTACGATTGTAAAGTGGAGCAAACTAATGTTATTACTATTAGTCCTCATGATTTTTCAGCGGAACTAGATAAGAAGAAAAATCAGAACTTCTCTATCTGCTATCAAGAGCCATGATTTACTTCATTCATGATCATCTTCACTTTTTTCTTGAGGACAGATCAATATATCCCCGGTATCATCCTCCATCTCCCACGCACACTCTCCTCTCCAAACTTCTCAATATACCACCGCTTGCTGTTCCCCGCTGTGATGCCCAGGTTCACCACGACGAACAGCAAGGTGCACAGAAGCGTCTTGTTGAGGACTTCCCCCTGCGGCGCTGCCAACAAGGCCAGCGAAAGATAGATCACACACTCAGCCGTGTAGTGAGGACATAACACCCGGAGGAAAAGCGGATGCGATGGAACGGCGTATTTCTTCAGCGATGCCAGATAGTGGTGGCAGTCGTGCTGGACTCCCGACGCCATTAGAAACAGAGGCAGGCCGACCAGCGTTTTCAGGGACGGGACCGTTGTGATCCGGACATCGTCGAGCGTGAGGGTTTTGGAGAGAAGCGACCCTGAAAAGAAATAGAAATTAGATTCGTCAGCTCCCGTCCGCAGGAAACGTTTCGGATATATCTATCTACCTGTTCCCTCGATCCACACGGCCACGGAGGTCGCCACATAAAAGGCGATTCCTAACAGCCAGTGGACGAACCACATCTGCGACGAGGACAGCTTTGCGAAAACCATACACTCGTACAGCCGCCTGCCACCCTGGACTGCAATCAGGATCACGCAGACGAGGACCTGCTGGATCGACATGGCTTTCTGCAGGTGCTCATCGCTCATGTGGGCAGCAATCGCGCGGAATGCCGGACCCCGGGTCAGAAGCTGCGTCATCCAGAAGGCGGAGCACAGGACGGAGACGAGGTAATAATGCGTGAAATATCTGTGCGGCACCTTCCATGATGCTAGGTAGTCGAGAAACCGGGAGAAGGCCGATTGCGACGGTGGTGGTGGCGGTGGGTTGTTGTCTCCGGTCGCGCGAGCACCGTAAAGGACGAAGCGGGAGTGAAACGAGGGGATGGCAGAGACAGTGAGCGTCTATATATATGCAAATGATAGAACCTCAGAACTCAATGGTCGGTCTCTCATCTCAGTCGCTCAAAGATAGACAGTCAGACAGTTCAGTCACAAGGAGGTCGTACTGTACAGGTCGCCAGGATGTAGAATGCGCGAATTGCGTCGACGACGTCCATTCCCGATAGCCAGGCTGACAGCGGTTCCATTGTAGACAGTCGACGGTCGACACCGCAGTTTTGAGTAATAATCGTTACTCCGTATTGAATGACAAGAAAAAAAAGATGCTGTTTGCAGGCTGCTGCTTTGTGCTGCTGCACTTCCCCGGACTACTAAGGTGGGCCGAGTTTTGCCGAGTCAGGACAGAGAGGCAGTCGCGACCGTGCACAAGGCAACTACTACGCAGTGCTCGCCTCAATTGATCCGATCTGGCGGACAATCTCATCGATTTGGTTGCAAGAGGCGGTCGAATTTCATAATTTCTTACTAGCAAGCTGGCAGCGTATTCTACACTTGTTCAGCGAAATTCCTCCCCTTCTTTCCTACTAGAACTGACGCAGTTGAGCATCTGTCCGATTTGAAATACTTTGTAAAGATTTTACACCCAGCGTAGACTAACTGTGCTGTATTACAATGCCCATGGCCATCCAGTCATCATCGATCCGGAGCTGCCTAGCAATTCACCTGCCTAGCATCGTTGCAGGTTGGCAACTATGAGCCATTCTCAGTGGCTCGACCGCCGGTATTCATGCGCTCGCCGGGGGCGATAAGCCAGCTTGGCCGTGCGCTCTCCTCATTCGACCCGGCTAAACCGTGGATGGCGATCCTTGCCATGAACAGCGGCGCTGCACGTCTGTGGACCGTCGCGATCAAAGCGGCAAAATGACAGATGAATCGATGAAAGGACACTGGACTCGTCGACTGCAGGCGCCCGGCTACTTTTGATCTTGTTGTAGCTGCGGTCAGGCATCCACTGCAGGCAGGCTGTCTGGCCTCTGTTGCAACTTGCAGCAGACGGACGCGGCGACGTGGATCGCGGTGGAGATGCGGTGTGCAGGCTGCGTGTCTGGTGAAACCGGGGTCGCTGCAACGCTGGCTAACCGCAATTGCACTCATGCAGCGCGAATCCCGATTCCTATTGCTGCATCTGCTAGTTAGCGTGCTGGAGGCGACTGTCCCGGCCATTCCTCTTTTTGTGTCTCGCCCGTTGCCACCGTTGCCCAGTGCTCTCCAGGCATGCCTGCTCTTGATGGCTCAGGCGAAGAACCTGGCAAGGAGTGTATCGAGTAGAGTCGTGCTCAGCAGTAATATTAGTTCTGTTCCTGCGACTGACGGGGTCCTGCTTCTGCCCAAGCCGTCGCCTCTGCTGGCCGGGGAACTTGACTGCCTGCTGCACCGCGGAAGGTTCTTTGGTCGCCCATCAATGCGGCCACTGAGAGGCGCAGCCCGAGGCCCCATTTCGTTCCATCTGCTCGCGCAACTCCACCATCCTCGCTTTCCTCTCCCTCTCTCTCCCTCTTCCTCTTCTCTTCTTGTTCCCTGTTTTACTCCCCTGTCACCGCTCACTTCGCCCTCGACACCACCACTCCCGCAATCACGACACGACACGGCCATACCAACGGCATTCGTCCCCTGAACGCCGTACTCTTCTCCATTGGCTCGCTGGGCTCGTAGATCTCGGGACGTCGCTGTGGTCGACCACGATCCGGTCTTGCGCAGTGTCCGTTTCCCCCGTCCACGAGCATTCTCTCCGCCACGGCGCCCCAAAATGACGACGTTCAACCTGAGAGATCGAATCCTATCGCTATGAGTGATGTGGACGTCGTTTCTTCGTCGTTGCTAGCTGCCCCCGCTGCTCGCGATGTCGCTGGAGACCGTCCCGCCCAGGAGGAGATCCAGAAGCCTTTCAGCTCCCAGCATCAGAAGCTGACGTCTCCACCCCCTCTGCCTCCGCGAGATGAAGTGCCTGGCGATGAGGTCCTAAGTCCCAAGGCGGATTCTGAGGCCGAAACCATCATCCAGTCGGGCCGTGAGTCGCTATCCCCCGAAAAGAGGAGGAAGCACGTCCCGCAGGAGCGCAGTCACGGCGATGGTCGAATCGATGACGATGGCCCTTCGGTCGAGATAGGGGCTTCCCCGACTGCCAGGAAAAGGAAGCGCATGGAGGATGATCCTCGCGATGAAGGTGAGCGAGACTCTCGCAAATCGAGTCCCCGACCGAGGGCGTCGTCCCCGGTGTCGGTGGTCAAGACAGAGAACACAGAAGGATCGCAGAGTTTGACCGGGCGACGAGACTCGGCGCATTCGGGCTCTGCAGTTCGCCAGGCCGATGGTGGGGATCTGAATGAGAGGAAGCGTAGCTCGAGTGAGGGTGCGATCGAGGGTGACGCGACCGACACAAACAATCGCACACGCGTAGACAACAACAACAACAACAACAACAACAACAACAACAACAACAACAATCAGGACGCCGCCCGCGATCGCGAACGAAGGGAAAAGACGCATCCAACGCCCGGCCCTCGCGAGTCCAAGGATCGCTCTCCATCCCCTACATACCGTACCCACAAGAGAGCCGTGTCGGGTCCGCAACATGGCGCCGTAGACAATCTGCAGAAAAAGAAGAAAACCCCGGCGCCTTTGTTGACTGGTCGTCCCCGACACAGCTCCGAGGATCGTCAGTCGGTGTCTTCCTCGACCAGTGGCTCTCCCATGCCATCAGCCCATATGCGGAGGCTTGCTTCCGACGGTACAGGAACGTCTCCGGCAAAGCCCACGACGCACAAGAAGCAGCGTGATCAGAACGGTCGCACGCGGCTTGCGCGGGCCTGTGCGGCACAGGAGCTGGAGGCCGTGATCGCGAGGCATACAGAGCGTCCGGAGGATCTGAATGTGCCCGACAACGCGGGAAATACGCCTCTTCAAATTGCTGCCCTCGAAGGTAATGCGCCCATCGTCAAGTATCTCCTTGACGCAGGTTGCGAGGTCGACACCAAGAACATCGACAAGGACACCCCGCTCATTGACGCCGTGGAGAATGGACATCTCGAGGTGGTAAAGCTCCTGCTCGAAGCGGGTGCCAATCCTCGTTTGGTAAACGCTGAAGGGGATGAGCCTTACGACCTGGTCCCATCCGATGCGGAAGATTACGAAGAGATTCGGAGGGTCCTTGCGGAGGCGAAAGCGAATCCGCGTAAGCGGCGCTCGGAAGATAACAGTACGCGAGCCGGCTCATCGAAGGACTCGGTCGCTCGAGGTGCATCCGCAGGCAGCCCCCGGGACTCGCCTCCGGCACATACCGCGAAAAGTCCACCACCGACGGGAATGCCCGCCCGGAGGAGGACGGTGAGAAGCGAGGCAACGCGAAACGACCTGTTGTGGACCAAAGCAACCCCGGAAAACCTGAGGGAGTTTGCAGCCAAGGGCGATATGGCTGGCGTGGCGAATATTTTGAACGTTCTACAAAAAGCTGATACCGAGTCTCTGATTGCTGCTGCCAAGGGAGGCCATGAGGATGTCATGCAACTTCTCCTTGGCATTGGCTACGCAGACCCCGACCCCGACCCGTTAGAGAATGGCAATCTACGGCCGGGCTATAATACTCCTATGCTAGCTGCGATCGGTCGAGGAAATCTCGCTGTGATCAGCCTTTTGCTGGACCAGCCTGGCTTCAATCCCACCCGTCGCCTGTTCCGGGACCGGACCTACTACGAGCTCTCCCGGGAACGCAAAGGCGAGAACTGGGAAGAGGAGTCGGAGCTGTTGAAATCGGCCTACGATGCGTACATGCAGAACAAAAAGATGCGTAAGCCGGAGACCAAATCGCCTCGACGCTCACGTGAGAAGGAGAGGGAGAAGGAGCCGAGACGGCCCGTCCGACGAGATTCGTCTTCTCCGGTTGCCCCTCATAACCGTCGGGCGATGCGCAGCCCCACGTCGACTCGTCATGCAGATCCTTCGACCAAGGAGCAAGGTACGCCCAGGGACAAGGCCAGGGATGGTTCTCAAGCGAAGGATAAATCAGCCAAGACGAATCGGGATGATGACCGTTCGAACGATCCGGATCACGCTAGGCTCAAAACGTCCAGCTCCGAAAGGCGGCCAAGCGAGTCTCGTGGCGACGAAGTTGTCGTCAAGCGCCGCCGGCTTATCGCGGGACGGCCTCCGCAAGATTCAGACAGACGACGACCTAGTCAAGTGTCCTCTGATTCGTTGTCTGGGCGCGAAGAGGGTTCGAAAGCTCGTTTTGAGCGCGACACACAGGCTTCCAAGCCCACCAGTCCGTCATTGAAACGGTCTCGGAGCAGCGTTTCCCCGGAGAGGTCGCGTTCGCGTGGTTCGGACCAGCGGCACGACCCGGAGGAGATCCAGAAGAAGAAGCGTCGTGTTCTGTCGGAGGATAATGAGCAGAAATTGACCAATGGCGTGGTCAAGAAGAGCCAGGACTCTGAACCTCTGAAGAATTCCTCCCGTCAAGATCAAAATTCTCCAGATTCGGAGCGAACCAAGCCTAAAGCGGAAGCTGCGGATGTTTCTAAGCCCTCTGATGAGCCGGTCCCTGTCAAAGAAGAGCAGAAAAAGCCAGACTCCCAGGATCTTGATGACATCCCCATGGATGTTGGCAGTCGTGCAGAAGCAGCTGGCGAGACTCGCAAGCGGGAAGAAGCTGTGAAGGCCGAGGAGGAGCGTATCATGGAGGAAAAACGGGCTGCAGCCGAAGCGGAACGGGCTCGAATCGTCAAGGAGGAAGAGGATGCGAAGGAGGCAGCTGAACGGGCTGCTCGTCTGGCTCGCGAGAAGGCCGAGGAAGAAGAGCGCAAGCGCAAGGAGGCTGAACAGCGGCGAATCAAGCAGGCTGAGGAGGAACGCCAAAGGAGGATGGAGCAAGAGCGGGCGCGGATGGCGAAGCTGCGGAGAGAGCAGGAGGAGCAAGAGCAGCGGCGTCGAGACGCTCTCCCCGACCGACTTCGGATCGCGGCTAACCTGGTTGGATCGAACAACCCTCGCGCACGGAGCCATGCGTGGTTGAAGCAGTTCATGCCGGTGGTTACAGTGAGGACGGAGCAGATCGATCCTTCGTGCGAGCCGGAGATCGCCAATGAACGATGGGTGCCCAATTTCCTGGTCGCGCCGTTGTTGGCGACCAACGATCTGCAGCTCTCTCAGTATACCAGCTGGGAGAAGCGGAAGGCGACACCGACGCAACGCCAGAACCTGTGGCGGGTGACTCGGCGGATGTTGGTGCAGGTCGACGACTCGGAATTCCTCGACTCCTCGTTCCGGCAGGTCATAAAGAAGGATGGGGAAACACGGCCCAAGTATTTCGACATGGAGCACGTGTTTTGGGTTAGGGTAAGTTATATCTGGATGCTCATGATGAAGAAGATGATGGACTTCTAACTGTTCTATTCTAGCTCTCCGACTTTACGGACCTTGTTCCGCATATTCCTCACCTGCATGGGCTCGAAATCCAGTTTCAGAAGATGCACATCGACCGCGAACCAGCTCAGGATGGACCGGCCTCCTCGGTGGACAGTCAGCAAGTGAACGGGAATGCTTTTTCTGAGAATCACGACAGCGTCTCTGCTCCAGTGAATGGATTGACGAATGGCTATGGACATGGGCGTCCGAGTACATACGTTTGAGTTGCATCCGTTGTATCCGTTTGCTTAGGCAGCCTTCTTTAGATGTGATGATTATGGGTGGAATCTTTCCTTTGTCTAGTGTACGATTATGATACCTCTAAAGCAGAACTGTCGGCATGGCAATTGTCGGCATGGCAGTATAGTCAGGGCATAGCTCTCTACCTTCGTCACGACTAGTCTATGGACTTGACATACGATAAATGAAGATCAAGCAAGTAAACTGTAGTTCTGAATACGTTCCTCGAGTAAACTACTCAGTACAGTAAACTGCCTACTCCGTACTCAGTACGGATTACCCAGTTGGGTAACTATTGATAACGGATGATTACATAATCACCGTGCGGCGGTCCCAACCTGCCTTAGGGCACACTCAGCATTAACCGACAGTGAAAAATAAAAAATTCCCGTTAACTTTTCCAAACCAGTCCACAAATCAATCCACAACTCCAACCGAATCTCTCCCATCACCACCACCACCAGCCGATAGCAATACGAACTCTTTGAGGATAATCCGACATTTGACAATCTAGAACAGCAAAATGGTACAATCTGACATCCCCTTTCTAAGCAATCTCTTCAAGGAATATTTTTCACTAACATTTGTGTCTTTGTCAAGTCGGACGGAGAAGAGATCACTTCCAACCCCCCCGTCGCCGAAGCCGACGAGGTCGAAGTCTCGGCCGACGCCGGCGCGGGCGCAGGCGCGGGCTCCATGTCGGTGCTGGACGCTCTGAAGGGGGTGCTCCGGATCGCGCTGATCCACGACGGCCTGGCGCGGGGACTGCGCGAGGCGGCGAAAGCGCTGGACCGGCGGCAGGCGCACATGTGCGTCCTCAACGAGGGCTGCGAGGAGGAGGCGTACAAGAAGCTTGTCATTGCGCTGTGCTCCGAGCACAAGATCCCCCTGATCAAGGTCCCTGATGGGAAGATGTTGGGCGAGTGGGTTGGTTTGTGTATGTACCCTATATATCCGCAGGATATATATGATATCTGGGTGTGGTATAGAATGCGCTTGCTAACCGGTTTTTTTTCCCCCCAGGCCAACTCGACCGTGACGGCAACCCCCGCAAAGTCGTCAACTGCTCCTGCGTCGTCGTCCGTGACTGGGGCGAGGAGTCCCAGGAGCGCAACATCCTGCTCAACTACTTCCAGACTGAGCAGTAGACAGACGCCCATACACATATCCGTGCCATTCCGGTTTCTCGTCGTCTCGTCAGCATATTACGATCATGATCACGGTCACGACTTCGGCTGTTAGTCTGTCAGCGAGTTTGTGTGCAGATCTTGCTGTGATGTGATGGGATGGATTACCGGATGGAATGGATAGGCGCATGGAAATTTACATAAGACGTGGGAACAGAAAAAAAATTAAAGTGATTGACGACTTTAGCCGGTCATTTTACTGGTAACTGTCTGTTCGTCCGTTCCGTGTGTTTTAATGTTTTAAGTGCGTACGTATAACTTGTAGATGTAAACGCGAATGTAAATGACAAAAGTAAACAGAAGAAAAGTCCCAGTCCCTCACCAGGTAAGAATAACAACATTACACTGGTGATGGATTGATTACCGGCTAGTAAACACAACTATAGTCTGCTACTGTTTACTGTTGTAGAGCCAAGTACATTCAATTCAAGTCTCTCATGTTAGATACAAGGCACAATTGCAACTGAGAAGGGAAAGGGGGAAACAATTGGATATGTTTGCTGTCGACAAAAAAAAAGGAAGCAGAACACCAGCCCAATGCTCAAACCTCACCGGACTCCAAAAAAATCAATCAATCAAACATCAATCACATCACACTGGTAACTTGGGTAAACTGTCGATACCGGTAGGGAGAAAGGAGATAGTATCCAAATCATCTGCATCTGGCTGGAAAGGAGAACAGGGAAGATGAGAAAAGAGCAAACGCCCGTCCATGATTCCATAAAAGCCGAGTAGGGACTTACTGAATCACGCTGAATAAAAAAGACGTACGACCCGAAGCAGTGCTAACCCTCAGATGCCGTTACCTAAAGCTGTAGGATGGGAACATCAAATTCTCCCTTTCAGGCTTTAATGACAATTGCTGGTATGGCGAACTGCCTGGATCGTAATACAATCCCTCGATTTCACCCGTTTCTCGACGAAGTGAGATATAATAGAACCCGGAGATCGTCAGTCCTTGGCGAGCATCGGTTGGTGTGATGAAACAGCGTTCTACAAGAGTCAGCAACGAAAAAAAGGGGATTTTTAAATGTATCTGCATACGCACCCTTCCATCGCATCAAAATCCATCCCTTGGTCAGCTCTTCCGTTACCCACCGCTTGCTCACCAGGTTCTTGATCATCTCGTCATCTGTAAGGTTCTTGAACGGCTGCAGTTCCCGCCAGTAGGTGCTGTCAATATCGGCGTCCGCCTTGAAACTCTTCGTTTCCAACGTGTGTGTATTGAAATCGATGATCTCCCCCTCCAGAAACGTGATGATGTGGGCATCCCGCGTCGGCGAGGTCTTGTCCGGAATATTGTATGCTTCCATCGTGCCCGACAAAGTCATAGTAGAATAGTCTACACTGTGGATGGTCACCTTGACCGGCCAATGCTCGTCCTTGCTGGTCACTGTGACTGGCGGATAAATGTTTCCTGCCCAGTAGCGGCGGCCGCTGGTCGTATAGACACTGATCCGGCTGGTCTCGCTGCCATTCACGATCACAGGCTCGTTCGATTGCGGGCCCGATATCCGATGCGACAGTATATGAGCACTCACACTGTTGGCAGCCCGTTGCGAACCAGTAAATACAGAGCCCGGCCGCAGCCAAGAACACTCTGCAGGCGGCGCAATCGTCGACGTATCCAGGATAAAATCGTCCTCGTTGCAGGTGAAGTAGTCGAATTGAATGAACCCACCCTCCGCGGCTGATGAAATGCTCTCCTCGTACGAGCTCGAGAATCGGACCCGTTCCAGGTACTTGATGGCCTCTTTCAGGCGGACACTGGGGGGGTTCTCCGAAAACAACTGTCGATGCGCGTTCAACCTGACCCGGATATCGTTACTAGGGAGGTTCCTGCTGCTTGGAATGAATCTGAAAGTGCGTAACGACGACGCCCCGGCCCGTTCTCGTTCGCGTTCTCGTTCTCGTTCTCGCTCTCGCTCTCGCTCTCGATCGTCTGGCTCTTGTCCACCACTTCGTTCTCGATCGAGGATGTAATTTTGGAGCGTTCGAGCCCTGGCAAACCTAGACTGGCGTCGCACAGATTGCAACAATGCTTCAGCAGATAACGCCGCCTCCCCGTACCGCAAACTAAGGCTGCTTCCTTCTGATGGCTCTCCACCGAAAGGTTGCGGTACTCTCCCGGTCCCTTCGGGTCGCAGACTGCGAAGACTGGCGCCATTCCTGCCCGTTTCACGGTCTGATCCTCTCCCAAACCAGATGCTGCTTTCGTCATCTTCCTCCTCATCCGACCCCGGAGCCCAGCCGTAGAGAGACCGCACGTTTGACGTCCGTCCTTCGTAGTCCGGGACGATGTTGGACCCTTCGCGCTGGCGACGGATGATGGGAAAGCGGCGGTTAGCCTCCTGTTGGGGGTTTCTCTGGTCCTCTGTATCCATGCTGTCAAGGTCGCCCTCTGGGGGGTAGGGTGGCCGTCTGCGCCGAGCGCGACTTGAGGATGAATCGGGGGACAAGCGCACACGAGACCGCAGAAAGTTCACGTTCTCGTCATGGGCATCATCGGCTTCAGGAGGGTTGATCAGGGTGGCTGCCAAGTTCGGAACCGGACTCGATATCGCCTCCAGCTGCTGGAGATACGGGATGGTGGTCACCGAAGAAGAATAGGCGGGAGTTTCCTAAGATGAGACAGGTCGTGGTTAGCAGCTGACAGCAAGATGGACCAGACCTTTCCAGGCGCACAGATCTCACCCGTGCCGGAATGTGCTGGATCAGGGTGGATGGGCCAGGAGATCAGGATGGGAGAAGGCTGCACAGGATGCCTACTGAAGGTGTGTTTGCAGGTGGCATGGCGATGGAACGCTCAGGGTCTCAGGTCCATCTGCCGCTGTTCAGTGCTGGCAACAGACGGTCAGAAGAGAGAGTCTTGCACTACGCATGCGCTCTGGCGGACGGGCGAGAATGGCAGTGAACAGAGAGTGACAGGGTCTCCACTGCCGAGGGGGTGGTTGGAGAGATGGAGATGCAGCGTGCTGAGTCTGTTCGGGATGGAGAAGGCGAGCGGGCAGCGGCCGAGGACAAAGTGGGCTGTTGGCGAATGGCGGCCGCTGCTCGGCCTGTCCTCCGCACTGCTAATTCCCAGCCATGCGGACCAGCACTGCAGAGATCGCCCTCCACGCGAGTTGTACAGGACCCAGTCAGCCAGCAGCAAGGCGTCTGATTCTTACTTTACGACTGGCAATTGATGCAGCTGGTTTGTTGCCGGGACGTTGGCGATTGCCATCGAAAGCAGCTGCCATCTTGACGCGAGTGGTGAACCTCCGTCTTTGTACGCTGTTTACGCCTCGCAGATCAGTTGGCAATCATCTCTGGCTAGAAAATCCAAGATTATTATTGCCAATTTCTTCATTCTGACCGTCATCTGCTTTAGATTTTTCCTTCCTGTTAATCAGCGCCACATACGTTGCTGACCCCAGATGGAGAGGACAAAAGCCCAATCAACAACCAATGAGCCCTGGCTGCTGGCCTACCACGATGCTTCCTGCACAATCAGCCCGTTCCTGGATTCGAGTCAGCTAGCAGAATGGCTGTTCTGTGCGAGTGACTTGGCAGGTCCACTCTCGGGATGCCGAAACTACAGACTCGTTTTTCAACGTCCTCCCGCTCGACCCCTCCGCACACAGAGCAGGGCAATTGCCCACGTAATTTGCGGTTTACGAGTCTCCGTTAGAAGACAACTGTATATATACCTGATATGCAAGTCATTCTGCTCGTGGATGGCCTGGTGTTTGGATTGACATTTGTCTTTTTCGGAAAACATTCTCACTGGTAGATAAAGGATGCTGGAACCCAATTTGTGCTGCTGGTCATCAGGATCCCAACCGAATTGCCAACCTTCTTCTCTCCTCTTGACGTGAGATGCACGTCGACAGAGTCAAACAACAAACACCGAGCCCGACCCGAGCCCACCTCTCGGCCCACTGCGCCAGTCTCCGGTTTCCCCAGTTGATGCCCGTGCATATCCACCGGCAGAGGCGATTCTACTGAACGATCCGGAGCAACTCCGAGACGAGGGGGAGTCCTCGAAAATCGGAGACTTAGTATTAATTCCTCGCTGTGAGTTTCTTTCTTCCTTTTTTTTCTTCCCCTAAATCAATTACGGGACTAGGCTTTAGAGGAGTTTTTTGAATTTCTTTTTTCTTACTTGTTACACTGCCCTATTGTACTCTAACATGGGTAGAATCAAGACCATCGAGTACTTTCGCGTCAAGCCCCGATGGCTGTTTGTCAAAGTGACGGATGAAGAGGGCCACTATGGCTGGGGAGAGAGCACTCTCGAAGGTCACACTGAAGCGGTGGAAGGCACCCTGGCCGAACTAAGCGAGAGGTTCCAGGGATATGAAGCTGAGTATGAATATACCCCCACCCATTAACCGCTCTGCTGGAGCTGAACTATACCCAGTGATATCGAACACATCTGGCAATCTGCCTGGCGCCTCGGTTTCTATCGTGGCGGGCCCGTCTTCATGTCTGCCATCTCGGGGATCGACATCGCCCTCTGGGATCTGAAGGGCCGTCGGCTAGGGGTCCCAATCTACCAGCTCCTCGGGGGCAAGGTTCGCAACAAGCTCTCTGTCTACGCCTGGATCGGCGGAGACCGGCCGTCAGACGTCGAATCTGCCGGCAAGACTCGACTCGCGCAGGGATTCAAGGCCGTCAAGATGAACGCGACGGAAGACGTCAACTGGCTGGACTCGCCCAGCGTGCTGGAGTCCAGCATCCAGCGGCTGCAGACAGTCAAGGCGATCGGGCTCGACGCAGCCTTGGATTTCCACGGCAGACTGCACAAGCCGATGGCCAAGCAACTGGCCAAAGCCCTCGAGCCTTACCGTCCGCTGTTCATCGAGGAGCCTCTCCTCTCTGAGCATCCCGAAGGGATCAAGCAGCTGTCTAACCTGATCTCGTGTCCCATTGCCCTCGGGGAGCGGCTCTTCAACCGGTGGGATGTCAAGCGGTTTCTGACAGATGCCAGCGTGGACATCCTGCAGCCGGACGTCAGTCACTGCGGTGGCATCTCCGAACTCCGCCGCATCGCGGCGATGGCTGAGACGTTCGACGTTGCCATCGCGCCACATTGTCCGCTGGGCCCTATCGCCCTGGCTGCCTGCATGCAGGTCGATCTCTCGACCCCCAACTTCGTCATTCAGGAGATGGGCCTGGGCATCCACTACAACGTGGAAAGCGGCGGAGCGTATGACATCACTAGCTACATCAAAGACCCCAGTGTCTTTGCCGTAAAAGACGGCTACGTTGATGCCCTGACGGGTCCGGGCCTGGGCATCGAAGTCGACGAGGAGATGGTGAGGCAGGTTGCGAAGGACACGGAGCCGTGGCGATCGGGTGAATTCTACGGCCGTGACGGCGCGATCAGAGAATGGTAAACCCAAACCAAACTGAACTAATAGGATACTTAATGCATCTAGCTAGATATAGCTTCATGCTTTGGCATCGAAATATTTGATCCAATGTTCCCTATGGAACCGAGTTCCGGATTCGTTGAGGATACTGCTCACTCGATGCAAGAGGATTCCTCTTTCTCTAGCACTGAAAAAGATCATTTCTTATCTACGTATATATCTACACCATATACCTGTGTTCTCTATCTCGGCCAACAAATAGATGTAAAGAAGATGATGTGGAGGATCATAGGAGAGAATACCTCGACCCTGTTTAATACTTACTAGCCCACCTACGTATTATTGAGCTCGAGCAGCGCTGGATTGCTCCGCCCGGTCCACGCAATACATCACCAGATCCCAAAATGCATCTGTATCCACGCCTCTGGGAATAGCAACCCCCCTTCCTTCCACCGGCTTGGCGATTGTCCGCCCCAGTTGTCCCGTAATGGACACATCTTGCCCATGGCGACCGTCTGTCACAACTGTCACAGAGAACCGTTCTCCATCCTTGTCGTCGAACATGATGGCCTGGTCTGGATGCTCCTTTGCGAAATTCGGGTTAAGATTCGAGAGAATGACGGCTACCGCGAGCGGATCATGCAGCGGGGGACCGCTGTCGATTCCAAAAACCGTCTTATACGTCCCAGCAAAGAACGTCAAAAGAGCATGCAGAATCTGCCGGAGAACGCTCGGAGTCGATGGTCCGGTAGGTCGTCCTTGGCCCAAGATCCGGGCCTGCACCGCTGGCGTCGCAAGGACTTGATGCGTTAAATCCAGACTGATCAAGGTCGTTTTAGCCGCGAGGATGGGGTTTGAGAGTATGGATAGAGCCGCTTCAGGATCGCACTGCTAGTCGCAAGATCGTAAGAAGCTGTCAGACCAATTTCTTCAGTTGTAGATAGCCAGGGCGAAACGGGGAACGGACGTAGATGTTGAACTCCGCCCACGGCGTCGTGTTTCCAATCCTTGACTCTTCTCCAGGCAACCGGCTCATGGGAGCATCTGTAAACCCACCGCCAACTGCACCTCCCATAATACTCAAACCCTGGATATGGTCTGCCACTTCGGGAAACGTCGCAAAAAGGAGAGCCACATTCGTCAGAGCTCCAGTGGCTACGACCCACGGTGTCCCCTTCGGTTGGGCAAGAAGGGCGTCGCGCATGGCAAGGATTGGATTCTTGTCCGTCACTGGAGGTCGACTGGCTTGGGGGAGGAGGTCGGTACCATCCAGACCAGAGGTTCCTTCGCAATGAAATCAATTCAGAACGTGCGTCCATATTACGATGGGACATGAGATAAATGGCCAATGGGACAAACTCACCATGTATATCCGGCGCATGGACTGCGGGTCTCGAAAATGGTTTTTTGGCGCCTGGATATACCGGTATGTCTGGTTTTCCAATGGCTTCCAGCACACTCCCTGCGTTGGCGGTGGTGTTGGCAAGTGAAGCATTGCCATGGATCGTGGTAATGCCGAGGAGGTTCAACGACGGATGGTGCGCAGCAATGAGGATCGCAAAAGCATCCTACGCCAGGTAAGCACATCGTGAGTCGTTCACAAAACTACAAATTGACCGCTCTGGCTCACATCATGCCCTGAACACAAGTCAGCGGATTGGACGCTATCTGTGTCGCTGAGAGGGGTACGGACCAGGATCACAATCCAGCCATACGGGGATGGCATCGCCTCGAGGTTCCGAAGCCATTGTCTCCTAAAAGAGAAAAATCATATGTATAAAGAAAAAAGAAAGCTAAGGAAGAGGAGCAAGACAGCTCGACGGTGTTAACGATATAGTGCGGAGAACCCCTCGGCCTCCGCTTGTTATCGGTCTTATCTGTTCAATCGGGAAGGCGCACATGCCAGATGAGCCGCAACGTCACCGAAGCCAACTATCATCGTTTTCCCATCCGCTACGACAAGCAACTCTCGCATCCAAGTTTTCGCGGCAACATCCTAGAGATCGTGTCAAGCTTCCAGTCGTCCCATCATCTTTACAAGCGAACCGTGCCTGAGGGAAATGCGATGACCAGCAATCCTTCCCGGGTGACCTTCCATCCGCTTTCCAACCCCAAGGCTGGACCCACGACATCAACTTCAAGGGCCGCAGCAACGTCCCATGCTTCCCAGCAGCCCTCGCGATCGGAGTCTCTTCCTCACCTACGAAAGACTACTTCCGGATCTGGACAGGCTGATGCAGCCACGGATAAGAGCACGATCGCGTTGATCCGCCGTGTGCTCTGTCCGGAGAGCAGCAGCTATGGCTCCTCAAGTCCACGGCCCCTCCACGAACTGCTGCCGCCATTGACAAGCTCCAATGAAGTCGATCTCCAGCTCTACGCTCTAATCGCAATAATAATTAAAGAATTTATCTACTCTTGGTACGCGAAGATCACTACGGATCATGTCTTCGTCGACGAGCTCCTCCAGCTCATTGCCCATTGCACCCGTGCATTAGAGGAGAGGCTCCGACGGGTGGACGTCGAGCAGTTGGTCTTGGATGAGATTCCTTGCTTAGTTGAGGCCCACATCATCGGTGAGGACCGATCCTCTTTTGCGTACTCGTTCTTGATTTGGGATTATGTGTTGACAGTGACGTTGCTCCTGTAGCTTATAGAACCGCGAAACAAGGATCTGATCTGGTCCCCCTTCCTTCATCCGTGCGAGAAACCTATCATACCCTGAATCCGCATCCTGCTCTCTCACCCGTTCCCAATCCATTGGACCCCAAAACCAGCTCCGAGCAACATGAAAACGAGGTCGCTTATCGGCATTTACTGGCTCAGGGCACTTTGGCCATCCTTCTTCCCACCGAGGATCTCGAAAACGTCTGTCTGAGAACGTTGGTAAGCGACGTTCTGGCTGATTTGATCTTGGGAAAAGAAGTGAGCGGGAAGGTCTGCGAGGGCTGGTTCATCTGGGAAACCGTCAGCAAAGTCATTTCGTTAGTGAGCCGACGGGGCACAGACAGGGTGAAGCGGGAGGGCGAGGCGGAATCTGCAAGTCCTCGACCAAGCCAACTGGAGAGGTTTGGGCTTGTTTCGACCGAAGAGGACCAGCATCAAGATGATTCGTCAAGGAGCAGCCAATCTCAACTCGCACTCTGGATGTGGAAGTTGTTGCACGCTGTCTATCTCATCTACGTTACCCTTCGCTTTGTAGTTACGGGCCTATTCCGCGCGGCATTGTCTCTGCCAGAGGTGCCTGCGCGCGACCTGGGTTCATCTCCAGATCATCCTACTCCAATCAGCCGGTCGAATGAGGCGTCTTCACGGCCGGGAAAGACAGCCACGCGGCGTCCGGTCCTCGAGTACAGGGCGTTTGGTATGCTCTCACGACTCATTGACCTTCCACGACGGATGCCATGGCTGGTTGGCTGCGTGTCTCTCATCCAGTGCTTGATAGTGACAGGCCCAGCCAGGCTGGGCGACACAGAAGGCATTCTTGATCGGTGAGTAAGGACCTTTCATTTTTTTTCTTTTGACCCCTCCCCAAGTTCATCATTTGTTTTATGCTCGTTGGGGTTTCAAAGGACTTCTTCAGCGAAGATGTGGCACATGGATGATGGCACAGGGAGGGCGACATGGAGGGGAGCCAGGGTCACTAGCATTCTCCAGCGATGCCATGCACACCATCCTTCAGTGGCTTTGCTCTCCGGGAATCGGGATGATCTCATTGGGGAGACTACGAGACACGAGGCGTGGGACAGGTGTCGGCTACTCGCATAGCGTTGCGATCACTTGATCTCGAGGTGATCGCAGACCAGCCAATAGTGAGCGCGCCACAGCATCATCTCCGGTCTCTATTATCCTCGTTCGTCTTCATCATTGTTAGGAGGCTGGGACCTGGCCGGGTCCAGACAAATTGCCGTCCGTCACAATCGTTACGGCAGGCTTACGGCCCCATTACGGAGCCCTTACACTGTTACAAGGGTCTCCAGCGCGGCACCATGTTGCATCCCGGCATGGCCTGGTGGGGTCGCTCAATTTCCCGCCCAAGCCTAGGCTTCCGGGCCTCGTCCCTCGGCTGCATGAACAAAGGCGCCTCGCTGCCCTGCCGGCCCCTTTTACTATCCTTATCGGCCGCTTTGCTGTTTTAATGCCTTGAGGCGTCATTTATACTTCGCTTCCGTGCTTCCATCCGCCACGCTACCTGAGCGATCCGGCCACCAGCAGCCAGTCGTCCGCATGCCGGATAAAGTGGATAGCATGTGTCCTAGAACGGGCCAACTAGGGCTCTGTGCTTTTGCGAGACGTTACTCGAATTGCTTTCGGCTCCGTGAGCGGTCCGGAGTCCCTGGATCGGCCCTTCCTCCCGCGCCGCTCTCCAGTCGCTCTTGGCCAGTGCTGTCGCAGAGCCCATCTGATCAAAATTGGACCGTGCTCATGGACGTGTCATCTCGCATCTGCGACCCCGCAAACCTCAGTCCGCTGTCATGTTCACGAGAGGCCGGCGATCACTCGGATAGCTACTCAGCTCCACGAGCGTCATGGCGATCACGAAGAAACCTGCACATGATGTGCAAGACCTCTTTTTGAACCATAGCCAGTGACAAAAAAAAGGCCATTGCCTCCGACCTAGGATTTAAGTCCCAACTAGGATGGCGGCCACCCTGATACTACTGTTACCCCAACCCGACGTAAAGCTGGACACGCGGATTTGCATCAGATCAGGTTAATGTCTCGGTCACCCTGGTCAATTCGGTTCTGGGCATCTTATAATCTCGTGCTAGGTGATTTGCATCCCCTGCACCAGGCCCTGATCTCTTAGGACCCTGATCCCTCCAATCCATCAGTCTAGGCCCATCTTCAATCTCGGTCCACCTTCTTTGGTTCACATATCAACCCCTGCCAATTTTTCGGCAGTCTTTGGCTGAAGACTATGCTTTTTCATTCTCCAATTACACGCCATTCCTGGAATATTGCCCCGGGCCTGTTGTTAACCATCTCTCCGAGAAGATATCCAGTTTCGGCTATGCTAATTCCCTGTTGATATGACCCAACCAGGTTTCTGCGGGAGACAATTCAGAATCATGTTCTGACCCCCACGTTTTTGCCGACTCTCTTGCTTGCCATCAGGACGTCATTGTTCCCAATGAATGGACGTGTGCCTCCAGCATCAAATCGTGATCCGGCTCCGGCTCCTGTTTCACGATTATCATCGCGCTCTAATGAAAAGACGCCAGTCGCAGAAGGGGGCTCTGGATTTGATGCGGATTCGGCCAAGTCTTCAGAGTCTTCGACACTAACCGAAACACAGCAGCAGAGGCCGAGTGAGTCCGAGATCGCGGCCGCAAAACGGCAATGCGCCATGGATATCTTATCTCTAATCCCCCGCCCCATTGCACGAGCATTTTTCTGTATAACGGCAGATGACATCGTTGCAGAGACGAATCGGCGTCTGGAGAGCCAAAAGAAGAGTAGTAATAGGGTCACAGCGTCCAACGTAGGTGGAAACCCTGAACCGGAACAGGCATTGCCAACTCGGCATGACGAAGTGGAGGAGTCCTTACTTCTTTCCGCAATCGAGAATGACATTCTCGACCCGTTCTCAGACGAATACTGCAACAAACATCTCGTCTTTTCTATAATCGAGACCGTACTGGTCAGACTTCTCCCAGAGCTTTCGGAGCGCGGCATCACCGAGCTCATGGAGGAACGAGGGGTGTTTTCATGACAGGGATTAATCATGATCCATATACTGGTCACAGAATGTAGATAGGATAAATAGATACCCAAGTGACATATATGTATATATATTTCACCAACGTATGCGTGCCAGAGGAATAAAAACCTCAGATAGCCACCCAGCCTGTAAACTTTTTATCAATCAAGCGGTTTGCCTGGTTGACTTGCGTTGGTGCCCTGGGGAAGAATCCGATTCCATAAGGTATCCGGGGGATAGTACCCACACAATGAAGGAGAGTGTGTTAGTATGGGCATCGACCGCTAAATCAATAACAAAGACTTCAGTAGAGTAGAGCTCTTTGCTCGAAAAATTGACCTGCTACCTTTCCTTCTTTTCACGAAGATCATAGTAGAGCGCACTACACCAGAAAGGAAGCTAGGAGGGGAAGGGGAGGGGGCAAAAAAAATCTTACAGAAGGACAGAAAGACTGCGATCATTGTAACAACGATATTCAGCAGGGTAGAGCTTTCTGTCAATTATAACAAGTAGCACAAAGATCTCAACAGCAGGGAATAGGGGAGGGCAATGAAAGTTGTGCAGAAACAAAACGCATTTTGCATACCTTGTTTTTTAGCCGCGCGAGCGAGAATAGATTTAAGTGCATGGCCAAAAGTAAGAAGGGTGCAGGAAACAAACAGTCGAGAACAGAATATATATGAAACAAACACAACCAGTGAGAATCTGAGAAGCACACAAGTAAGGACCTGAATAGCGTGAGCTTGGGAAATCTTTCAAGAACAAGATGAGGATATCCTGGCCCCAACTGATGAACAGGAGTTGCTAGGTTGAAATATTGCCAAGCCATGTGGGAAAGCTCCTTCGTGGATAGATTTGTTGACTCAAGCCATTGCCCGATGGGAGAATTCCTTATGCTGACCCGGTGCCGTGGACAAGCGTAGGCTTTGCTGCCGTTCTTTCATTTGGTTGCCCAATGTGATCCGTCTAACTGTCGATTGGCTCGCAGCCATCCATGTATATGAACCGAAGGTAAAATAAAAATCCCAAACCAAAGAACTCCGATATTGAGGTCGCCCTCGTATACTGCCCATCTTTCACCTTCGCCTCGTGCCTTAAGCCACCCGTATCCAACCGTTACAAATAAATTTCCAGCAAGAAAAGAGAAAAGAAAAAAAGAAGAAGGAGAAAACTTATTGAAATATCGACGAACAGCAGCAAAAAAAAATGCTATAAATCGACGTGGACGGTGGAGATACTGATTAGCAGCCACATGGTCGTATAAGAATTAGAGACGTGGGTTATTGCTCAGGTTAGTGAGTGAATGCTTCGTTTTTTATTCACCCGAGGACTGTCTGCATGCTCCTCGATTCGCTGAAGCCGTGAAGGTACCACGTTCGCTTGACTCCGTGCAATGTCGAGCTTTTCCATCAATTTCCCGATCGTCATGCACTCTTGCGGGGCGAGTCCGGAGGGCTGGTTCTGGAAATAATTCCAGACGAGTTCCAGAGCACGACGTGCCTCGTCTTGGGTTGGCGATACGGGGCTGGTAGTTGGAGAGACGGTACTTGATTTCGGTAAGGGAGGCGGCTGCATTGACGTGGTCTTGATCTCCGGGTTGCTTCGATTCCGCTTGATGACGTTGGCGTCATCAGAGGATGGTGCGGCCTCTGGCCCCTCTTCTATCGGGGAGTCGAACACTGAAGTCGACAACGATTGTTCGAGGATATTTCTAGGTGTGGATTGGTCTGCAGTCCCATCACCAGGGGCTGAACTAGGGAAGGTTTGGCTGCGGGGTCGGCTTGCACTGGAACTGATCGAAGGGAGACGGGAGCGACCTGAAGGGGTATAGGGACTCTCTGAGACCAATGGCGATGTTGGGCTTGCCACACTGGCCGAAAGAGACGGCGCCGTCTCAAGGGAGGTAGTGCTCTGAGAGTGCGTGTGTTGGTAGTCTTTGGTCAGATCCCCGTGCCCGTCTGACGGCTCTTTTTTCATACCCTCTTGGTTCTGTGATGGGGACAAGGGGGACGGTGTGGTCAATCCGCTGGGGGAGATGGGGGACACCCCGTTTGATGTCTGTGTGCTTGAACTGGTTTTAATTTGTACGGGGCTTTCTGTCTCGCTGGCGGTGGTATCGACTGAATTCTTCCTGGACTTGTATCCCATCAGGTTGTACTTCTGTTTGAATTTCTCGAGCCAGCTCGCGCTGAGAACCTTCTCCTTGCCATCAGGACTGCCGCAAGTGGTCGCAAAGAAATGTGCTTTCTCCCTGATCATAGCATCCGTCAGAGTGTAGCCCTGACGCTGGTAATTCCTGGCCCAATTTGCCAGAGCCTTTTCGATATCTGGGACCCTTCCTTTGCTTCTCTTGATGGGAGATCGACTCCCATCGTCCATATTCAGATATTTCTCTTTCTGGCGAAGAACCTTGGAAACAGTGCTTTTCATGAAGTGTCAGAATTAAATGAAAAGAACCAGATGTATTCTTTTTATTTCAAAGGGGCGATTGGGCAAGCTCTACCTTCGTTCCACACCGAACAGCGCTGCGAAGATAGCCGTCAGCATCTTTGTATGTCCATGAGGCGCCAGAAAAGGGAAACTTTACCTCCAATATCGGTTTGTTTCGCAGTCTTATTCTCTTCATGATAGAGACACATTCGTCGACGGTCCTCGTCAGTCAAAGTCCTGCGGGGAGTAGGTCCAGACGATGCTGACCCAGTGCGAAGAGGGCGTATCGGTGCTGGCCGTGGGATGGAGAGGGTCGGTGCTGGCGCAGGGGACAAGGTGCTGTCCGAGAAATTGGACTGAGTCGTCAACATGCTGGGCCAGGGATAGGATGGCATTGATAAATGCAGCGCCGTGTAAGGCGGAGGAATCGACATGCTGTATGCGGGCTCCATCGGCATGACTGGCGCAGGTCCATAACTGAAAGTGTTGAAGTCCGGCATTGGGGGACTGTGGAGCGGAGGAGGTTCGAAGCCTCCCATGTCGACCCACGGGGAACTTCCGTACTCGTTCTCCTGTGCATGCTGTGCATCCGTATCCATGGTAGAAGGCGCTGCTTCCCTCGATACACGAGACTCGGGCTCGTCCCGCTCAGCTGACGATGGCTCCTTCCCACTGCGGAAACCGGGCACAGAACAGAGAGCAAGCACCCAAGGAGCAGCAACAACCAGCACACGCGCAGACCCCCTTCAGACAAGATCGAAAAGGACAGGAATGCGATCTGGTTAGGTTCGATCCCGGTTGAAATGATGATGCATTGTCAATCAGGAACGACTGTCAACAGCAGTACCGAGTATCCAGGCCCAAGGAGATAGATAGATCGACAGACTCGGGTCCGGACGCGCTTAGGGCCGAACCCGAGAGGCAATCGTCAATATATGCAGCAGCTAGCCAGAAAGAAGCTTTGGCGCAGCGTTGTCGCTCATGCAGGTTGGGGAAGGACAGGAGGGTGGAGGGGCGAGGATATTCGATGGCTGCAGGGTAGGCGGGTAGGGCATGGAGAGGACCGGGCAGGGCTGTCAACATATAGCAGGGGAACTAAGGTAGGGGAGCCTAGGGACCGAACTACCAACTACAGCGATCAGGTGGGAAGATAGCGACCATGAACCGAAGAGGCAACTCTTCTACAGCCAGGGTAGAGCACGAAGGTCCGGAGGCCATGCTACGGAGGAAGAACCAGAAGCCCGACATAGCGATAGCGGTAAAGAAACGGGCCCTGGGAGAAAGAAGAAAAACGACTGTAGGCGAGTAAAAACAAAGACTTGACAGGGCCTCTTGATTGGACAGACAGCGAGAAAATGGTGGGGGGAACGCTGGCTGGTTGGCTGGCTTGCGAGATATTGGACCGGGGGCGCTCAAGACTAACCAGACCGAATTACCAGGCCGGAAACGAGGCGTACAACGCTGTACCTGGCAAATACATTACCAAACAGCAACCGGCTCATCAGGCAATCATCATTTCCCTCCGCCTGCCTTCCTGACCAGAAAGGATGATGGGGGTTAGTTGGCTATGGTTTAGTTCATCACGGGTCGAATAGCAGTTCTCTGGAGGGTGATATTGCGAGGTTGCCGCCCACTACGGGAGCGAATGATAGTTCGCACGAGTTCGACAGCAGAGGCACGATCCCCGGGCACGGGCGATGGTAGATCGCCCGACCACCGCCGGTGGACTGCTGAGATTACAAGGCGGCAGCTTTGGCAAGGTGGTGGAGACTCGAGAAGTAACCAACTAGTGACTACAGTCTAATAATAATAAGAACAGAGAGCGATCGCGTTGATCCTGGATCTGGCATGAAGACGAAAGCGGGATCCTGTAATCCTGACTAACGAAAAAAAAAACACCCATGGCGAGCATGGTGATTGGAGGGCACTGATCTCTCAAAACCCGACGCACGAGGTCAGCAGAGAAATCCTGCATCTAGTGACAGTCACGTTTTTTTCTTTTTTTTTTTTCTTGTCTGAATACTTTTTAAGGCTTTTTTTCTAACCTCCTTTGTTGATTCGTCGCTATAGCCAAGATCACTGAACTGAGTCAACCGACTGAATACGCGATCAGATCGCTATTAATTATTACCGGCTAAGCGCCGAAACCCCCATTCCTCCGTCCTCCATATTAGTGAAGGGTCTTGTGCCCCATTCTGGTCCTCCGTTCTAAGACGTCACCCAGGGATATTCGAAAAAATTTGTCAATGAAAGGACCAGTCAGTCAAGGGCAAGGGATCGACGAAATGCAAGATGTATGTACGGGTACTCCGTCCAATGGACACGAGATCGGAAAAAGACAAGCAAAGACCACTGAGTGGAGGATATATTACAAGTACCGATACATGGTCGGAACAAGTCGATTTGGCAGGCATCCTATCAAGCCGTCTTCAAGCAGAAACAATGAGGAGAAGAGGAGAAGGAGGGGAGGTCTGTCCATCTGCCCTGCTCTCTAATTAGCTCCGAGGCAGCTAAGGCCCGGTCCCTCGATGTCCATTGTACGGCCCACTTGCGATCCACCATGCCTAGGCTAGGGCATCCGAAGTAGCGTCCACTCATGTGCCGCAAATCCTTGGAGAAAACAGATACGGCCAAGGCTCCTAAACAGCCGGTTCCTCAGGACGATCGAAGGGATCTCGTTGCGGCCGTTGAGTGGATAACAAGCTCGGGAGTCGCTACGGGCGGAACGGACCTCGTGCTGATAGCCTCCACCCTAAGAGTTGGTTCATGGCCATCGTTAAGCCGTCAAGGGCGGCCCGAAAAGTATAGCCTTGTGGGCGATGATTTGCGAACCGATCTCCACCGTCATGCAAAATGAGAAAATCTTCCTCCAAGTTTCAGCCCAGGTCGGCTGCCTGCCACGGCCCAAGATGGCAACAATCGTGATTACGCAGCACGGAGCACCCCGTACTCTCGAGTCCTCCGTATTATTTCATACCCATGTGTCTCCTTCCCCGTCGCTCAATTTCTTCACGGCCGAGAAGAGCCAGTCGCTTTGCGTGTCGTCATTTCGCTCGCGAGTCGCGGCTCGCTCAGAATGAGGCGGGCAGCACGGTGAATTCCAAAGCCAGCCCATCGTGCGACGTTGATCCATCGCCAATAATAGACCAAACGGTGTAGCACATGGTGTTGATAAAAGCTCTGGAGCCTGTCAGGAACAGGACAAGAATTGGCCGTCATGTTCCTGCCCCGATGGCACCTGGGCGTGTGACAGATGCCACGGAGGCTGACCTCACGCTAGGCGCGGGCCTCAGAGGCCGTCCTGAACAGGCTGGGCGAATTGTACGGTAAGTCGGTAGCCTGGAACTAGTTAGGCCACAGGCGAGACTAGCCGCCTCCATAACCGCCTGGCTTGCGAGATCAACAGGACAGAAGATCAGTGGCCAGCGACGCACTGAGCAGTCCGTCCTCTGTTCGCCACGGTCGGAGGGGATGTGGAGGGTGTGGAGTCGGGAGTTTCGGCCGAGCCCGCATTGGCCGTCGTGCAGATTCTGTCCAAGACTCCAGGGCCTGTAGGCTTCGCGATGATGGAGTCTCCGAGTCAGGAAGTCGACGAGATGGCTTTTGTAACCCGGGTTGGGCACTTCACTGGGCGGCGCGACGTCATGAAATGCAGTGCGGGAGCTAGCAGGCGCCGCGACGAGATGACTAATGGACGGTCTATATCCTATTATTGTCGATTGATGATCGATGCGCCGGATTAACCGATGTTAGTCCTTGCGTCCTTTACTCTTTGAGGTACCTAGGCAGGTGGTATTCTTAAGTTGGCACCGAGCCTCTGTAGCTACTAGGAGATGGAACCATCTCGTGCTCACCACTGCTGTCCATCGTAATTCGCCCATGGCCGGCAAAATCAACGAGCCACAAGGTAACGCTGAGAGTGCTTTTGAGTACTCGGATGTCGTTCAATTCCTGCCTGTCCAATACGACAGTCGCCGTGATCGGGCAGAAAGGATACGGACTGGCGTACAAAGTAGGAAGGAGCCGATGAGATCCAATCCGGCAAGAAAGCAGATCGGTGTCGTCCATCCGTCAGCCAGTCTCGTCTCTGTTGCAAGACGCTACCGCTGGGGGGTAACCATGACCCGTGCAGGGACAGGGTGTCGACTTGTTGGTGTGACATGGAGATGCGATATCGGGTATGTAGACCGACCAGATCTCCAAGCCCAAGACAGTTGCGCGTACATTCAATCTACGAAGCGAAAGAGCGATGGGCGGCAACTTCTGACACGGGCACCGGATGGACCCTGATCCGCATGACCAGATGTCGCTGCGGCCCAACTCCAAGGCAATGCACGCACTGCTTCCATACGGGGAGATAGTCTACGGCGTACAAGAAGACAGCAGTGGGCACACTACTCCGTACACAGCGCCCAGGTGGAGCCCTCTGGCAGATGACGGACTTTAGCAGTCTGTCAGTCCGATCGATGTACCTAGTCAATTTGGGGTTGGGGTTCGAATTAGGTAGATTCAATATTAATACCTAGGTAGTTATGCCAGTACTTGATGTTACTATTAAGAAACCCTACTCCATAATACATAGGGTTCTGCCATGGAATATGCAAACCCGGAAATGCCGGCAACCCTTGGTTGACCTGGGATTCGATATCGGCAGAGGTCGAGACCGCACCTTCCCTATACCGCAACGCTGTGCTTTAAACAAGTGGTGCGTGTGTGCCCCTGATCCTCGTCGTGTTGGCGATTGGGCAAATCTGACAAAAGATCTGTCCGGATAAAAGAAAGAGTAGTGGCATCTCCAGTGGATAACCCTAACAGCAGTAGTAAAAGTTTCTTTTTCTCCCCGGTTTTGTTGCCTCATTTTTGCGCCCACACCCTCGCTCATTCGATCGGCACTCACCACCCTGGCGCTTGATGATGCTCGAGTACCTTCACCAGAAGAAGGTCTTGATTAAAAATAAGTTGTCATTATTTCTAATCTGACGGGTATCCTTGTCTTCAAGGCGAAAAGGAGGAAGGAGAGGTAGAAGGGTAAAAAAAAAATAGAAGAAAAAAGGTCGAATTCGGCGCTGTCAGCCTAAGACCCTGTACTTGCAGTGAATTGAATATATCGTTCACAGAGATGAAACAGTGATGGTTCAGAGTGGCAAACAACGCAAGATACTGTGTTGAATAGCCATTCCGTTCGGTGACTCTGTAGCTACAGAACATATGCCGATTGACATCCCAACGTCCTCATTTCGACGGGTCGAACTGTAAGCCTACAGGCGAAAGAGAGCAGGTGCCTAGCAACAACGATAACCATGTTGATTTGCAAATGTACCGGCCAGTTTCGCTTAAAACTCTTCTCCAAAGGAGGAAAGGGCGGATTTGAATTAGGGCTGCAGCTGCCGTCTTTTTGAAGCGTTGCCCCCATCCTTGCCGCCCACTTTTAAACTTTGTGTGGCGGCTGACAGGGAACGTGCCCCTAAGAATGCAACGTTCTTAAAGGCAATACCCGGACGCAGCGACCACCTGCCACCGAGAATTTATCGTCATGGCGTTCATGCCCTGCAGTGCGGGGTGCACACGCCCGGGCTGATTATTGCCAAAAAGGCAGCTCTTATCGCTTAATGATCGTGACTGTGACAAGATGGTCAGTACCCACATCCAAGCTGGGCAGAAAGGGAATACTGACCGATATCCTCGTCAGCAAGCTCGTGGCTCAGCCCAACTCGTTGAGGCTGGTGCTTGACTGAGCGGCCGTAAACAATGGCGACCTTAAACTGGTCGACGATCGACTTGTGAATAGCATTGCACTAGACAAAGGTGTTAACAGCCAAAACTCCAACAAGAGGTAATTCGTTCGAGAGTTGGCTTACAAAATCTTCGACCGTGCACGCATTGGCTTTGAGAACAACTGGGGCCGTGTAGTCTGGTTGCTGGCCCTTCGGTTTGGTGTATATCCGTCGGAGATTCAGTCTCTCCCACATCTGTTCCAGCAGTTCGTCCAGGTTCCAGCCGTGCTCCGCACTGATTGGACAGGCATTGGGAATCCGGTACAATAGATCCAGTTCCTCAATGGAAATGGAATCTATCTTGTTCAACACATAAATGACGGGTATATAGACTCGGTTCTTGGCCTCAAGCACGTCAATCAGATCGTCGATAGTAGCGTCACAGCGAATAGAAATATCAGCAGAGGAAATCTTATACTCGCTCATGACGGCTTTGATCTCCTAATAGGAGGTCAGCTAAAGGATGCTTGTGATTCCAGACTGCGCCATAACTCACATCATGGTCGATATGGGTCAAGGGGACAGTGCTCGTGATATTAATGCCTCCTTTGTCCTTTTTCTTGAAGACGATATTTGGCGGCTGCTTGTTGATTCTGATGCCGAACCCTTCTAGTTCGTTTTCGATAATCCTCTTGTCCGTCAATGGCTTGTTAACGTCCAAAACAATGAAAATGAGATGGCAAGTTCTAGCGACCGCGATGACCTGTCTTCCACGACCTTTGCCATCCTTGGCTCCCTGGATGATACCGGGCAAGTCGAGCATTTGAATCTTAGCTCCATTATAGATGATTTGGCCGGGTACAGTCGTCAACGTGGTGAACTCGTAAGCGGCAG